TGTAATCCTTTCTCTAAAAAGGGAGCAACGGAAAGGATGGAGCGTTTTAGAACGTTTACATGAACTACTAAATTGCAAGCATTGTATTGACGACGAGTGGCATCTCTCTACCATTTTCAAAGTAAATTTAGGACTAGAAATACCTGGAATTATGGGAAAGCATTGTAGTCAAAAGCTTTTTATTTTTCATATTGACATGTAAAAACTTCTAAATAGCCGCCCAGAATTGACGCAATGTGGTGGGCTGGAAATCCAGTTCACAGCCAAGGCGCACATTGACCCACGTTTACGTTTGTACTATGGCCGCCAAAAAAGAAGAAAAATATATTTTCAAATTGATTCAACAGCTATCTGCGTAACCATTAGGAAAAAAATATGAGCTACGGCGTATGTTTGTGAGCGCGCGATGCTGTAGTGTGGTCAAAAACGTGTTTTTCTACTTTTACATTGTGACGTCACGGACTCGGAGGATTCGATTCCAGTCCACGACCTATTACTCGTATTCGTCGAATCTCTGTAATGCCGGACTCGTCCCATCCCTATTACCAATACATGTCCTCACTTGGTTTATAGTCACTTTGATATTAGAGAGCTAAAAATCCGCCCGCGCAAGCGCGCAAATGCGAATGTAAACTATTAGATGTCGACCGGTGAAAATGGACAAATTGACACACGTTAGCTGACCCCGAGAAGCCCTCCAATTCTAACCATCAGCGAACAAAATATGGTATTTTTCGAGCGTAACATAGCGTAATGTTTTTCAAAATTGTCCTATACGTATATTTTCTAAATCGTTTCGTTGCCTCGTTTTCTGTCACCTTGGAAATAACATTAATTAATAATAATCGTCGTTGAAGCATCTGCATCCGCAAAATTTTAGGTGTCGATCGAAATCAGCGTTGTAAGTGTCGTTACTTAGAGTCCTTTCGAGGTCCATAACGACATGATATTCGCCCTATCTTTCATAATGTTTTATGAAGAATGATCCAAAAGACAACCTAAGTTTCCAAAAGACGATGTGAAGCAATACTTCAAAGCAGTCATTTTTAATACTTCGACTCAATATTTAGAATACTCCAGATTTTTCGTATGCTCTCACTGAATCCGTTACATTATTACGATTTTATTTAGACTATTGGTTCCCAACATTTTTTACGAGCGACTCAAATTTTGGAAAAATAAGTTTTGTAAAATCTCGCGACCCAAGGATATGCTCAAGCAACGCTTCAATTTCAAATAAAAAAAAATATTATAAATAAAATTAGTAACTTATAGGATTTTTTGGAAAAACGAGCGACCCAAAAGAAATTTCAGACGACTCTGTTCGGGGTCGCGATCCATAGCTTGGGAAACATTGATTTTGACCATCATGGAAAATGTAATTTACAATTTTGCAAAGCTTTAGTGAACAAAACCTTAAATTACAACCAGTGAAGAAAAAAATTAATCGAACACAAATTACGAGAAATTGATAATTACACAGATTTATTGGGGAAGGGAAGTCGCGGGGAACCAAAGTTGGTTATCATGCAGCGAAACCCAAGGTTCAAATACGTAACTTAAACAAATTAAAATTTCACAATTTGGAATCTACTGTCTAATCTTATCTTGTCTAATCGGCGCAGCGGTGTGGCTCAACGGGCTAAGCGTTAGGAATACGCTCGCCACCGAACCTCTAATTGCTCTGCGTGGGTTCGCAGGTTCGAATCCCATGCAGGGATGGTTATGTGCGAGAAGATTGCTTCTCGCCGTCGTTGGGTGGTTCACGTAACCGCTGGTCGGTTACGGCTTCCTCCACCACCAAGTCCATGCTTCCGAAAACAAACAATACAGTAAAGACTAATCCCATACCCGACTTGGAATGGTAACCGGACGAGAGGCCGTGGTTCGCCATATGGATAAGACGTCTTATCGGCTTTCCTCTCCCCCGGGATAAATATGTAAATCCTATCCTCCTCCTATCCTAAAACGATGCATTTGCGATTGACTTATCCATACCCGTCTTTAAATTAAGACGTCAGACCAGTGAATTTCGACCGTCTTGTGTAGCGGAACCTCAATAAACAGTGATATTTCAATTTATATTTTCCTAATTGGATTCATTTGGTACGTATGTTAATACAATCTAATTCTTATCATTGATGTTTTAACATTATCTGCTTATCGACTCAGCAAACAAGGGGCCGCTGACAATTTGGATTCGACTTTGGTAGTGTTACGCGACCCCGCGTCAATATTGTACATCTTTTATTTTCAATTGATCTAATATTACTATTTATTACTTTCTTTCTTTAATTAATTGTGTCGTTGCTATATTTCACGCACGACGAACGAAATGATTATCTGAAATCTGGATAAACCAATCCAGAGACTTGAGGAACCTTAGGAACAATTGAGTATATTTGTTACCATAACAAAATAGGCCAATCAAAAAAATGTAAAACGACAATTTGAGGCGAAACACTTTTTTTTTGCTTTTCACGAGGTGCCAGTGAAACGCAATTATTATATATACTATACCCGTGTATGTATTTTCATAAAAATCTGTACTATTGTCCTTTTTTAACACTGTTTTGAGGAATAAAATCTCTCCCTCTCAGATTATATTTAAAACAATTTAAAGGATCTCAGCTGATACATGAGGGCCGCACTCCAGCAATTCGTTACCAACCACGCAAAATTGCACCTATAACGAGTGCACTGACCGCGTTACAGGATATGTCAGTTCATTTGAACTGTGTGCATCTCATCTTCCGTGAAGGGTGGCTAATAATGTTCACTAAAATCCCCAAGTTTAGGAATGATCACGATGAAAAATAGCTTGTTCGAGAGACTATTTTTTCCAGGAGGGACTGCGTTCTACGCAATTTTAATTGTCGAACTAGTTGGCGACAAATTGATAACAAAATTGAAAAATTCTCAACGTTCGGAGCGTTTTTCGCTGCTGCCATAAAACGTAACAGCAATCCGATAAAACGCACATGACTGATGAGAAGACAACGCACGTGAGAAACTCCATCCAGCTGCAGCTCCGGCCACAAATAAGCAGCTAAAAAAAACTAAGAATAAGGTTTCCTAGAACGGAGATTCAACAACATTTAATATAGACTAGGGTTGCCATACTATCCGGAAAATCCCGGACATGTCCGGAATTTAGGGTTAAATTTTGCGTCCGGAAAGAATTTAAAAAAATGCTCAAATGTCCGGAATTTTACTGCATCTGCAATCGTACTCTGAACACTGCTAATGCAGAACATTGTTTATTAATATCCTTCATTACTACATGAGGAAAATGCGTGCCCATTGAAAATAGATGCCAATTGAAACGTTTATTTTTCCTGATCTTGCGTTGTTTTGATTGTGACGCAACAATGTGAAATTCACGGCTTTGTAGGCAAACTGTGCAATCTCTAAAGACAGCGTACTGCAAGCATTAGAGAAAGTGATTATGGTTACTGGAACTAGGAGGAGTTTTTAAGAATTCATTAGATGGGCAGGCGACAAGGGAAATAATATCAACACGAAGATTTAATTTAGTTACATAAGGTCAATGAATTGTTGTTGCAACAAATTGTTAGTCAATATATCATAACTTTGTTCGGTGTCTGATTACAGGGGATTCGCGTTGACAGAAAAAACTTGACAGGAAAAAGGTTGAGAACCCCTGACTTCGAACTTTCTTGAACCTATTGACCGTTGTGCTGAATATGAATTGGTTAGATATAGGTCACATGCTGCGAAAGTTACTAGAACATTCCATCTATAAAAGCAGGCGATTTCCCACATTTATCAGAGATTAACTTAAAATGTCATAGAGGAGGAAGCCTAGTGAATTTTTGATACAGAATTTTTGACTGCTGAATGGCTGCGTTTATTGCATGAATTATACTGAGTAGCTTTGCAAAGTATTGTTGATTGACTGGCTTAGCCTGGATTGACGGACTGATATCTTATTTGGTCGTTACTTGCCAGTTATCTACCGTTTATTTCTGATTATTATTATCAAGAATAGGTCCACCGAAAAGATAAATCCGTTCAAATTGCAAATATTATACTTCCAAGTAGTCCTACATACTTTATAATTGGGCAGACTGCACCTCGCATGGGTCAAATATGCGTTATGACGCCATAAAAGCAAAAAAATGGTATTATGATATATGGTCTCATGAAAATATGTCCGGAATTTGACTCTTTCGAATATGGTAACCCTAATATAGACTTCGTCGAATTTTAATACAAACTTGCGGAACCCCTCGACTGTGCGGAACACAGGGTGGAAACCACTGGGGGGCACCATAGGGAAAATTTATTCAAAATTTTGATTATAACACAACATTATGATTGATATTAAAAATATTTTGCAGCGTGATTAGACAAAATGAATAACGTGCAGGATGTTTATGAAGTCCGACGTATTTTACCATTTTTATTTTAATCAGTGTATAAGTTTTTGGCTTCATTTAATACACATGCAGCACATCAAAGTTATTTTACAAAGTTAGACTTCATAATAACCCTGTACATTACATACATCAAGACATATATATATAAATACATTACTGCATTTTTAATCGAGTAAAATAACAATAATAATTTCAATAAAATATTTTTAATAATATCTCAAAGCAAGACCTTAGCAGGAATTTTAGAGAAAACAAGTGGTTATTTTAAAATAACTAATCTTTCACTATTTTTAAAAACAGAATGAATTGATGTTGAATGAATCTACTTCTATTCATATATAAATATTACAAAAGCCCGTTACTCAAAAGCAGGGTAACGAGCTTGCAAATTACGACCTGATTTTTTAACAAGTTTACACATGGAAAACATTGATACCTCAATTACAAAAAGTAGATTTAAAAAAAATTGATTGAAAAGGAAGCACATTAGGTACTCCCGAAGTATTTGAACCTAGATGGCGGACACCTGAACATAGTATGTGTACCAGTTTAGGGTTAGGCCATAATCTTATTCCAATTTCCCTTATTTTAGTTCTATTACAAGTTCGGTGGCTAGCCAAGTGACTCCCCTAGTATTTGTACCTGAAATTATTGCCTAACCTGGTACACATACTACGTTCCGGTGTCCGCCTTCTTGGTTCACATACTTCGGGAGTACCGTACATTATCATTAGACAATTCTGGCAAATAATCAATTCTGTATAGACATTACTGCATTTTGAACAAAGGTAAATACTAAAAATTGAACTCACATCTTTGGATAAAGGGTGTCCATAAATTCTAAATATTTTTTAAAATACACAAGTAATTTATCGATACCATATATTGTTTTGGCCCTCAGATGTATTAAATGAAGTAAAAGTACTTTGACTTCATAACAAAATTGAAATTGTAAAACGACTTTATGGACACTCTGTATGTATATATTGCAAGATAGCTTACAAGGTAACCAGAAAACTGAATCGCCAAAGTTTAGAAAGCAAGATTTCTAGATGCTCATTGAAAAAGTTCCGCTGAATATTGGGCTGTGTGGGTCAGTATGCAGACTTCCGACCCCCATCTGTATCTCAGCCTTATTTAGTGCAAACATACAGGGCCAGCCTTAACTGATGCTGGACCTCTTGCGGAACAGATTGTGTGGGGCCCAGCCCAGGAAGAGACTAGGATAATAACTGAAAATTTACAAACCTAGAAGAAATGAATTCGTATTTACATTTTATCCTTTTAAAGGTGTTCAAAATCTGAATCAATGAAACTTCACTTTCAATCTTCGCATGTACAGCGAAGACGCATATATGGTTAAAAGTTATAATGGTTAAATTTAATAATAACACCTAGAATAAGCGCAGGACCTGTAAAAGTGTGGAACCCACTGCGACTATATAGTTTGCTTTAGGTCCCAATTTTTACTCAAACCCAAATTTTTCTAAAAAATAGAATTTTTGTGACCCAAGTATAATATGCTCAAACATATGTACTACTTTGGGGCTTCGAAATTGAATGACTAATATAAAACTAATAAAACTGACTCATTTTTACAAATTTTTTTGTTCCCCAGAAATTACCTCAAAGTAATAAAGCTGCACTTTTTTAGTGGTGTCAGTAATAATGTCAGTATACGCTAGTTATATTAAACCTCGATTGAAATGAAGGCAAGCCCTTGTCAATAATGCCCTCAGCAAGGTTTTGACACCTGTGCAGAGTTAAAACGAAAATTATGTGACCAAGTAGTAAATAAGACAAGCACAAATAGCAACGAATATAGAAAACATAATCAGCATTTCATAAAACATTCGTTTTACAGGTGGTGTGAGCGGCCTTTTTTCAGTCGACATAAAAGCCGCAGCTTTATTTTTATGGGGGTAGGGTACATCAGGGACATCTACCCCTAAAAATTCACACAAAGGTTCCCATTTATTTTCCCCAACTGGGAAGACTAGAAGGTCTTTGTCAGGAACGGTTTCCAGTACGTAACTGTTGTGCTGGCGAAACTTCATTTTATACAGTCTCTCATTGCTGGGCATCTTCATCAAAGGAATCGCATATGGGCCCTCGATTGGTACGCACAGATTCACTGAAAAAGACATCACAAGTACATTTAACAGAAATTGATACTTTTTAAAAATTCCATCCATCCGGGCTTGCTAAAAAATATGATACAAGGATATGTGTCTGTCAGAAATATATTTGAATATGATGATATTTATAGAATAAGTTTTACATATTTATCCCGGGGGAGAGGGAAGCCAATAAGACAGCTTAATCATATATGGCGAACCACGGCCTCTAGTCCTGTTACCTGTCCATGTCGGGTATGGAATTAGTTAGTTATTTGTTTTCGGAAGCATGGACTCAATGATGGAGAAGTCCAGCAATCCTCTCGCACATACCTACTCCCACATGAGAATCGAATCTGCGAACCCAAGCAGGGTAATCAGAGGTGCCGTGACAAGCGTATTCCTAACGCTTAGCACAATGTGTCACAACACCAAACTGTGAAATCACAGTGGCCTCGGATACAACTCTTCAGTTTTTACATTGGAGCTAGTTTGCCGTCCTCCAAAAAATAACGGTTTATATGGATTATTAAGGATAAAAATTGGTCCGATTTGATATTCTGAATGATCAAAATTTTCTAAAACTTTTTCATGTGTAGTACATGTACCAGGTCAGGGTTAGGCCATAATTTTATTCCAATTTTCCTTTTTTAGTTTTATTACGAGACCGGGGACTAGCCAAGTGAATCCCATAGTATTTGTACCTGATATTATGGCCTAACCCTATACTGGTACACATACTACACATCAGGTGTCCGACATATAATCAGCTATAGCTTACATCCCCCAATAGTGCATTTCATCAATCTCCAGCCACTTGGCACAAACATCAACAAAAACATAGCAATTCTCCATGAGATTGGCATTTTGTCTCCTTGACTTTTAAAGCTTTTCCACCAAGAATCGTCATCTCTGGTTGTCAGTATCACCTGTTGTTAGCGAGGACATGAAAGCATTATTTTTGTTATTATTAATTTCCAATTTCCTGAGATCATGCCAAGGTCATCAATTGATAGAGAGAGTAATTCTCGTAAGATGTGAGCTGTTCTGGCAAAAACTGTTTTCTGGAGATCCGTCAGTCAGTAGTTTATTTTTATCACAAACCCGAAAGTACACAAAAATGCATTTCAATGTGAAAGGAGATGCGATAAACCAGAGATGTTTATCGAACGGCGTCACTTATGAGGTAGTCTAACATTAAATCATACTGAGAAAGAAGTCAAACATTAAATACTAACAAAAGCCAGACTTTGAGACACATTTGAGCGACCCAATATCCCGGTGACACTCTAGTTAACGGAAGAGAAAGATGCTAATCATTAATCTTGTCTTGAACAGTTTCTCAAATTTTTAAATTCATGTGAAAGGAACAAAGGCAGTAGCAGAGCCCAATAAAAAAACGGAAAGAAGTGACTGGTGGCATCTAGTACCCATCAACAGTCAATCTAACGAGAATATCGGTCAGAGACCGAAGACTTATCGATTGAAAGTTAGGGGATCCCCCAAAACAGCGGTCTTACTCCATAGTGACACCTTGTACCCCATCACTAATTAATTGATAACTCGCTAGTTATACGACATAGTTCATCCAAAATCAATAAGCTTCTGGTCCCACATATGATGAACGCACATGCAAAATCTGGAGCAGATTCGATCTCGCTTTCGTGAGATATCGCGTGCATCTAAAAGACAGACAAACAGACAGATACTTATCAACATACTTACCGATTAAAATCGATAATAACAAAAAAATTAGGTAAGCCCAAGGGACCCAACACCATTGGAAATTGCTGAAGTTTTGATTCTCAACATCTTCTGTAACTCAATTTTTATCTTTGTAGTTTTTATTATTCCATATGCACAACACCCTTGACCAGTCTTTTATCTCGTCTTGCGGAACACCAAGAAAAAGGTAAAACTGATGGATAGTTTCCAAAAAATTCAGCCTGTGGTGAAATTAAGTTTGCTGGAAATTAGGCTGATTTTTTGCAATTACTTTATCGCATGTCGTGCTGATACCATAGTTCTTAATAGTTTAAGATAGCTTTACTGTTTTCTCATAACTATGCTCATAGATGACTCATCTCCTTTACTCCCGAGTGAGTGCGAGAACTCGCAATGAATGTAATGTACAACCATAACCCTCCGTGATTTACAATTTCAATTTTGTTATTAAGTCAGTTCTCAATATATTTAACCAGGTTTGTTGTTTTTTTAATCAGTAATTGTTTAAGTATTTTTACTTCGTTTAATACATACCAAAACAATATATGGCATCAATAAATTCTCTTTGCAACTTAAAAACTTATTAGGACAGGGTGTCGCAGCTTGATAACCAGTTTTGGTTCCTCGCGGCTTCCGTTCCCCATTAATTTAAATATCATTATTTCTTTATATTTTTGCATGTTTTTTTGTTTTTTACTGGTTGGAAAAAATAAACTTGACTTGACTAAGGACACCCTTCATTTACCTTGGTGCCTGGTATGGCTTTGTAAATATGTTCCCAGAGTGCGATAGCCTGGCCGTCAATCACAACATCGACATCTTTCAATGTTTCTCGAATATCTTCATCTGTGACTGTACCTGCAATACAAATTGTAATTTTTTGTACAAAGGTTTTCAAATAACTACTTTCCGATTGTAATGACATACAGGGGTGGGTGCTCCCGAAGTATGCAAACCAAGATGGCGGACATCTGAACGTAACATGGGTAACAGGTTAGGGTTAGGCGATAATTTTTTTCCAATTTTCCTTATTTTAGTCCTATTATCAGTTCGAAGACTAGCCAAGAGCCTCCCGTAGTATTTATACCTAACATTATGGCCTAACCCTAACCTAGTACACATACTACATTCCGATGCCCGCCATCTTGGTTCGCATACTTCGGGAGCCCCCAGGGGTGTAAAACAGGGGTCAGCCCCCCCTTTTTGAAATGTATAATGAGCATTTTTCTGTATCATACATATCTGTAGCAATTTTTCTTAGTTCAGTTCAGTTTAAGTTGTAGTCATATTTTTTTTTACAACCCAGAGTAAGGGACAAAAGTTCTCAGACCAGAAACGAAGAAAATTGCCCCAAAACCACCGCCTTGCCTAGAAGGCAGCTCTAAGTATACAAACTCACCTTTATAGAATTTTTCAAATAAGTCCAGGAACTCGACTTGTTGGTCATAATCATAGACTTTATATCCAAGTATCGTCAATGCCTCTGCTAGGCTTTTTGTTCCCGTCTTCCAAAAACCAGCGCAAACTATTTTCATATTTTAGCTCTTTTATCTATCCTTCAAACAATAATACAGAAAAAATCATTAATCACTAATATATTCATTATATCTATTTTAAAATTACTAAAGATAATAACTGTAGCATAACTAACCAGAATATTTTTATCTTAAAAGATATGAGCCGATTCTGCTAGGTTATGCTTCAGTGACCTAACTAAGTTTATTTTTCCACCATATTTGAAATAGCCTACATCATGTAAATACAGATTTGAATAATATTTCGAAGCAGTAAGCCGAAGGGTCGGCAACCTTTTGTCGCTCGCAGGCCAAAATTAAAGGTTGCAAGTCATTGGCGGGCCACACATATTTTTAGAAAGATACAAATAGAATGGATGACCGAAGAATCACATTTTTTCACACATATCAGAAGTTAAATTTTAAGCAGCGCGCGAAGACTGAACATTTGAATATTTTTTGCGCCATTAAACCATTTGCACTTAGCATCACCTTTTCTGCGTTTTGTTGTCATTTGTCAAAATTATAATTACCGGTAAATTATAGTCTCATTAAACGAGTAATTGTGAATTATCTACTTGTAACGTTATAATATAATTTAGTTTACACATAAATTCTTTTGCGTGAAGAATATAATCGACAAAACAGCTAAAATTTGTTACTATAATTCAGTGAAGCGTCACCGGCCGGATTATATTGCCGTAGGTTGCATATCCCTGCAGTAAACTGAAGGCAACATGCCAGCATTATATCATCTCTAGTCTGGCTTTCTTTTAGCATAGGATACGATGTATATATTTATCCTGGGGGGAGAGGAAAGCCGATAAGACAACTTAACCATATGACGAACTACGGCCTCTCGTTTAGTTACCAGTCCTTGTCGGGTATGGGATTAGTTTGCCAAATATTTGCTTTCTTCCAAGATCTGTACTTTGTAACCATAAGAGGTTAAAACCCTATCATTTGGATTGGAAACAGAAAATAATTTGAAAACAAAATTAAATCCCATCCAAATCTTTGACTAATGAAAATGGAATAATCAATGACAACAAAAGAAATACATTAGGTTTATGGTAATTATTTTCTACAAAAAATAAATGAAAAAACATCTTTCTAAAATAGCAGAGTTTTTTTGATAAAAGAGTTTTACCAAAATTATGCATAAACTTATTAGCACACCTGAGTGAACTTAAGGCAGGGGTGCACAACACAAGGCAAGCGTGCCAAATTTAAAAAAAAAAATTTATGATATACATTAAAATATCACATCACGTTTATATCAAAATCAGCAGTTTTTTTTCAGGACATGAAATTGTTTCAATAATATTATGTATTGTTATTGCAATTTGTTTGTTTTACGGTAGTTAATTTACATTACCACAATTGTGCGTGGCACGCGACAAGATTATTTTGAAAAATTTGGCACGTATCCTCATTTGAGTTGTGCACCCCTGACTTAAGGTACTGTAAGTTTGTGAGATCACAGTAGATCTTGATAATCTTTGGCCTTGCTCTAAAGCAGTGGTTCCCAAAGTTGATTGACCGGGAGGGGCAAAAATAGAAGCGGAAGGATATTAGCGTGCCGGGAGAGGGTATCGGCCCACAGTGCCGATATTAGTACCAGTTAGTATTCCCTCTAATTTTTTGTAGTATGTGTACGCAGAAATTTTGGTGTGTGCGCACTTTTTTGGAAATGACTAGTATTTGTGCAGAAACCAATGAAGAAATATTGGCGTTCTAACCGGGTAATGGGTGGGCCAACAACAAACTTTCTCAACCTGCCAACCGAGAACATTGTTACATTACATCGAAATAGGTCTGTGCGCAGTAAATCTATGCGTGTGCGCAGCCTCTGAAAGCTGTGTGCGCGCGCACATGCGCACACTTTAGACGGAACACTGGTACTAGCGTATATAATTAAGATATTAGTATGATTAAATTGTTATGAATATACACAGACTTAAATTGTGATAATGCCGTAACAACTGGCGGTATCTCGAACACTAAAAAGTAAAAACATGAAGCATTGAACTATTTCCCTAAGTTCGACGAGCCATATAAAATCGTTACACAGTCCGTAATTGGCTTGCGGTTTGGAAACCACTACTCTAAAGCCACAAAAGAGTCAAGGACGCACATTGGCCCTAGGAACACTAAGGAAATCAATAAACAAATTTAATCAGTATCATTCCACATCTTCCATCTCAGCAGAAGAGGCGACATTCACCATTGGACACACAATGGACCATTCTTAGATTTAAAGAGGTATTTTGAGCAAATTATATAAATGAACAAAAAACACACATCCAAACACACACAATCTTTAAAAAATATCACACAAGCACAAATTATGAGAAAATGAATATTAAACAGTTTTTCTGGGGGGAAGGGAAATCGCGAGGAACCAAATCTGGTTATCGAGCAGCGACACCCAAGGTCCAAATAGCTAATTCAAAAATCTTTTGTTAAAATTTTCTAGTTGCATATTTCAGTTTTTTCTCACTGCTTATTTTCTGTTTCTGGTAGCATATTATGTATTCGATCATAGATAATTCCATCAACTCCTTGCTTTGTGAGAATTTCACGATTTTCTGGTTTACAGATATTGTCCCCATACAGAAAAAACTTCAGTCCTGAATTGTGAATCTTTTCAACGAGGGTAGGATCGGAATAAGCGTCTTTTTCACCTGTACAAAGACCGAGGAAATTCTCTGAAGAACAAAACGGGATTGCAAGACGATTATAACGGCTTCTTAACTCCATAAATGGGATATCAGTTGAACTATCTCCATTTGTGAGATACACAACAGGGAATTTATTTTGTTTTCTTCGTATCATGGTACAAATGTTAGCTTCAAAGCATGAAAACATGATAACGCGACTTCCTCCATGTTTGAAAACAACGTCAAAAACACTATCTAGAAATTCGTTAGCGTCGTAATAATAACGACCAACGTCATGATACCAAGTTTTATCCACATGATAATGTGGCCATTTCAACTCAATATCGAAGCCAACGTGTTCAGGGACAGCCTCGAATACTTCTTGCAAGGATGGGAACGGTCTGAAATGCGGATGAAGATCATCTTGGTGGAATTTTGGATCTCTAGTGTCAGTTTTTCTAGATCTATGCCGAGTAGCGTACGTTTGTAACTCATCGAACGTTAAACTTTGAACTTCAACTTCATGTAACGACCCTGATCTTTGTTCTAATTTCGAAACAACGTTCGTGCAAATTGTAAAATCATGAAAAACAACAGGAATTTTATCTTTCGTAAGTTGTACATCGAATTCGATCATTTCAGCACTATGCAGCGCCGCTTTCTGAAACGAAGCGATAGTATTTTCGAACAGATCCGACGTCGTTTCAGCAGTAAAAGAATTCCCTGAACCGCGATGCCCAATGTGAATAGTAGGACGTTTTTTCCAGTAGGTGCCGTAAGAATTTTCCATTGTAATTTCATCATTCTTATATGGTGTTATAACCATATATTCCATCTTTAAACTTCCGATACCTTTTCCATTATTATCCAAAATCGCTAAGGTTAGGTAAGAAATACTTTTGTCAAGCATACTGCCGACAACGCTAGCTCTGCCAAGATACTTTCTAGACTTATCAGAGATAATAAAATGCGCCGAGAAGGAATCGATGTGAACAGTTTCGGTGATGAAAGTCAAAACTTCGTCCCCACTTTGAGGTAAATCAACAGCAATCCCTCCATCGAGGGTCTCAAATTTAAACGGTTTGATCAACCGTGTTTGAACTCTGGTATTTTCTATATCAGGATGAAACAGAATCATGAGATTTTCACCGACGTTTTTTTCAAAACTTTTGTGCCACGAAACTACTGTTTTTGCTCCTGTAAGACTGATATTGAACCGAACTTCTGTCTGTCCAGTTAACCAACCTTGATCAACGATATTTATTCCATTTACGACACCAAAATTTCCATCATCAACATCCTGAGACTTTCCTGGGATGATATCAGTAGTTCGTACTTTATCACCGTGACCAATCTCCCATTTCCGCACAACCATGGTTTTATTATCACTCTCGTCATGCAAATAATCCCCGATAAAATATCTATATTTTACACTTGAACAGTTTTCAAATTTCACTTCAAGGCTCCATTTAGAAGATTCTTCATTAAATTGCAGGATTTTAGATCCCTCAAGTCGCCAATTTCCCAATTCTAAAGCATTGCCGACAATTCCAACGAATTCTGTCGAATCTGTGGTCGCAGATACCGAAAACTTGACAGTTACCATTATTTTCTTACAGTGCAATTTGAAACTAAGTTACAAAGCACCAGCTGAAAGCATGACATGCAATTCTGCCTACTCTAAGATAGTAATGGCTGTGAAAAATACAAAAAAATGTGATTGTGTATACTTTCAAAGGGAGTAATGCAAAAGATTGAATAACGAGAGAAAAAATGGACACTACAAGCATGAGAGCGCTATCGTAGATCAGAATCACCCAATTTACTAATCAAATACAATAAGGGGAATCATTTATCGATCGAGGAATAATTGATTGCAAAAACTGATGCATATGTTTGAGAAAATTGAGATAGATTTTCTACAGTTATCAAGAGATCGACAAGCAGACAAGGGAAGTAACATCATTTCTGATGAAAATTCATAAAATTTTAAGAATACGCAATATAGAATACAGCCTTTTCTGAATAGAGCATGTTTTCAAATAAAAAAAATGTATTAGATCTGTGTTACGTCTAGGAAGATGAGTAGTTGAACACAGCCAATTTCATATGTACAGTTCCATTCTCCAAGACAGTGATCACCAAAGTGTGGGTCGCGACCCCAAGTTGGGTCGCCTTGAATATTTTAAGGTTTGCCGAGTGTCCGGTGTTGTATTCTTGTTTTATTTTTCTATATTCTATTGCGTGCATTCTACACTGAGCTGACTAGCACTACATAGCAAGTTTGGGTATTCTGAATTATAGTGATATCTTTTATAATAAGGCTATTGTGTGGCGGCAATAATTAAATGGCAACACGAAATCTAGAGCGTGTGATAAAATTTTTGGGAATGAGATTTTACTGTGATTAGTTTTTAGTGGTTCAAAATGTTTTTTTCCTTGTTGGAATGATAAACAGAGGACGAAATGGAAAAAATCAACTTCTGCAAAAAAATAAAGTGATGTAGTGCTTGAAAAAATGTGAAAACACAGTGCTTGAAGAGATCAAAAAACAAAAAACTAAGCAAATAGCAGAATACAGGGTGTCCATAAAGTTCCTTTACAATTTCAATTTTGTTTTGAGTTCTGTCGGTTCTCAATATATCTTAACCAGGATTGATGTTTTTAATCAGTAGAGCTTTTGGAATGCTTGCGAGTCCAATTTTTTTTTTTTATGCCACAACACTGCCATTGCAAATTTGCAACCGTTTTTAAACATGTCCACATACTATAAACTTCCTTCGCAATAATTGCAATTGTTCAAAAACGTCATTCATTATTATGTTACAATGCCATCCACATCACACCTACACATCTGAAACACAGTTGAGGCAATACGCTTTTTCCATTGTACTTTTATAACTAACAACAGCACACAGAGAACAAAAATCTTGTCCGCAATCAGAGCAAGTTCGCAGGCAGGAAACACAGGACGGAGCTTCACAAAACGAGCAATGAATTGCGACTTGAGTGTCTTTGCAAACTCGACAACAAGTTGTGTTCGGAGAAGTATCCATTTTATTTGTTTTTTCTGAAGTTCCACCAAAAAACGACGCTATGCTTCTTTGTTTTTGAGAACGGTTTATGTTGTTGTTTCCTGCTGCCTGTATTTAATAAAAAATAAAGTCTTATAAATAAGAAATCCTGACTTATGATAAGTAGGTATGGAAATAGTTAACCAATTATTCGTTATTGAGGCTAGAGAAAGCTGCAACTTGCCAGCAGTTGGGTTAAACAAGGTTCCTCAAACTTTAAGCTCGCGACCTCTTCGAATATCTTGAAATATTTCTGCAATCCCTGTCTTACCACTTCTCTGATCCTATATATTCTCTCAGAATCGTGAAATTCATGTCATGCACTAGTTTTAATATTAATTGTTTTTCAAACCAAAAGTCTAAAAAAGTACAACATTAGATATAACGTAGTATTTCTGCATGAAATTGGTATACTTATTGTGAACCCTAAAATTTGTTATGCGTCCCATTGCGGGGTCGCGACCTTCAGTTTGGGAAGCCCTGGCGTGAACTATAAACAGGCGACTGAGTAGTCAGGTAGTCCTGGAATCCTCTGGCACATATTTATCCATCACTGGAGCCCAGACAGGGTAATCAAAGGATTGTGAAGTGCAGTTTTAAGTATTCTGTGGCATCTGCCGCAAAACCATGGCGGTATTTCCATACCATGGCCGCTACGGCCAAACTCATGGCAACTGACTTTTTAGATGCCACAAACCAATGTCGAGCTGCCGTTACCGCGGCAGCAAATTGAAAACCAATGGCAGGTAAAATTTTGCTGCCGTAACCACGGCAGGTGGGCCGTAAAGACAGGGCTGTCTATTATGGTGACAAATATTGGGTAAGTTGGAACGTTTTTCTTATGGATACAGTTTTGATTGATTTGGGGTTAGGGTTGGGGTTTAAGTAGATATAATTCCACATGATCAATTAAAATCTGGTACATTAATTTGTGAATATACAGTTAATACTGATTACTGAATACTGAATAGCACTATAAAACCATGGCAAGAGCTGCCGCGGTTCGTTCGTGGTAGGAGCTGCCATGAAGTGGTAAGAACTGCGCCTCGGATTGTGCGTGGAATGCGTATATATCTGCAGCTTATTACAATGCTTTTATTGTCGGGCCAATGCCCATAATTATTCAGTAGGGCACAGTTCTCTGTATTCACAATGTCACAACATTTGGTTCAATAAAACAAACTCTATTTGTCTTTGATTTGATGGTGTCATTTTTAAACTGCACTTGCTATTAGTTTATTTCGCACAGTTGGTTTGGTGATATAGAAGCCCAAACTGTCTCGTAAATGAAGGATTTGCACTCGTTGTCATAATTGATGTCTTTCAAAGTGGGGACTATTCTCGGAATCGGAAAACTGTGACGTACTGATATTGGGAGAAAATAAAATTAATTCATTTCTGAAAACTACTTTGGTTTTCCTAGGTCTCACCTGGGCTTCAGATATATCAGTTGCATCTCCATCCCCATCATCTTTGCCACAGACATATCCATTGTAAAAGTTTTTAGCTCCATCAACAAGTCTTTTCATTGTATTCTCATGAATTTTTTCCAAAATGCTTTTTCCAGCAACACCCTTGGCGACTTCCATTTGCCCAATATGTGTTTTTAATTGATGCGGGTCGTCAGTAAAAGGATTCGCTCGCTTTGTCATTTTTATTTCTTTTATGTAAATAACAAAAAATAACTGGAAAACTGATAGAAACATCACAAATCATCGTACTGTACCGCATTCTGCAGTTCCGACAATTTTCTGTTCATGTGAAAATCGATTCTGAACTGAAGAACTGGTATAATAAAAGTATGCACAGTATTTCGTGTGGTTTATTCAAAAACAATGTATCGGCATACCTAGGGTTACCGGGTCTGGTATAGTTTAGTACGGTACCACATGCACGTCTAGTTGGCTTGGCTCAACAATTTTTGCATATGTTATTTCTAACCCCCACCTGACCATGTCACCAAAAAATTACGTCACTACGACGCCACAGTGGCGTAATAAATACCGTACCTACGAAGTGTACGGATGGTCCAAAACGCGCAGTCAATCACCCGAAATCGAGCAAGCTATTTCTCTCGTTTTCTCCTCGCAACGATCCCGATATGAGAGAGACCGCTGGCGTTAGTGAGTTCGGTATCGTCGGCGCAGTTGCCATTTCGGACGATAGTAGCTATACTTGGCCAAGGGCCGGCAACCAACTTGCCTAATGTAAAACAGGTTCATGGACGCCATCTTGTGCCATATTGGGAAAACGCGAAACAATGGAGTCTTATGGGAAATTTTCGTCGTGTTGTTGTACCGAATCCAATAAGTCAGCTGTTATAAGGGCTAGAATGAAGCCGAAGGGTGGATTTTGAACTTTAAGCTATATGCTACTTAAATATTTAACGCAATACAAAATAAAAAACTATCTAATGCGTTAAATTCGGCCACAAACACAACGTAGAACCATTTTTGGTCATCTTTTTGGAAACTTTTAGAGTGATACGCCCATTTGACGGAGTATAATGCCACCGCAACAATCCTACAATGTCATTTGGTCTTCTAGCGCAGCTCGGAGCTGCGCAGGCAGGAATTATGGAGCTTGACAGGCGAGAAAATGTTGACCCGAAAATGGAAACGCCCATTGAAGCGAATTTGAGTCCCGAGGTAATTTCGACGAATAAATACAACTGTCCATCTGTGATATCACAAAGAACGCTATTGTCAAATGGTCAATTATGACGATGAAAATGGCCAACTTACTTCGGAAGCAACTCGAAACCGGCATACTTGTATTTAAAGACAATTTAATGTACTATAAATGCAATTTAGCAAACATGAAAGTATATCATCATGTTCGCCTAAGCTTCTACTTCAAAATGCGACCTTCAAAATCTTTCTATCTAAAATATTAATGAAAATATTAGGTATGTTTCAATAATTGTGTGAGAACTTCCCATAAGGCGTCGTGTTATATGGCCGAGAACAATAGGCACAAGATGGCGTCCATTGTCAGAGCGTTGCCTCGCTTGTATTATATATACGCTTTGTACTTGGCAAGCTCTATGACGTGATTGTGACGTCGTAGTCCTGTAATTTATGGATGACATAGCCAGGTGTGGGTTAGAAATAACATATACAAAGTTTGTTATGCTACGCTAACCGGAAGTACTTGTCCAAGTGCAGTTTTAAGTATTCTATGGCGTCTGCAGCTGCCGCAAAACCATGGCGGTATTTCCATACCATGGCCGCTACGGCCAAACCTATGGCGACTGACTTTTAAGCTGCCACAAACCAATGTCGAGCTGTCGTTACCGCGGCAGCAAATTGAAAACCAATGGCAGGTAAAATTTTGCTGCCGTAACCGCGGCAGGTGGGCCGTAAGGACAGGGCTGTCCCTTATGGTGACAAATATTGGGTAAGTTGGAACGTTTTTCTTATGGATACAGTTTTGATGGATTTGGGGTTAGGGTTAGGGTTTAAGTAGATATAATTCCGCATGATCAATTAGAATTTGGTACATTAGTTTGTGAATATACCGTTAATACTGATTACTGAATACAGAATAGCGCTATAAAACCATGGCAATAGCTGCCGCGGTTCGTTCGTGGCAGGAGCTGCCACGAAGTGGTAAGAACTGCGCCTCTACTTGTGGTACTAAACTATACCAGACCCGGGTTAACATATTTTTATGACCTCAAAGCAAGACGCCTCCGAACCATAGCTGTAATTTTTGCCACTTTAAACTTACCGATTTTACATTAGGGGCCTACATTCAAAACCATCCCGACTGTCTTTATTGCCATCAAGAGTTCATGCACTATCTGTCATCTGTCAAAATATCGGTTTCAGCTCGAGAAATAGAAATGAAATTTACGTTAACGACGAGCCGCCTTGGCGTACATGTTACAAATCGAAGCAATTGCCCGCTATTAATGTTAGCGGAAAACAACGAACAAACAAAACCACGCATTCACCTTCAGTAAGTACGGTACCGGTAGGTTACTGACACGCTCCACAACAAAAACAGTATCGACAGTTCGTGTATTATGCTAGCTGAACGCCAAAGCAGAACTTTTGGCTGACCGATCGGGACAAAATTTGATGGTAATAGCAATGGATGATGCATTTTTGTGTTACAGGGTTAAAATTTCACCTAATTATTAATAAACTGAAAGTGTCTATTTTCGCAGAAAGAATTCTATGTTTTTCTTGAAGTTTTTCTCCACATGAAAATGGTAGTGAGCCACAGAATTTTTGTGCAACGAAATGGGTTACGAAAGAAAAAAGGTTGAGAACCACTGGCCTAGAGACCGTATGGCAATATATCTTATATATGGGATGTATGACTTTATGACAATGGCTCTAATGCAAAATTCCTACCAAGTTATTCCTCAACAAAAGTGTGCAACGCAAGCAACGGAAAGAAGTGTGCTATAGAAAAACAAATCTCTCGTCGCATCGTCAGGATGTTTACCCAAGCATCAGATTTCCTTGTTTATTTCCGTAAGATTCAGATATTTTATTTCCGTCGTGCATGACATTTTGTATTTACACAAGTAATATGATGAACGATGAACGTAACAATTGTGATTTTTTCATCCAGATTCAAAAATGTTTGTAAACATTGCCCCGTTTTTTCTATTATTTGTTAGTTTTCTAAAATTAGTTGTAACCGAAGTATTTGATTTGTCATTCTGTCTTCTGAATTCCGATGAGCTTTAGTTTACTCGCAATAATCAAAATTGGTCCCGGAAAAGCTACGATAGTTTAGGCTAATGGTTGTGAGCAAGTAAATCAGTTTCTTAGTGTCAACTCTTCAAAAGTCTCGTAAAAAAAGCGTCAAAAGTTTTGCAATAGCAAAGTGTAGGGAAAATTTTCTTGGGTTAAGGGTCGGGGAAACATAAGTATAAGTTTATTTAGACTCCATAGAAGCAGTGAACAGGCAACCTGCCAGGCTTTCCCTCATAAATAGACAACAATATCTTTTTACCTTATTTTATTCTTTACAAACCAAAAGTATTTACAAGAAGAAATCAAATTTTGTAAAGCAAAAAAGACAAGACAAAAATTGGTTATTTTACAATTGTCACCAAAAACAATTTTTGTGCCATTTTTTTTAATTTTATCATAAAAATAAGACTTTTATTCAGATGACAAAAATGGAAAATTTTCAAAAACAAATAACAAGCTTATAATACATGGAATAGAACATAAGACACACGATTCCGACTCAAAAAGAAAAGGTGTGCTTTCAGGTACTCCATTTTGGGAGCATATATAAAACAGTCTAAGATGAGTCACAGTTTAACAACAAGACCACAGGATGCACTCTTCAAATGCAGGCACAGAAGTGGAGTGAATTCTGAAACTATACCATGTGCACTTTTTCAGTTGCCAATATTTCATGTTCCTATTATTAAAAAGTGTACATGTACACCCATTAATTAAGCAGATACATTTCTTAGACTGAAAAATAATTTCAAATTCAAAACATTAGCATTATAAATCATAACGGAACCATTTGAAACAATCTAAAATACATCAGCACTATTCGTTAAATATAAATAGTCATCCATGCATGATGAATTCTGCCACTGAAAAATTAATCACCATCTGGGAACAACGTAAAAGCAATATTCCGCCACTTTGTATTTGACAGCAACAAATATTGATATGTACAAAGATAGACACAATCCATTTGAGAGTTTCCAGAAATTACATTTTTAGGTACTCCCGAAGTATGTAAACCAAGATGGCGGACACCGGAACTAGCCAAGTGAATCCTGTAGTTTTTGTACCTGAAATTATGGACAAACCCTATCCTGGTACACATACTACGTTCCGATCTCCCCCATCTTGGTTCACATACTTCTGGAGTACCCATTTTTAAACATATTCTGATCTAAATAAAACAGTAAAGCATAGTTAAATGAGGCCCTGTTTTTTAAAGTTGATTTCAAAACAAGCAATTTTGACACCTTTTATGAAAACATGCTTCTATGGTTTGGACAAGACAAAAGAAAGATGAAGGGGCAATAAAAACAAAACGCACTATTTTTGATTTAACTGGTACATAATAAGTAGGATCTGTAGTAAGAGGGGGATGAAAAAAAAATGGAGATTGCTCACATTAACAGCATGTAGACAAATCATTGACAGTAGAGATGCAAGATATCAGTCAGATATATAAAGCTGTATTGCAGGAGCTTACATTACATTCAGAAATGGACTTTTTTGATCTCATATTATTATGGACCAGGAGCCGTATTCGTTTCGAAGCTTTTTCAGTTTTGATTTTAGATAGTGCCTATGTCCATTGTAAAGTCTGGCTGTTAGAACCATACTATTACACAAATTGTTTTTCTAAATTTTCGAATGTGACATAGGCTGATTTGTACCTCTGCAGTATGTGCTTTCATTTTCTTTTACTTTCCAAGAAACCATACTGAGAAGATAGCCTCTGAACGAGTCAATGACGAAATAGGAAAATGCATATTTTTTATTTGATTCCTTTAATGTGAACAAAATTAGGTCTGGAAAAGGGGTAAATAAACAAACTTAAAATACTTCATTGACACTGGTATTTTTCGGAACAAAAATGAGAAGACAAAAAAAATTTTTCTAGATAGGATTATTCTATTCCATCTGTTTAAAAAGAAAGGATCTCGTCAAAACACAGCAAAGATATAAATATAAAACCCCATTTTCCTCTTCCTGACTCAAAAAAACGTTCAAAATACAAGTACGGTATAAACAGAGTTTCACTTCGTAAAAAGCTGGTGAACGCATGCAGGCACAGATTTCTTTTACAAAAAGCAGTTTTCAAAATATTTGTTGTATCTTCAGTGGCCGGGTTGAAAGTCAATGTTATATCTGAAAATAAGAGATATTGTGGTGTTAGGTTTTACACAGGTACTTGGCCTACTGATATTTAGGGCGCTACTCAGTGGATGGTCTGCAAAGTTTTTATTTAAGTGAAGCCCAAATAGTAAAATGAAAAAATATCAAGGAAATTTTAAATTTATTCATGTAATAAACTTGTGAAGGGGCATTTATTTGTAACATCACTAACATGCCATATCACACCCATAATTGAAATTTATCGGAGGCCCACTGGTGAGTGATTAGCGGCCCACAGTTTGCAGACCACTTTACCAAGTGTTGGATGGAATCTTCAAACACGGATGAAAAATAATTAGTGTTATTGGTTATATGAAAATGTTTAGAATTAAAAACATCAAATGATATAATTCAGGGGGGCGTTTGAAGGTCGGACCCATCTTCCCCCTTTTAAAATGTAAACAAAAAGCATTTTTCTGTATCATACATACATAGCAATTTTTTGTAGCTTGAAACGCATTTCACACCCTCAAGACTTCAGTTTGGGTCCCAGATATTCAAACTCAGGGTGTAAACGGTTCGCGCATGTGAAATAAAAAGATATTGTGGCGTATTTCTATTGGTACTCCTGTAGTGTGCGTACCAGGTTAGGGTTAAGGGATAATTTTATTCCGATTTTCGGGGCTCCCGAAGTATGCGAACCAAGATGGCGGACATCGGAATGTAATATGTGTACTAGGTTAGGGTTAGGCCATAATTTTAGGTATAAATACTACGGGAGGCTCTTGGCTTGTCTTCGAACTGATAATAGGACTAAAATTGGAAAAAAATTATCGCCTAACCCTAACCTGTTACCCATGTTACGTTCCGATGTCCGCCATCTTGGTTCGCATACTTCGGGAGCACCCGATTTTCCTTATTTTAGTACTATTACGAGTTCGGGGACTGTCTGTGTTAGCAAATGTGTGAGCATCCCCCCTGCCGTTAGGCTTCCGTCCCTTTACACAACTTGATGTAAAATGGGCAAACAAAATTAGTTACCTCCATATTAGTACACGCACTTCGGAAGCGCCATTTCTATTTGTGGGATTCGATTGCTTTTACATCGCCTCATTAGGATGAATAAAAAAGATTGTGATTTATCCCTTTTTGTAGAGATTAATGCTTTTTTGCAAAACTATCTAAGGAAATACTTACAGCATCAACGTTTATCCCGGCTTTCTGTTTAGTTTCTCGACCATAATTCTGTGGAACAATCTCTTCCTCTTCATCAGTTTCAGATTCTTCCTCGGAAGACGTTATGACATCATCACGAGCTGTTTGCTGAGGTGCGACGGCTTCACTGACATCATCAAACATAATTTCACCTTCGTCAGCATTCGAACTGAACATATCCATGTCGTTAATCTTGGCTGAAAAAAAATTGTTTTCATAATGAGCATTGACAAAAAACTTGGAATAATTCGAGTCAGACCGTAACAATCTAGCGGGCCCAGCAATCCTCTCTCACATACTGCACTGGATTCAAACTTGCAAAACAATGCAGGGCTAATCCGAATGATAGCAGCGTATTCGGTACTCCCGTAGTATGTGAACGAAGATGCTGGACACCGGGATGTAGTATGTGTACCAGGTTGGGTTAGGCCATAATTTTCCTTATTTTAGTTCTGTTAGGAGTTCAAGGACTAGCCAAGTGACTCCCATTGCATTTGTACCTGAAATTATGGCCTAACCCTAACCTGGTACATACATACTAGAAACGCTTTTCCATCTGCAACGGCCGATTCCAAAACCACATATTACCGTATTTACTCGAAATTACGCCTATATCGCGAATAGGCCGTCTCCCTTAAAGCGCGATTTCATAAAAAATCGCACATAAGCCGGTCCTACGAATCGTGACATGCCGGACGCCTCAAGAAAAACGTAGAAAGAGAACAAAATTACTGTAACGCAAACATTTCTCACTTTTATCGTTCCTGCATGTTAGGGAGGGCCGTAGGTGGATTATTACCCGTAACTCTTTCTTGTTAATTTATGTTAAATAAAGTCTATATTGCTTTTCAGTGCGTCGTGATTGTGTCAGGAGTTTAAAATATAGTTCCTGAATCAGCATAAAACAATTTCCTTTGATCGCCACAACGGCGATTAATTTCGTTCCTTGTCCGTTTCAAGGAAAGATATAACGCTGTATTAACACATTCTTATAAATCGCTACGAATCTTAACACGCCAGACGCCTTAAGAAAGGCGCAGAAAGTAAACAAAATTGCTGTAACACAAATATTCCTCACGTTTATCATTTCTGTTTGTTAGCGAGGACCGTAGATTCTTACTCGTAACCTTAATTGTAAATTCATGTTAATAAAGTCTATATTGCTTTTCATGTGTCGAGATTTGTATTAATGGAAGGGATTGTTGTCCGGCGTTTGAGAGAGTCCCTGAGTCAGCATAAAACAATTTACTTTGATCGTCCACAACGCGGTTAATTTCGATAAGAGTCCTTATCACCGCCCCTTAACGGATAACATATCGTAAAGGTGATTAAAAGTTACGTGCCGTTAATTGCCTCTACGGCGATAGCGCACCAAATCATAACATTTTCTCCGAGAAACAACTGGCCGTAAATCGACACTGTTGCACAAGCGAGCGAACACAAACCAATCACAGACTGTACAAGCGTCACGTGTTAAACAACCAATCACAGACTGTACAAGCCATCAGCTGTATGATAAGACAATCCACCTCACATGCGATTGTGTGTGTGCGTGTACGTTTTTTATCGAGAACTTGCTATGGTTTGAAGCTTTTGGAATTACCGGCAAGTCAGCATAATATCATCTCGTTGCGTAATCAAATTCTGATGCGCGAATGAGCCGCAACTTTTTTTTGAGTTTTAAACTATCACCCTCTCCAACAACGAATGAATAATGCTTACCAGAATCTGGCAACTCTCCATACAGTTTCAAGTTTCTGGCTTCCTCAGCATTGTACTTCATGATGACATCTGCTTTATCATCTTGGTAATCTCGCAAACCGATTAATATAATATCTGCCTGATTTATCCAAACCTAAATAAAAAGGTTTGAAAAAAAGATGAAATAAACGCTGCTCGTTAACCAATCCTAGTTCCCCATGACTTCCCTTCCCCAGTAAAATGTGTGTTTTGTCAATTTCGAAGGTATATGTCGCTGCTGTGATGAATAAATATCAATGAGTAAACGTATAAATATTCGAGTATTTATTATTACTATATGATTTTTGAACAAATCTTGAGACGACCAGAAGTCAAAGTCATGTGACTTCGTAATCGAGAAGGTACAAGAGGTGAGAAAAGTCTGTAATCCAGAAAGATCTTGGTCCTTCAAAAATAATGGCTGCCCATGAATCAGTGGCTGGAAAACTAGTTCTATGACTATCTGTGGCAACTTGCAAGCCTCGTGACTTGCTCAGAATAAATGATAACTAGCGATATTTTTTTCACACATTTAAACCTATCATAACAACCAATTTAATCCACTTCTATTCCGAATGGGACATCGAAGTTTGGTTTCCATATTCCCGGCAATACTACACGCCGGCGACAGATGTTAAAGACAAATATCAAAGTGAGAAAAGGTGACTTGCTCAGAATAAATAAAAAAAAGATAAACTTACTTTTTTTCTTAATTTCCCTCGTATGTGACAGAGTCGTTTCACACCGTCAAAACACATCGCTTCTAACCGGCCGTTCCCAAGCATCTTGATAACCTGGGATTGTAAACAAATGAAGTTAGTCGGAGATGCTAATATCTGAGTAGTTGGTATGTTACACGAATATCTCCGATTTTAAATATTCCAAATAAAAAACTACTTTTTTTCATGTGCACAACGAATTAAAAAATTAGCACAACAGGAACGCAGCAGGAAATGGAACAAAACGGCAAAAGATTTAACACGACGTCAAGAGCAAAAATCATATGTATTTTTATCCATCTGAGCAGCTTTCGATAACATAAACAATTGGATTCGAATTTTATGCTTGATAGGGAAAAATCAAGAGTGTTGACAAGTGCCACATGTAAATGGCTTGACGAGGGGGTTTGTTGCACACTCCTGTGTCAGACCTTACTTTGAGCAAATTTTGTGAAATAAAAATGTTATAAGCATAAAATATTGAGCAACATACCTGAGCATATTCCTGACCATCTTCCTTGAAGATCAATTCTCTTTTCTCTCTGTCATTTTCATTCTTACCCCTTCTACGATTTTTACCTCCCTTTCCTAAAAAAAGAATGAAAATTTTTTCAGATTTGCTGTGAACGAGCAGCACGAAACAGGGCCGCGAGTCTGAAATATTGGCCATTCTAGAAGCGTGTGTACCGATGTGGAGGTAACTAATTATGTTCGCCTACTTTCCATCAAGTTGTGTGAAGGGACGGAAGCCTATAGGCAGGGAGTATACTACTCTCCAAACTCGTATTAAAACTAATAAAGGGAGGATCGGTTCGCCTAACCCTAACCTGGTACACACACTTCAGGAGTACTGAAAAATTTACCATAAACACAGAAAAATATCTTGGGTTCACATGAGAGGTGAAAAAAAGCTGGCTCCGATTAAGAAAAACTTTCAGATTCATAAACAAATTTAACTGAGACTCTGAACTCAGATTTTGATAAACACTTTTGCATATGATCGGATTACATATTTATCCCGGAGAGAGAAAAGATGATAAGACACTCAATCATATGGCGAACCATGGCCTTCTCGTCCGGTTACCAGTCCATGTCAGGTATGGGATTAGTTAGCCAGTTATTTGTTTTCAGATGCACAACTTCATGGTGGAGGAAGCAATAACTGACCAGCATGCACGCCTTCTATAAAAGACTGTTTGTTATTAGGAATGCATTTTAAATTCAATTAATAACTTACTTCAGGTTGGGAATTATTTTAACCCCAAACCCTAGAGTTGAAAAAAAATTAGGTCAGACCCCGATCAAGAAAAATTCAACTAATATCTTACCTTTATTTTTCGGCATATTGTTCTTTAAAGTTGTTTAAGTCAATTCACAAAAATGTTTCGATTACTAGATTTATTTTGGTAAAATATTTCTAAAAGATAAACAAACACATAGCATTAAGTACACCCACCCTTGAACAAAATAGTTATGAAAATCAAATATTTCCGGCATAATTGGGGGGGGGGGGGGGTTGCGAAAATATTCAGTATCAATGAAATTAGAAATTGAAGCCATACGAATAAGTCTCCCTTGGGGCACATTACTACTTCATTTTCTGTAAATTTTGTTTTAACAAAATCATGAAGTCAAACTATTGGAGGGGAAATTGGAAAAATAATAAAAACAATACCTTTTCAAAATGAATTTTACTGAGATCCCTATCTACTATTTTTCCAAACAGTAATGTTGTAAAACTTGGTATGATGATTGTGTTCATGTTACACGAAGATCAATATGAAATTGGCAACAGCCATGAAAAAGCAGTAATGATTGTAGGCTATGGCAGTTATTACTGGAAGGGCAAAATAAAAAAGACCTAAGCAAAGCTGAAAATGAATAGATACTTCAGTGACTGAAAGTTACTCTTAGTAACAATAGGCAAAAGATATTCAAACATTGACGCCTGTTTCCTAATACGACCTAACTAGTTAGTTTAGAAATACACTATACACTAAAAAAATTTCGATTAAAGCGAAATCAGAATTTTGCTTTTTTCGGTGATCCAACAAGAACATTGACAAAACTGTTTTGGTACTTGGAGATTTAAAACTGTGGAAGTTTTCCTGTTTAGTTTAAATAAGTAAAGCTTGACGATGCAATCTAGCCAATGTCAATGAATGCCCGGTGTTTCTTAGTCCATCATTTTCTTCATTTTCCGCAAGTTTGATCAAAGTAAAGGCAGATAGTTTAAAGAAGCACCCAATAAAGCGTTCTGATTTAATCTCGACAATTCAACTTGACTACTGTAAATGAACACTCAGTGTTTCTTCTAATTTTATCCGTCCATTTTTGTTTTCGACAAGTTTGCTCAAGTAAAGTCGGACGGTTGCTCAATAAAGCTTGTATAGGTTCTGTTTCAACAATTCAATATGGTCAATAAAGTGAGACATTTTGGTCATTACATTGCACATATCTCATGCGGACTCCATAAAATGAGAATTGCAACTTCAATATGCCACAATTTTATGCAGTAGCAGCTTCTTCCTTACTGAGTACTTCTCCATTTCCTTCACCATTTTGTCCATTCTTGTCAGAACCGTCAGCAACATTTTGGTCGGTACTTGCGGCTACTTCTGTTTCCACAGCTGAATTCTCATCTGTAGCGCCATCATTAGGGGTACTGTTGCCAGTTTCGTCAGAGTTTTCTGCTCTCTTTCTTCGATTATTTTTATTTGGGAGATACATTTCTGGTATTTCATGTCCAATTAGATTCAAAAAATGAGCTCTTTCATACTTATTCATGTACAATCTTGCAGATTTTTTCCCCCTCCATCCGCTCATTAATAGCTTGCATCTCACGGCCACAGAATCATTTTCAGGAACATACTTGAACACCATGCTACCCGGATCCAAATCTTTGAGTTGGTTGATCAAATATTCCGACAAAGTTTCATAATCTGGTTGTTCTTCACACAAAAGAAGTATCGTGTCGTCAATTTTTATATCAACAACTCTTTTCTGCATGAACGGTTCCATAACTTCGCTGCCATCTTGTGCGACTCGAAATGCACATTTCAAATTTGGTTGGTTATTGTCGCTTCTACTAAATACTCGAACTCCGGAATTAATAAGTTTCAAACGATCGGGGTTATTAGTAATGATATTCCTAACAAGAGATGAAACCATATAAATATGTCGCTTTTTTTCTGCGCTTGTGCGAGATAACAACTGGGTATCTGGAAATTCATCTTTCAAAGCGTAAAATGACTTAATCTGAGATGTAATTTCTTTATCAGAATCATTGAAAAATATAAACGGATCCTCTTTGAAACCAGCGCCCCATTTTTTTTTCTTCGCCGGAGGGGCTTCGGTATTCTGTTCTTTGTTTTCATCCTCTTTTAATGGCTTTTTGGCAATGATTTCTCTGTCTTTTTCCCATGGTAATTTATCCACTTTTTTTAAAACAGCTACGAAGAATCCGCCAGTGTCTTGGTGATGAGGTAGAAGTCTCATACATCGCTCCAAGTTGAGGTTTTCTGCGTTTTCAGGTGGGAACATACTCGGTCGTATGTGAGATTTTGTCTCAGGTACTTCAGTGTGATTATTATACCAAGTACCATCACGTTCTAACACCCGCCATTTTGAAATCCCCGGGCTCCATTTTAAACCCTTGAGTTCGTCCATCACATCAATTAGCTCTACTGATCCTTTACATTTTGTTAGCATATTTGCGACGACCGCTTCATCTTCAATAGGATTTAACGAGCATGTAGAATACACTATCCTGCCTCCAGTGGCAAGAAGTTCTAGTCCGCGCTGTAATAAACGAGCTTGTAAACCATGTAAATATAACCCATTACTGACAGTCCACTTTTTCCAAACGTCTGTGTTTTTACGCATTGTGCCATCACCGGAGCACGGTACATCCGCTAAAACACGATCATATCTTAATGGTGACATTGTGCCATCTTCATTTTTAATTTCCAACGATGGAAATTGAGAGCCATCATGATTAACGACCATCGAAACAGGGCTGTTTAATCGATTTATTTGATGGACAAGCATATAACATCGTTTGTTATCTTTATCATTAGCGATACATAGACCTTTACTTAGGCTGTCATCGCCATCATCTGTGTGCAACATTTCTATAAGTTGTGCAGTTTTTGAACCCGGAGCTGCGCATAAATCCAAGATCTTATGATGGGGCTTTACGTCTAAAAGCAATGGTGGAATCATGCTCACAGATTCTTGTCTGGTGACATGCCCACTCTCAGTTTCAGTGATCAAAAAATTATGGAATTTTTCCAACTCAGGAACTTTACGAATTTGTGTTCGGCTGAGATTCGTTTGCCAAGCTAATTCATCGGGATACCATGTCAAAGGTCTTGGTATTTTAATAACTTCATTATTTTCTAATTTGATATCGGCGATACCTGAGAAATGATTCTCTTTCATTTTTCTTAGGAGTTGTTTAGCATGTTCTTTGTACCCGGTAATCCGGAAAACCGCTGGCAAAGGCTGCCTCATGGACGCCAAAAAGTCGTCAAATTCGCTCTCCGGGAAACATTCTTGCGCTTTGTAATAGTCCACATACTTCTGATTTTCCTTTACAATATTACTATAATGCCCCTTGTCACGTCGATCTCCTCCAAAGTGAACCTTTTTGCGCCTTCTACCCATCGTGGTGAAAATCTTCAGCATAAACGATGAAGAACTCACGACAGCGTTGTGGTGAACGAAATGTGGACGGATTGCGAAATCCTGTCGAATTACACAATTCCCACTAGATGGAGATATTAAGCAGAACAAAGGAGGATTTTTTCTTTTTTATTCATTTATGATGAAAGAAGACACGACCAGCCAGCAGTTACTTGAACCACACTCCGACGGCGAAAAGTACAACAATTTGGCCTAAATATTATGTTTATATTTATGAGCTCCCTTGAATGCCTTAATCATGCTTCAATCTATGCAAATCTTCCTCGCATACCGTACTTATTCTGTCTAATTAGGATTGGATTTACATATTTATTCCCGAGGAGAAGAAAGCCGATAAGACGGCTTACCCATATGGCAAACCACGGCCTCTCGTCCGGTTGTAACATACCGGGTAATGGTTTAGTTCAGTTATTTGTTTTCGGAAGCATGGGCTTGATGGTGGAGGAAGCCGTAACCGACAAGCGGTTACATGAACCACCCTACAGCGGCGAGGAGTCCAGCAATCCTCTCGCACATAACAGCCACTGCATAAGATTCGAACCTGCGTACCCACGCAGAGTAATCAGAAGTGCGGTGACGACTGTATTCCTAACGCTTAGCACGATGAGCCACACCGACACGCCCGGGATGAGTATTTGCTTATCTCGTAATTATCAGATGTTATATTTATATAAATTTCAAATCACTTACCGTATATTTCTAGGCTTCTAGTACTCATTCCGAAGTCTAATTTCTAAATCTGACTTTGTATGTTGTCGCTATGAACCAATCCTAGAAATGGTCCCCAACAGCAATTTCCTGCCTCATATACAACATCCAGGGGTTCAGCTTTTTGGACATGTTTAGTGGACATAACGATCGTTTTGTTGTTATGTTGTTCTTGTTGGACACGTAGTGGACCGTTTCAATATTTTGTTGTTGTTGTTCTTGTTCCTTGGCACGTTTTTGGACACTTAGTGGAAAACCTAGAAAGTCGTTTTTCTTTTTGATTACTAGACCAATTGCTCTAAAATTTTCAGTGGTTACAGATAAAATTTTTCTCCAGAAGACAATTTTTTCACGTGTCAATCCTAACCCCAACCCGACCACACCATCCAAAAATTACGTCACTACGACGTCACAGTGACGTAATAGAGCCCTTCAAATCAAAGTGTTATAGTCACTTTGCTTCAAATTATGCGAACTGTCATCCAAGACGCGCAGACGAGAACCCGAAATCGAACAGCCATTTCTCTCGTTTTCTCGTCGTAACGATCCCGATAGGAGACAGATCGCTGACGTTAGTCAGTTCTTTATCGTCGGAGCCGATGCCATTTCGGGCGATCGTACGAGTATTTGGCAAGGTTATAAATATAAGTATAAGTTTATTTCGACTCCATAATCAGCATAACAATACATTTGACAGATAAAAACAAATAAATAAAAACTGATTATGAAATCAGGGGAGCAAACGAAACCTAAAATAAGGTTTATACCGTACAAAATATAAGATGGAAGGTTTTGCCAAGAGGAAGTGGTACGTGTTTACTCACCTAAAATTATTAGGTTATTTCACACACGCTCACATGCACCCACCAGCCACACACACACACGACCACTGAGAAGTTATTTAGGTAAGAATAAAACGCGATAAATTTAGGGTATACTATACAGTAAACAAAAAAATAAATAAATAGATACTAGAAAAGAAAAAAAATTATTTGCCACACCATATTGATATTTTTGTAATGGTTGCCATTGCCAAATCGATCGATCTTCTAATCGTGAATTAAAATATAAAAGGAAGATTCTATTGAAAACATATTGCCAAGCTGATTATAGTTGGAGTCAAATGCCAAGTTGCCCAACCAAAGTTGCCAGAATTGGGTGCATGAAGAGGTGGGCGAGACCATTTCATTCCCCAAATTAGAGCCTATTATTGCCAAATTATAGTCCAGATTGTAATAAGTAATTAAAGTTACCGGTAACAGTAAAATTACTATAATTAAGTAAAGTATGATATGGAAATAAATCGGTTACAAAGGGTGAAAGTGAGATTTTCTATTCTTGGGTATTGATTTCAGACAAGGATACAGGAATAAGGTTGTTATTTCACAGGATATCGGAGTCTTTTTTTGATTTTTTTCTTATGTGTTTTACTTCATTTAATCACTTTGAAATAACCTGAAAAACAAAAAATAAAACTGCGAGTAAATGTTTCAATGATTGCGTGAAGGGGAACGCGCTGAACTATTTATTACAGGCAAAAAATAATTGTTTGATTAAATGGGATGTATTGTCATTATATAGCGATGGATAGATGATCTATGATGACATTCTGCTGAGGACAGAGAAAAATTTATCACACCATGCAAAAAACACACAAAATTTTACTATATACCCTTGCCAACAAGTCAACTCAAACACCAATACCATGCCTTAACATAAAATGCATGCATACATAAATGATATAAAAACCACATCCAATCACAATGACCCACAGCAAATTAAAATCTGAAGGGGAGCATCCAACATAGCTCTACTACATGCCTAGTTGCAATAATTAGTAACCTTGCAGGAACTATATTATGCTATCTACAACCCTTATACCACCACTCAAACGTAAGACTAAGCGTGTATGATAAGGACATCACAGCTAGAAAAAGGTAAAAACACGAGCGTGAAGTGATAGAATGTGTGCAGTCATTTAAAGAAAATATCATCCGGGTATGTCAGCTACCTATATATTTAAAAAAAAATATATACTCATGCATGTCACAATACCATTTCTTTGGTGCTGGACTAGGTCTGGCCAAGTCATGGCAAGATATAACAATATTATTATAGCTGTTCAACATTTTCATTAAAACAATAATGTGCAAGTGTGGAGTGTCCCAAGTTTTTGTCATCGAATACCACCAGTAGTAGTTTTTAATATTTGGAAACTAAATGAGACTTGTCTTGTTTTTGAAAAGATTTTTTGGACTTTAACGTCTTCAAATTTAAGGGAAGAGAATTCCAAAGTTTGGGTCCAGTAAAAGACAAGGAATGCTGACTCACAGATTTACTCATGAAAGGTAAAAGAAATCAGAACTACTTCTTCGGTTGGAGGTTTTTTTGACAAGTATGTCATTAAAGCAATTGGGCAGCGCATTATTATGGAAGTCGTAAGCTAGGCTAGGGATAATATTTCAAATTTCATCATATCTTCAACCTTAAGTATATTGAGTGATTTGAAGTAAGAGTCTACACTTTCACGTTTTCTTTTACCAAGAACTATTTTTAAAAAATTATTACAAATACTCTGCAGTTTTGAGACAAGTGTTTTATTACCATGAAGCCAGACTGAACAACAATATCGAATATGACGAAGTAGTAATGTTCGAAACATTGCTAGTAGAGCTGATTGATCAACACACTGGGATACTTTGGCAGAAACTGCTAGGTTTCTTTTTGTTTTACCAATAACATGCATTATTTGTGATTTCCATGACAGATTTTCATCAAAAATAGCTCCTAGAAATTTTATTTCTTTCACTCTTTCAATTTCATTGCCATTGAGCAGTAGTTTTTTTGAACAACTCACACTTTTATGCTTGCTTGGATGGAATAATACAAATTTAGTTTTGTTAGCATTCGGAGATAATTTATTAACTAACATCCAGCTATGAATGTTGGTTAGTTCTTGGTTTGCAACCCTGAATAGATCTTCGAGGTTTTCCCCGTGAAGAATCAAGTCAGTGTTATCAGCAAACATGATTGACTCAAGAGGATTTCAGACACCTGGACATGTCCATTAATGTAAGCTAGAAAAAATAATGGGCCAAGTAAAGATCCTTGTGGAACTCCGTGCTTCATGACACAAATATTTGTAGAAAATGAGTTGTCATGTTGCACAATTTGCTTCCTGTCTTGAAGGTAGCTCCTGATCCAATTGAATGGGACGCCTCTAATTCCATAGTGATAGAGCTTACTTAAAAGGATGGAATGGTCAATGGTGTCAAAAGCTTTTGAGATATCAAGAAATATTCCAATTGCATGTTGTATGTATTCAAACGCCTTGGTCAGTTTGTGTACCAAAACATTGGCAGCCATAGCAGTGGAGTGATGCTTGCGGAAACCAAATTGATGAGAGTGGAAAACATTGTTAGTTTCAAAGTAGTTTGACATTCTACTATACATTATTTTTTCAAGAATCTTAGAAAATGATGGTAAAAGACTAATAGGTCTATAGTTTCCAAGATCTGAAACACTACCCTTTTTAAAGAGAGGAAGAACTTTGGATGTCTTGAAGCTTTCAATGAATAATCCACTAGATAGTGAAAAATTAAATATATATGTCAGGATGTAGTATCTATGACGTTATTGTGACGTCGTAGTGACGTAATTTTTGGATTTTTGGTCATTTTGCTACTCATATATCGAGTACCGAGGCTGCTTTGCTTGGACACGGAACTTTCGCGTCACTGAACCAATTTCTTAAATTCCGCGAGAATTAGCCCACGGCTTTTGCTAACAACAGAAAATAACAAATTTGAGGAGTCATATTAAGTTATTGTTTCAATTCCTAGTTCTGCATAAAGCGCACTAACGCCGTTTCGTAAAATTAGAAATGCAAAACAAGGTAACAAGCTATTGTGCGAATTTTTTTCCTAAAATTTACCAAGGAATTATCATTTGACTAGTAGAATTGCGATTATTGCCGATTTATTAAATTATCATTTGAACTCGAAATAATATTCAGGATTCACGCAATGACTTTGCAGGGTTTTCATTTATAATTTAATACAAAAATAAACAGGCACAAGTTCAGGCGCGCAGCCAAAATTTAAAAAAAAGGTGGGGGGGGGGGGGGTAGGGTCAAAGTCGGAACTTCCCATTGCCGTCTGCAACAAGCACCGCGATTACGCGCTCGTTAAAAGAGCCGCCTATTTAAACGTATAATGATTTTTCTGTCGCGTAAACTATTCAATCTATGACAGCCACGAGATTCTAAAATGTCCTTATATATTAATTTAATTGTGTGCAACGTAACTCGCGGTTGCGGCTTCTTACGTCAAAATAAAATTATTACTAAACTAAAGTACCACGGCGATATGTTGACATGAAAATATGGGATTAGCTGCCTGATGTATTGAATTTTGATACGTATTTTTGCAATCTTCAGAACTCGTTACAAAAATCTCTATATCTGATATAAAATCCCATATAGTACAATTTTACTTCATACAATGAAAATAATTATAAAGTATACTAGTGAATCAAAAATACAAATTCACCGCCGCGATTACGCCACTTGTTAAAAGAGCCGACTTTTTCAACGAAAAATGATTTTTCGCTTGTGCAAAGTAATTAATCAAAGACCGATATGGGCATATTCAAAATGTCTTGATTGATTAATTTAATTGTCTTCAATTTAGACTGCGGTTGAGTCGACAAAACAAGAGCCACTCTAAAACACCACGGCAATCCGCGGACATAAAAATGTGTGGTAAACTGCCCGTTTATATATTGTTTTGATCCGTATTTTTGCTATTTTGCGAATTCGATAAATTTGAGATGTAGCCTACTTGTAACACTGGCTCCGCTCAATCGCAATGTTGTCACTCCGATTATTTTCTGTCAATTCTCACGTAGTAAAGGATATTTCAGTACAATAAAAATACATAAATTAATACAAAGATTTATCGAATATACTTTAATTATCTTATATATCATCACAGCCCGGGAAAAAGTCGTGTTCTCAGCTTTGTTTAATGTTAACACTAAAATTTTCGACGTCAATTCAAAAGTAATGGTTAAAAAGGCAAATCCTGCTCACAATTGAAAGGGTTTTTGGATTTCAGTGACGAAATGTTTTTACAGGTCAAGCAAACATAATTTGTACCGTAGGCACACGAAATTTTGCGATTTTCGATGCCTAGAAAAGCTTTTTTGGACTGTCGCGGGCCTCAACAAAACTCATATTATTTACAGTTTTATTTTTAGTATTTTATATTGTCGCGTTTCAACTTATGGATACTTATTAGAATTCTCGCCGGGTTCATAAGTCCGTGCTTGTACAAAAATAAAATAATTATCATAGTCATCTGGTCACAAATTTGTGGAAAATTTGTGATTTAGAGAGGATAAACGCCAACGTAGGGGCGTTTACGACCTAAATAATAGATCACAATGATGAAAACAATCGGCGATTTTAGAAAAAGGCAATTGCATGCGTTATTGGCGACTTTTTCAGTTTTTAAAAAAATTCAGAAGGGGTGGGGGGTATCTTTTTTAGATAGTTTCTGTCGTCTGAAAAGTCGAATAGGCGTTTCGACATAGTAAATGATTTGATCTTTGCCCGCAAATTATGCTGGGCCTTGCACGAAATCCATAACGTGAAAAGATACGTCCAGCGGTGAAAATTGTTTATAACAACTTTAGATCTAGTTAATTTTTTAGCGATAATAATTAATTGCTGTAATGAAATACAGTTTGCCTCTTTCACTTCTCTAGCAAGTGCCCACAATAACACTATTGAAAGATTTTGACAATGAGAAAACCATATGAAATTGTACAAAAATGAATTAGTTGTGCAAAACCGTGGCGCGTGATCGATGGTGCGTTTGAAGACGGAATATTACCCGTGCGGGCGCGCATGTTTCACGAAAATGTGAAGTCCTCCGAAGGAGCTCTGGTCCACATTATTGTAAGAAAATACTTATAATATCGTTAACTATTAACCGTTTAATTGCGCTTGACTATCGCACTTTTCGGAAATGATAATTTTGTAAGGCAGAAACAATATGTATTAAAATTGTTGCGACATTATTGGGGGGGGGGGGGGGGAGTTTGTGTCCGCCCCTGCTTAAAATCATGCCGGTACCCTGGCCGGAAAACCGTTTATACTGCCTCTACTTTTACCTTGTCAGTGGGGCAATTACGATCAAAAACGTATATTTGCGATCAGCAAAAATCTCGCCAATCGGAGCGCCGACGTTTCTGTTTTAGACCCTACATAGGTATGGAAAATGTTTGCGAAAGCAGCTTTTGGGTGTGCTGACGCGAATACTGTCATCTAACAAGCTTATTACAAACGTTTTTTTTTTAACCGAATCTCACTAACCCTACCTGATTACTGTATTTGATTCTACACGGGACAAATAAAATTGAATAGCATAGCGACTCAACCTTGGTCCATTCAATAAACCGATAGTAATACCCCTACTTTTTCATTAGTAATTACAATAGATACAATAGGACGCTGGTTTGTATTCAATCAACATGTGTATATATTGCAGTATGGCGAACAGGTTCCCGTGGGTGACTGGAAAAACAGCCTTGTCTTGTCATATGATTAAATTACGCACATCTCTTCGCCCCATCACGGCGATGTGTACAAAAATCTTAATCTTTCGGTAGAAGGCCGGTATGTTTACATTGCAGAGAACAATATTATCAAATTTATTTCTGCGCTCAAAACGCATTGCTATTCAATATAATGAGAGGCAAAACCTATATTTTCGATGACTCCCAATATGCTCTGCAATTATGTCAAATCCTAAACTGATTAATTTAAATAATTACAAATGGTGCTCGTAAAAAATTTTGTTAACAAGAATGAAATTTGACATTGGCGCTGATACATTAAGAATCATGAGATCGGTCATTTAAACGTTTAAATCAACAAGAAACATTCAGAGGTTCATTCATGGTTGGTGTAACCTACGGCAAATACAGGGCAGGTAAATATGATTTATTACGTTATTGACCGCTCAGTGATTGTTCATAAATTGATTGTGGGGAAAGATGTGATCTAATTTCGGAAATCTACATATCATGCAATATTTTGAAAATGAATAATGTGAAGAATAAGAGCTTTATTATATTTTGGAGTTTTCTTGATACGTTGTCTAGGCACACCATTCGAAGTAAAGGGGCTTTCACTCGGGTCTCGATCATACATTTATACTTGATCGCAAATGTGACCAAAGTGGAAATCGCGATCGCCTTTTTTCACACGTGGAATTATCTGCAATGCAATAAAGATAGAGACTCATTACTCCGGCGACGAATAGAATAATCTCATTTTTGGACAAAATTTGACGAGAAACGATCTGTGGGTAGGCGAGTAGGTATGGAATATGTATACCGAGCGGGAATCTTTCACTGTTTCTAGTTTGGCCAAAATAGAGTGCTGAAAGGTAGTGATCGTAAATGTGGCGTGAACGCATATCGGGGAGGGGACTCTATATTTAATTCTGTTTTTACTAATTTACGCCTATATTTGTGCTTTTGCCACTATAAATCTCACTACATACCTTACCTAGTTGTAATTCATGGTTAGATATGTAACAATATCACTCCTGTGTATTATGAACACTCCTAATAAAAACGTCGACAGATATCCAGATAATATAACGCAAGTTAAAAACTATTGATTGCTTATAACAATGATGTTGCGCCAGTCGCCTTCAAACTACTGAACTATATATACTTTTTGGTATACATGTGATACACAATAAAATATGTGTTAGCGCAATATTTTTGAGTTTTTGACGATGTGTGGCATTTCTCTACCATTTGTGCACGTGGCATAGTAAATTTACAGCTAGAGGTATCTGGAATTATGTGAATGCATTATAATCAAAAGCTTTTTATTTTTCATATTTACATGTAAGAATTTCTGAATAGCCGCCCAGAATTGACGCAAGGTGGCGGGCTGGAAATCCAGATCACAGCCAAGGTGCACATTGACCCACGTTTACGTTTGTGTTATGGCCGCCTAAAAAAGAGAAAAATATATTTTTAAAATGATTCAACAGCTTTCTGCGGAACCATTAGGCAGAAAAGATGTGCTATGACATATGTCTGTGAGCGCACGATGCTGTAGCATGGTCAAAAACGTGTTTTTCTGGTTTTCCATTGTGACGTCACGGACTCGGAAAATTCGATTCGAGTCCTTGACCTATTACTCGGATTCGTTGAATCTCTGTAATGCCGGACTCGTCCCATCCCTATTATTTAGTAACGTTTCCATGTGAAATGTTTGACTGTGGTACCTGATACCGGGTACGTACAAAATTGACTCATAGCACGAGATATTTCAATATAATCAAGAAGAATGAATCATTGTCACAGGACCCAAAATATCTATGACAGTCCCTGTACCGTACCCCGATACAGGTACTGGTAAGTCACTGCATATGATTTTTGGGGAATTGTCTGCGTGTCCATATATTTGAGCATTGCTCTCTTGTTCTTCGACACGTTTTGAAGAAATCGTTTCTCTCTTTGATTACTGGACCAGTTGCTTTGAAATTTTCAGTGGTTAAAAATGGAATTTTTCAATGAAAGTGTTTGTTTTATTGGACCAAATGGAGGGAAATTCTTGGAATTTAGATAGTGTACCATACTGTATTATCATATCTATTGGTATTTTTCTGTTTTTAATTATTTTTACAATGTTTTTCATGTTAATCTAAATTACCTCTAATATGATGAAGTTACTGTGTTTGGGACGATTCAACCAGATCTCATCAACTGTACACTAGATCCAAAGATCTGGAGATCTACAGTTTTGGTTGTCTTGAAGTCTTGGAATCTGAAGGATTTGAAAATGAACCCTGCACATTATGGAAATTCTTTCGTTGTGAATGTGAGCAGCTTCAGACTTTGAAATCCCAGAATTTTTTCAGTTTTCTGAAAATTTCAATTTTTATTACTAAATAAAATGCTTTGTTTGAATAGATGAGCAGATACATTTTCCTCTTAAACTTTACGAGTTTACGTCTCGATAGTTTTTTCAACTGTTGGGTTTGTTTTATTCCAATTTGTTCGTTATACAGTTATAAGCAGAGTATCACAAATAAACAATATCTACTGAACTATAGTAAGACCTAACCTAACTGGTCTAATCCTTACTACTTACTAGTCTAGAATATTATGTTTTGAAGTTTTATTTCAATTTGTTTGGTATCCAATGAAATCTGAAATCTACAATTTTCATTAGTACGCTAGATGTGTACTAGTATGTGTGATTTCAATTGCGATTGTCTTTTTATTAATTTTCCAGTAATTACAGTGTTTCAAACCTGAATTGCTGTGCTCTATTTGTTTTGTAATCAACTTTTAAAATACTATTTCTCAATTTATAGCCTACAGAGGATACTAGAGAGGAAAGTGCGGGAGATAGGTAAGTTATGCTAACATTTTGCTTTTCTGTAGTATTTTTGACTTAAAATCCTTAAATATGATTCTGTATTGATTACCTAATTTATTACGCCTCGGGATAAGCTTGTTGAACTCTGTAACTATTCAATGGGTGACACGATGCCCTGCAGGATATCAGTGACTGCTTGTACTGGGCCTTGTTCAAAGCAAGTAAACGTCATGAAAAATATAATAAGGAATAACACATTTATTTCGTTATCTTTTGTTTAACGCTTTTGTTTTTCAGCCCTCAACCTTCTTCATCAACAAGAAACCAAGAAAATATAATTAGTCTGGAGAAGTTCTTTAAACTGGTTCAAAGACAAAAGGCAATGAAAGGGTATGTGGGAAAAGATAGGACTGGAGATTCACCGAAATACTACTTACTAGAAGAGCAACGGATGTTGATTGAGTGTAAATCATTGCTCATATATCAACCTCACGTTAATCTCTTTTTCTATCCTGTTTTCATTATGGTATCCTAATAGCCCTCTATAGTTTTTCCATATGTCTGAGTAGTTTCTATTAAGAAATCCATTCAAATGACAATTTTTACTTCATTTTATTTCCTAATTCCTGGACTACATTTAATGGCAATTAGAAAGTGGATCAGACGTCTTCATCCTAATATCTCTCACCTGTCTTGTGAGATATGGGGGTCGAACTCAAGACCGTTCACTTGAAATGTGAACACGAGCGGGTTGAAGATTATAACCGTTAGGTTAACACTTGTACTTTATTTTCCGTTCATCAATTTTTACTAATTAACATCTGCAGAATGATCCTGGTTTGCGATTCTCCACCTTCGAGCCCGAAGGTACTGGATATGATAACACGTTTGAAGGAAAAAACACCTTTTGACGTTTACTACCACGAATACTCCAGGGAACAAGGACGGAACGAGTGTGGGTAAGTTCCATAGCAGGGGAATAGGTTCCGGGTCGAAACCCCCCTTTTAAAAATTTATGTAATAAACTGAAAAAGTCGCCAATAACGCGTGTAATTGCTTTTTGCTAAAATCGTTTAATTGTTTTCATCTTCATGACGTGTTCAGGCCATAAACGCCTTCACAGTGGCTTTTCTACTCTCTAAATCACAAATTTGTAGAAAATTTGTGCCACCATAACGATGATAATTATTTTATTTTTGTACTCACATAGAATTATGAATCCAGTGACAGTTATTATAAGTTCATCGCCGTGAGATTCTAAAGACAAATGAAGGAGTAAATCCGAGACCTATATTTTTGATTGAGAGGCGCCAATATAAAATACTAAAAGTTAATAACCGTAAACAATATAAGTTTTGTTAAGCCCCGCAACAGTCTAAAAACGCTTTTCTAGGCATCAAAAATCGCAAAATTTCATTATGTTTGGTTGGCGTTTAGAAACATATCGTCACTAAAATAGAAACACGGTTAATTATGTCGATATTTGCCTTTTTATCTATTACTATAAAATTGATGTCGAAAATTTTGGTGTTAACATTAAATATGGTGGAGAACGTGACTTTTCCTCAACTTGTGATGATGTATAAGATAATTACAGCAGATTTACGGATTTCTTGAAAGGTTCTATCTTTAAAAATAATCAGAGTGGCAACATTGTGATTGAGCGGAGGCAGTGTTACAAGTACATCTCAAATTTATCGAATTCACAAGATAGCAAAAATACGGATCAAAACAATATATAATCCAGGCAGTTTGCCACACATTTTCAAGTCGCGGATTGCCGTGGGGTTTTAGAGTGGCTCATGTTTTGTCGACGCAACCGCAGGTTAAATTGAAGACAAAAAAATTAATAAAGCAAGACATTTTGAATATGCCCGTATCGGTCATTGATAGATTACCTTGCACAAGAGAAAAATCATTTTTCGTTCAAAAAGTCGGCTCTTTCAACGAGTGGCATAATCGCGGCGACTGTTCGGCGTGAATTTCGAGGCCGTGAATTTGTATTTTGATTTACTAGTATTCTATATAAGTATTTTCAATGTATGACATAAAATTGTACTATACGAGATACAATTTTTATCGACAAAGTTTTCATTTGAAGAACACGTTTCAAAAGCGGCGTGGCAAATGTGATGTCACACAAAAATCCCATATTCTAATAAACGTTAATTCCGATATTCGAATACTCAATTCAAATTCCCCATCCCTGGTTGCAACAGAACCATTGAACTAGTCTAATTATTGTACTTACTTACATAGGTTCATCGCTGTGTTTATTGCATGGGCATTGGCTTTCAAATTGGTGAATGAAAAATTTCCCAATTATGGGGATATGGAGTTTCAGAAAGTTCGAGGCAAAATAATTGAGTTATTCAACGACTTTGTTGAGGGAAAACAAGAGGATCAAGCCCAATGTCTTTCCGGAAATCACATCATGAAAATATTCCAATCTGGTCAATTTCTGGACAATAATTTCTATTTGTGGAATGTGGATGCAATGACTGAGCTTTGTGAGTACACTTTACATTAAATGCTTCGCTTACGGTGCGACTTACTCTGCCAAGTTCATGCATCTGAAACAAATAACTGGCTAACTAATCCCATACCTCACATAGACTGTTAACCGTACGAAAGACTGATACTTGAGAGACTCTGATCAAGCCATATGATCAGCTTTCCTCTCCCTCCCGACCTAAAGATAAATAAAAAAATCCTATCCTACCAACCGGTAGCTCTGTAGTTTGAATTTATTGATTATATCACTTCATTGTGTAAATGAAAGTAAATAATTTTGCTCGAGAAATAATCCTTGATTTTTTTATATTTTTTTTTGAATCCCTTTTCATGTCTGAGCCACCAAATCCCATCCTAATCGTATTTTTTTTATTTCAAGATCATGCTTTGAAGCAGATCAGTATATTGACAAAACTTAGTAGGGCTGCTACTGACTGGAATACAAATGTGCCTGAATTAGATAAGTCAGTGCCTGAAGGTAAGTCTGATTCTGTTATATCTGATTTGGGATTCAAACATTATCAATAATTACTGTGGTCAAATTTATCGATAATATGTTTTTCAAGGGATTAGCGTATGATAGTCAGATATACTATTCTCCTTTTATTAATTAAAAATATATAAAAATAATGATAAGCATATACAGGCGCGCAGCCAGGATTTTCAAAGGGGGGGGGGTTTCAAAATCGAAAATTTCCAGTATCGTCTGTAACAGTCACCACGCGCTCGTTAATCGAGCCGCCTTTTCAGCGTATTATGAATTTCCTGTTGCCTAAAATATTAAATTAATGCCAACTACGAGATTCTAAATGTCCTTATAATATTAATTTAATTGTGTCCAACGTAACTCGCGGTTGCGACTTCTTACGTGAAAATAGAAACATTACTGCAGTAAAATATCACGGTGATCTGTGAACATAAATATATGAGACCAGCTGTCTGATGTATTTAATTTTGATACGTATTTTTGCAATCTTGCGACCTCGTTATCGCCTTTAGTAAAGTCTCGATATCTGATATAAAATCACGTTTAGTACAATTTTACTTCATAACAATGAAAATAGATATAAAGCATACTAGTAAATCAAAAATACAAATTTACCGCCGCGATTGCGCCACTTGTTAAAAGGGCCGACTTTTTAAATGAAAATTGAATTTTCTGTTGTGCAAAGTAATCAACCTATGACCGATAAGGGCATATTTGAAATGTCCTGCTTTATTAATTTAATTGTCTTCAATTTAACCTGCGGTTGAGTCGACAAAACAAGAGCCGCTCTAACTAAAACAACACCAATTCCGCGGACATGAAAATGTGTGGTAAACTGTCCGATTGTATATTGTTATTTCGCGAATTCGACAAATTTGAGATGTACTCAAAAATTAATTTTGTCGTCTTAACAGCAACCCCCTTTTTTAACAACCGCCGCGATTACGGTACTCGGTAAATGCTACTTTTAGCTCGTATTGATTTATCGGTTGCGAATAACATATATTTTTTATGAAGACATTTGAAACGTTAATGTAGATATCTGAATAAAAAAACATACTAAACAAGAACAAGTAAATAGTGTATAAAACCCATGGAAATCACGGACATCCAAACAATACCACATAAACACACAACATACCGAACATAATAAAATATTTTATGCTGATACTGCTGATGATGCTTTACGCGTCACAAATGGTTTAATGTAACTTGATAAAAACATGTTTCTTATAATGATGCGGCATCGAAAGTATAATTTATAACTGCAAAATGCCGTGCCATAGTAATTGCATTATACTTCAATGCGCGATTGCGTGTAACTCCTAATTTATAGGCGCGTTATGTTAGACGATCATGTCCGATTTTAATTCGGTCGTGAATGTCTCGATTATAGGCTGTTTCGTGACATTTATCCGATTCTACCGCTTTGCTACGTAACCTCACTAACATAATAATCCCATGATTTTACTAGTAAATTCTTTAACTATCATCAATTATTTTTTTTCCAAATAGGATCATGTTTTCGTTACAATTTAAATTAACATTTGTTGATTGACAGTCAGATCGGGGTTGCGTATTAACTACATTTATTACCTTCGAATCGCCGAGGCTCGCGTTGTAACACGTTTCTCTCACGGAATGCACAGTACTGCGAGAAAAACTGATTAACTCGGGTTGCGTATTAACTACATTTATAACCTTTGAATCGCCAAGGCTCGTGTAGTAACACGTTTTTTCTCACCGAAGGCACGGTACTGCGAGAAAAACTGATTATCGTGGGTTCGTCGCACACAAAGGATGTACTTTGTTTTACAAAATTCACGTAACCGATATAAAGATGATGTAGAATAAATAATAAATAAATAATCACGTAACGCTTACAAAAACACTAGGCGATTATAATAAAAAACTCCTGCGTAAATTTTGTGCGCATTTGGATTTTTTTAGTTTTCCGAAAATTTCAAACTGAGCATATATGATTGATATATATGAATAGTGGATTAGTATGCATTGACTGTAAGAATACAATGCCTACGGCAAGGATCAAAACAGCTATATTGCGTGTATCACGCTCTCACAAGTGTTATTATTTCTGTATCAAGTCCATGATTTCAAAAAACAAATACCTAACTACATGGAATGGTAACTGGATGAGAGGCCGTGGTTCGCCATATGGTTAAGCCGTCTTATTGACTGTAAATCTTATCCTGTAACATTTTGTCTCACAAAAGTCAGATTTCTTCTTACAAGCTGTTTACATAGGAAAACAACAATCTTTTTTTTTATCTTTGCATTATCATAGCTAAATTTAATGGTTTAGACATGTGTGCACACTCTAGTTAATTTTTGTCATTTTAGGTGATGATTTCAGAAACAGTGGAATATTGGATTTAAGGATTTCTGAATGGGTTTCAAAGAAGCTACAAAGTCGGGCGTTATCTGTATTATTATCCAAAGGTATGATATTTTATATTAATATCATTTGAATATCAGTGGATTACAATCCTTGGCCATAATTTCATTCCAATTTTTCCTATATCGAGTTCCGGGACTAGCCAAGTGACTCCTGTAGTATTTGTACCTGAAATTATGGCCTAACCTTAACCTGGTACATATACTACGTTCCGGTGTCCACCATCCTAAATCACATACTTCGGGAGTATCGTAAATTTTGAGGATATGGAAAAACCAGAGCTGTGGCACGAGCGAATCTCACCTCTTTACAAAAATCCTGACTCGAAGGAATGAAAACAGATTACTCTCAGCTTGGAACTGATAAATATGACTAAGATAACTTTGCAATATTCCGAAATATTTGTGCCGTGACATCAACGTAATTGGGTACAATCACTGCACCATGGTGTTACAGTTATAATAGGATTGCCAGGGTATATTAATTTTATTAAAAAAAAGATTTATTCACCCATATTTCAAAGCCTACTAATTTTATTCAATCATCTCAATATTTCTAAAATTTTGTGCTCTTCTTTTAGTTATAGGAAAAATCAGACCGGAAAACGAAGAACTAAAATCATATTTCGATGAAATCACAAGAATGTTGCGTTGCGAAACACCCCAATGGAAGAGTATTGATGAGATGAGTAAGTTTGAGCAGGGCTATCCAACTGGCGAACCTTTCCGCACCTTTCGAGTGCTAAATTTGGATCGAAGCTGCTTCTTGACTTCGAATGCTTTTTATTTCACAATCGTGATGTAATGCCTTTTTCTGCTAAACGACTGTGGAAAAATTGTCATTGTAATATAAGTTTCTTAGAGCTTTTGTGACTGATCAAGAAGATGTCAATTCCGACATAAAAAAAAGTTTTAGCGGTTGGATATATTTTTCGCGGATTATTAGACAAGGTGGTAAACATTAGCTTGTTTTTGTAGCTTATAAATATTCCATATACGGTATATATTTCACACGCTCTGCTTCACAACTGAAGATACAGACACTGAAGCGTGATATTAAGCCTCGCTACTGTATTTTATCAAACGATGCATTTGTAATTTTGTTCCATAGCTAAAAAAAATATTCTTGGAATGACAGGACGCCGGTAATTTTTAAATTTCGAGTACGGACCTTTGATGAAAATATTTGAGTAGCCCTGAGTTAGAGTATTGTTCGTTGTCGTTTTATTATGCTTCTTGCGGATGTTTATTGCCAATGTCACCATCACTTTCTCATACTAGTGAAACATAATTCACTCAGATATTTTTCAAAAATGTGAATTTTGGCAAAATGGGAGTCAATATTTATTTATTTTCAGTGGAGAAGATTCTAACTGTACTTCAATACAATCAAACTACTCCTCCATGGCTCCATGGCATATTTGGTGCGGGGGATCTCGAAGGTGCTCTGAACAAACTAGCAGAGAATCATTCAGAAAAGTTCAAAATTGCTATCGCAAACATCAAATATCTTGAAGAACAGGAGACCAAAGAGGACGGCCATTGGTACACAGTTTTAGTGGTGCTCGGAAATGGGTCAGTAGCTGTAGACTGTTAGTTTATGGTTTATGGCCATTTTCTATATATTTCCCTGCTGCTATTTTGAATTTTATTTTGTTTTGCCAATTTTGGATTTGGTTCTAGCAATATATTTATAGTTTATACAATTCGGAAAATAAAAGGAAATTAAACTAAGTGGATTACTTCACAAACAAATCCAGCACCTTAAAGCAGTACGCACTGAAATGATAGCCACCAACAAACCATGACTCTAATAAAACCAAGCCAAGTATGACTAAGCAAATAAATTACTGTTGCCAGTAAACAGTTCAGAAAACCAAAATATGCAATAAGTAGAATATAAATTACCAGAAGCTATTGCATAGAGCAGGGGTCGGCACCCTACGGCCCGCGACGCTTAACTGAATTATAGTAACAAATTATAGCTGTTCTGTCGATTATATTCTTTACGCAAAAGAATTTATGTGTAGACTAAATTATATTATAACGTAACAAGTATACAATTCACAATTACTCGTTAATTTAATTATAATTCAGACAAATGACATGAAATATGTGCGGCCCGCCAATGACTTGCAACCTTTAGTTTTGGCCTGCGAGCGACAATATTTATTTTTACTTTTGTTTTCAGTACTACAGCTTGAGAAAGCCAAAAAGGATTCGTTAAAGAAGATTGAATTCGAAAAAATGGCTTTTTGTTTGAATGACGGCCTTCTTTGCTATTTATCATAGTATCATATTGGTCTCTGATTTAGTAGCAATCCCCCTGATACCTATTTGTTAATTGCTAACACAAGAAGTCAAACCTGCCTACTTTTTATTTTCATAGGATTTTACATATTTGCTTGATCTTGTCTTGTATTGATTTATCATGTATATGAGAGTATATCATTCTATCCAAAAACGAATCCATACCATATTTTCTGGATAATAAGCTGATTTAGTGAATAAGCTGAGGCCAGTTTTCAGCATTAAAAATGAGGGTTTTCCCACATCACAGCGGGGCAGAAAAATTGTACTTTTTTCTCTATCTGTATGGTAAGCACCAATGTGTGTTTTTTTTTTTTTTTCGATTCTATTTTCCTCATTTACGGCATTTTTTTGGTATAAGACACATGCCGAAGGGCCATTCTTCCATGAATTAGTTTTTCGTTTTGTTCAAAAATACGTTGAGTTGCGTATAGACTGACACTAGAAAATCAAAAATCTTGGGTCCAGAAAATCTGCTTTTTATCCAGAAAATATGGTACTTTTCTTGGTACTCCTGTAGTATGTGTACCAGGTTAGGACATAATTTTATCCCAATTTTCCTTTTTTTAGTTCCATTACGAGTTCTCCCCATCTGTGTTTGCCAAGTGAATATACCCCCTGCCCATAGGTTTCAGTCCCTTTACACAATTCGATGTAAAGTAGGCGAGCAAAATAACGGCAGCTACCTTCATGTTAGCACACATACTTCTGGAATGCCCTTTTCTTATTTAATCTGTTATACTTATGCAAACCATAATTTGCTCATCATATGCCTGATAGCAGTTAGTTCATTTTATTTATTAATGATTGCACAAGTTCCGACCACTGTACTTACATCTTATGCATTTGACTCCAAACACTGCAGCATAATGCCTTTGATTTTTTCTATTTATTTTTACCTATTTCCCAAACTTTTTGGGCCACGGACCCCCTATCCCAGGGATCGGGAACCTTTTTGGTCAAGAGAGCCGTAAAATATACATATTTTTTATTGCATTTCCGTGCGAGCCATATAACATTTTTTCACTTAATCAGGCCTAAAATGTTCACTCAAAAGTCAACACATACAATGTCAATATACATTTAATGTGATTTCTGATGCTGCATGTAGTCGCTGCGGGCCTTGAACGGTTGCTCACATGCAGCCCAAGTTGAAATCTACGATACTCATCACCCTTTTTCGTTTAGGCACCTCCGTAGTGTTTTTAAAACTCTATCGCTCTGTGATGTCACAATATATGTTCCAGAATCCCCTTGTTTGTCACATTGCCTGTCTGGTAATTATCTTACATAACATAGACATGTGCTGGACGCGCGTTCTCAAACGTATTGGGAATTTCCTGCCAAAATTGGCTACAAAAGAGTTTGTAATCTCGTAACAATAGTAAGCTTAGTCTTGGGATATTAGATTTTTCTGGGAGCCATATGCCGTCACCGAAAGAGCCATATATGGCTCACGAGCCATGGGTTCCCGACCCCTGCCCTATCCTAAAATATTATATTTCACGAACCCCCATTCTATGACAAAACAATTCTTGTGCCTAACGAACGAGAAGAGATAATGTTTCATTTACATCACAACACGAACGATGTTATTGTGTTGAATGAGTTTGCTTTCGTCTGCACTATTTATCAATTGTCGTAGCAAGCAACTCGTAGGGCCGGTCCTACGGAAAGGGTCTACCTGTAAACAGTTAAGTTTTTGAAATACCTTATTTAAAAAAGATTCGTTATTTGAAAGCATACCCTTACCCTATAAACCTAACTGTTGTGGTGAATTTTCCTATGCTGCCAAATTTTCTGACCCTGTGGCGAATTTTCTGGACACTGTACCGATCACTCTTCCAGTACACAAATATATCAAAATGTTCCGTATTTTGAGTTTTTTTTTCAATGGTTTTTTGTAACTTGCACTATTTATATTGCTATCTAATAGGATTAGGTAAAGCTCTTTATAAAGTATTTTCTTTTGTATGCTTTTAGATCTATATTATTAAGCAAATATGTAGAATATTGTATATTACTTAATAAAATGTTCCAAAGAAACGGAATCCGATTTGTGAAAGTAGTCGCTCAACCATGTATGTTTACGGCACAATCTCGGTCTTTTAATTTGACCGCTCAATATTATCAACAAAAGGAGCTTAAGAAGACTGTTTTGCATGATTTTCATAAAGACAATGGCGGAAAAATGGTTGGATTCGCTGGATGGTCAATGCCCGTACAATATAAGGATTTAGGACTTGTGGCTTCGCATCACCACACGAGGGAGAAGGCATCACTTTTTGATGTGTCACATATGCTGCAAGTAAAATTTTTGGAAAAGATCGCATCAAATTTATTGAATCACTAATCGTTGGCGACATTCAAGGGTTAGAAAACGATTCAGGAACATTGAGCCTTTTTACAAATGACAAGGGGGGCATCCTTGATGATGTCATCGTCAACGTAACCAATGATGACCATCTCTATATCGTTTCTAATGCAGGATGTGGGGATAAAATTACAGCGTTATATAATAATGCTCTGTCAGATTTCAAAGGTGATGCTCGTATTGAATATATTGATAATGGACTTGTTGCTTTACAAGGTCCTCTTGCAGCAAAGATTTTACAAAATGGTGTCAGTTTTGATTTGAGTGAAATGTATTTCATGAAAGGATTTTATGGCAAACTTTTCGGCGTTGATAACTGCCGTATAACAAGATGCGGGTACACTGGCGAAGATGGGTTTGAAATATCTATACCGAGAGAAAAAACTGTTGCTATTACAGAAAAGCTACTCGAAAATGAGGATGTAAAATTAGCCGGACTTGGAGCAAGAGATAGTTTACGTCTTGAAGCCGGGCTTTGTCTTTATGGGAATGATATGGATGAAACTACAACCCCAGTTGAAGCAAGCTTAACATGGTGTATTGGGAAACGAAGACGGAAAGAAAAAAATTTCCCTGGTGCTGAAATAATATTGCAGCAGATTAAAAAGAAGCCGGAAAAACGCAGGGTCGGATTTGTCAATGAAGGCCCGACTGCGAGATCCGGTGCTTCGATTTTTGATAACAACGGTGCAGAAATTGGACGCGTTACTAGTGGTTGCCCATCACCTACTCTACAGAAAAATATTGCAATGGCTTATGTTCCAACTGAGAGTTCCAAAATAGGCACACTGTTTTCAGTTCAAGTGAGGAAAAAAGTTCACCCAGCGAAAATTGTGAAAATGCCTTTCACCCCTGCCAAATATTATTTTCCGGCAAAATAGATTTATTTTTATAATTTGATTTTTGAAAAATTATATTCTGTTATCGCCACACACTAGCTTAGATAACGTTATTGTATTTTTGTAATAAAAAAACTATAAATAGGAAATCCTATGTTATTCAGCACGATTTTACAGTTTTAAGCAATAATCGATCGCGCTTGGCCATGTATGAAATTTGTCTGGTTTATCTTTTACTATTGTTCCATAAAGCATGGCCATACATGAATTTGCTGAACTTTCCTCTCGCAACGTTATTCATTCGTTGAAAAGAATTAGTCGCGTAGCGATAACAGGATAGAGTTTTAATAAGGTGTAGCAACAATAAATGTTCCATGACACTCTTGTTTGTTTGCATTTTGGATAGCTTACTCAAGAAAGATCTTAGACCATGGGTGGGCCAGTTACAGATATAGACTTGGTAACTGGTCCTCTCAAAACTCAATAACTATAAGTTTATTTTAGCAGCTTATTTAAAACCTAGGCTCATATTTATACGCGCAATATAACAATCGAGGTCATTATGAAGTTATTTTTAAGGGATATTTATATCCATAAAAACTATAGTCGTATCTTTGGCAGACGGAAGTGGGCCCGACCCGAACTGCAGACCGTAAATTGACCACCGCTGTCTCGAACAGTTATACTTGGGAAAGGCCGGGGGTATCTGATATTTTATCAAACTCGGTAAGGGACTTAATTAGATTCAATCTAGTGTATTTTTTAGTACAGAATTTAGCGCAACGTAAATTTTACTTTTGTCTTCATAAGATTCCCCTCATGGTTAGCAAGGCAGAAATGTCTGAATTAATTTTGTCATATTCAATAAATTTACCAATATTTTACCTGGAACCATCATTTTCAAGCAATTGCATTTCAGGAAAATTACCAAAATGTATCTGAAGTTTCTTACATTTCAAGTATTTCACTAACAACCCACTTCATTTACGACAGTAGCTGTACTTTTGTATGATAGATTGCAATTGACGAGTCTAGTACAAAAGGCATTAATTCATCAACCTTTTCACAGGATTCATAACACCAAAAGTTTGAGAACCCCTGCCTTAATCCATTCCCACACCACAGGCATGAGAAGGCAGTTCCTGGGAAAATAAAGTTCTGGTCTTGCAACTTAGACTCCAACATGGGTACGCGAAGCTGTTTTCCTGATCGTATCATCAATGACACTTATCGTACCAATGCTAAATTCAGTTGTTCTTAACTTTTTTTCATTCGTTAAATCTGTTGAAAGGGAGAACTACAGAAAAAGTTCTTATCGTAAACTTAGACACTCTAACAATTAAAATGAGTTTTACCACTTGTTAGGAAGAACAGCATCATCATCCATTGCTAATACAATAATTTGGGGGCTCCTGAAGTATGCGAACCAAGATGGCAGACATCGGAATGTAATATGTGTACTAGGTTAGGCCATAATTTTAGGTACAAATACTACGAGAGGCACTTGGCTAGTCTTCGAACTCATAGTAGGACTAAAATAAGGGAAATTGGAATAAAATTATGGCCTAACCTGTTACTCATGCTACGTTTCGATGTCCGCCATCTGGGTTCGCATACTTCAGGAGCACCCTAATTTGTCTATTTGCAGCCCATTTGGAAAATATTTCAGTGGGCCATGGCTCACTAGTTGAGAACTGGTGGCTTAATTCAACAATCATATTTATTTAGTGTCTAGACCAGGGGTTGCGACCCCAAATTAGGTGAGGTGATAAATAGGTGGGGTCGCAAACAGGTCATGGGATCGCTGAGGTATGGTCGAGGATGGATGTACAAAACATCTAAGATTTGACAAACCATGTTGAATTTAGCAGTTTGTACCATGGCACTGTAAAACAGGCCCATAGGCATCGCTCCATGCTTTTGCAATAGAAAATGTGATTATTGTGACATCACTGTTTGGTTTCAGCTTATTTTACTTAATACCACCATATGACCAATCCTAAAAGTCCAGTGAAAGAAGCTTTAAGTTCCATGAAAAATATATATATTGACCTGGGCTCGCACTGGACACTTGAAGGTTGTCTTTGGGGTCGTCCTGAAAAAAGCCTGGGAACCCCTGGTCTAGACTTATAGCCTCGGTAGCACTTTAGCGGTCGACCCTAACTTCGCTTGGAGATCAATCTCCTACATTTCTGAATGAGTGCTCCAGAAGTATGTGTACCACCAACACAGAGGTAACTACCGTAATTTTGTTCGCCTACTTTACATCAAGATATATAAAGGGACTGAAACCTATGGACGGGGGATAAATTAACACAGACAGTCCCCGAACTCATAATAGAACTAAAAAAAGAGAAATCGGAATAAAATCATGGCCTAACCTTAACCTGGTACATCATTTAACAAAGAAGCAGTCAATGCCATATTTTTCATGTTTATTTCGACTCTGCATTCATTTTAGTTCTTTTTATATCTCGATATGCTTGAATAACTCTTTCTCTCTCATCATTGAGTGCTTTAGTTCTTGCGAGAGACAAATTCGATTTTTTTGAAGTCCCAAAACCCTTCTTTAAAAATAATAGATCTCGCTGGCCAGGTTTTTTGACTTCACCGGCTTTTCGAGGTTTGGAAGTTATCGTCGGTGGCCGCATAACAACCTCACCAAACTCGACATGGTCTATCCAGCGATCTTTCTCCGTTTTCTCTTCCAGTTTACTCAACCAAGCTTGATTTTTTTTTTCTTTCAACTTGGTAAGTCTTTCTTTTGTTTTTATTTTTTTCGGTGGGGGTGGTTTCTCTTTTTTATCAATTTCTTTTTCTGGGAATTCTTGAATTTCTTGTTTTGCTTTCTCCATTGACATTTCAACTGCGGAAGCAAGACGTTGCATGTGCCTGAAATTAGGATTTTCATATTTAACCCAGGGGAGAGCAAAATGGATCAGTCATTTTAATCATATGACAAACTGCATCCTCTTTGGTCGCTGTTTCTATATTTTTCATACAGGGTGTCCATAAAGTCTCTTTACAATTTCAATTTTGTTATGAAGTCAGTTTTTAATATATCTTAACCAGGTTTGTTGTCTTTTAATCAGTAATTGTTTAAGTATTTTTACTTCATTAAATACATCTGTGAAGGCCAAAACAATATACAGTATGGGATAAATTTCCTTTGCAATTTTAAATTTTTAAAGACCTTATAGACATCCTATATATTAGAAGTCTAGTTTTCGTCCACCATGAGATGTAAAGTGCTCAAAAATTATGGATTTCCAGATAAAATCATTCCTTAAAATCAAGTATTGACCTCAAATTGATTACTCTATTCATTATGAACATCCTCTGTCTAATCAGAAACGACGGCGCTCCCGTAGTAAGTGCAACAAGATGACGGACACCTGAACGTATGTGTACCGCCAGGTTAGGGTCAGGCCATAATTTTATTCCAATTCTCTTTATTTTAGTTCTAGTACGAGTTTCGGGACTAGCCAAGTGACTCCTGTAGTATTTGTACCTGAAATTATTAACCCTAACCTGATACACATACTGCGTTCCGGTGGATAGGCAATGTGGAACCAGTTATGCTAAGATGAAATGCTACTCAAAACATTCATTGACGGACCCCTTTTACCAGTATTGAATTAAGGTGAAATGCCATTTAAATATTTCACGACTGACGCTTTTTAATCTGTTTACTACGCCAACTTTGATTGAAAATTCTCGAACAAAAATTTTCGAAAATTCTGATTCAACAACCAACCCACTACGGTAGGGAGAATAGCGATATCGCTCTAGGCAGCGTCACGCGGAAAGAGGTCTAGTAATTCATTTAGAGATACTTGATTGGTATTTCTAGCACGTTTGAACAGGGAGGAACAACTGTTTATATAAAAAGTACAAAGGGTTAACAGTTACTTTTTAACGTTGCCATGATGAAAAATTTTACCTTAATTTTACGTAACTTTTTTAACACACTGTATATAGCAGAGCCTTAAATATCAGTGGCTGCCATCTTTAGAGCGAAAATGGGGGACGAAGCTTCGTATAAAAATCACATATCTGATTAGTTTTCGACTCCAACTCCACCTGTATTTTGACTCCCCACGTTTTCTTTCTGCATTTTCTTTCCTTTTGATTTCTTCTTGGTTCGCAACCTTCATTGCTCTTTCCTTTAATTTTTTTTTAATCTGGCGATCACTTCCTTTATATAATTCCTGAACGTCAAAACGAAAAGGATTTTTACATGTTTTTATTAGTTATTTTCACTCCCATCATGGCTCAGGTTATCTTCTGTGAGACCCAACCTCCAAACTAGACTTAATTGCAATTTAACTGTTCTGCGCTCCAGAAGTATGTGTACCAATATGGAAGTAACTAATTTTGTTCGCCTACTTTACATCAAGTTGTGTAATGAGACTGAAACCTATGGACAGGGGGATATTCACTTGGCTAACACAGACAATCTCCGAACCCAGGGCACATACCAACCTGGTACACATACTACATTAGTAGCCAGTTCAGATGCATGGACTTGATCAATGCCGTAATCAAAGGGTGGCGAGGAGTCCAGCAATCCTCTCACAATCAAATGTTTTAACGCTTAGCATAAAGTTATTCCTAAAATATCGAATACAACTAATTTAGAATCATCCTACTGCTGACCTTCATTTCCATCATTTCTGTAAATGTTCTTGGAATCCTTTGTTTCATGCTGACATCTGGATTCTTCGAATTCTTATCACGACTGGAATTCGATCCGACAGGTTTCTGTTTTTTAAAACGATGTCTCATACCCATGATTATTATTAATTATGATTTAAATTTCTGTAAAACAAGTGCAAAATAGGGTTTGGTTTACATCCATACTTGAAAATGAAAATGCAATGGCCAAGTGCAGGACTGACTTACTAACCAGGGAGGAACTACAGATGTAACATGTAATATATAGTTATTGTAACATATATTTATGTACTATAAACGAACCTCCAGAAGTATGTGCACCAAGATGGCGCACAACCTGAACATAGTATGTGTACTAGGGCTGAGGTTCAGGTTGTGCGCCATCTTGGTTAGATACTTCGGGAGCGCCCTATAAACCACATTATCTATGCAAAAACCAATGCTACATTGCACGAAATACGAGCTTAAAGTCCTTTGAGGATTTAAACAGATAACGGAAACAAATTCCGGTACTCCTGAAGTATGTGAACCAAGATGGCGGACACCAGAACGTAGTATGTATACCAGGTTAGGCCATAATTTTAAGTACAAATACTATGGGAGTCATTTACTAGTCCCCGAACTCGTAATAAAACTAAAATAAGAAAAAACTGGAATAAAATTATGGCCTAACCCTAACCTGGTACACATACTACGTTCCAGTACAAAATTTACAATAGACTCAAGACCATGATTTAACGAAAAAATTGGTGTATTCCACTATAGACTATAATGAACACACCACTGAAATTTATGCCGGTTAAGCTCCATGTAAGTTTTGTGATTTATTTTACTGCTGTTGGGATTGGTAGTGGTAAACCTCAATGGCCATAGAGTCGTAGTGCAATCAGAGTTAATAAAAAATGAAGTACCGCGGACACTTTGAATATACGTCATTTGTCAGCTATCTAACGAGGTTACAACGAGAATATCGGTCGAAGACCGAAGACTTATCGATCGAACCTGCGGTTTCGATTCATGACTCTATAGTGACACCGTGTCGCTTGTCCCATCACTGATTAATTAATAATTCGCTAATTATACGACATACTTCATCCAAAATCAATAGGCTTCTGGTCCGAGATATGATGAAGGCACATGCAAAATTTGGAGCAGATTCAACCTCGCTTTCGTGAGATATCACATGCATCTAACAGACAGACCGACAAATTACCTATCAACATACTTACCGATCAAGATCGATAAGTAATAACCTTCAAATCTAACACTAAATGGTCGATATGTGGAGCATAAGATTTCACTTTCTCTATATGGATAATCTCGGTTTCAATATTCGCTTTTAAACTTTTTTCTTTATAGATCTCTAGCATTGTATTTTTAACTATTTGGGCAGTTTCTTTAGCCCAGATTATCCATTCAGTCAACACATGAGACTTATTGCATGATATATTGTTCTCCATTGCAACGTATTCATTCTGTTTTATTTTTGATTCCACGTTTTGATGGATATGTAGTATTCCTCCAGAACCGATCTTCAGAGCTCCGCAGGCAGCTCTAATGCTTTCCATAGCTGTTGGTATAAGACCCATCAAAACTCTATCAGCTACGTTCTCCGGGCAAACCTAAAACAAAAAAATTATTATTTCTCTCCACCTTTTTGTTCACATGATTAGGTCTTATGATTGCGTTCTCCCCCAGGGATAAGTATCAATATTTCTGAATATGGGCACTCCAGAAGTATGTGTACCAATATGGAGGTAACTAATTTTGTTCGCATATTTTACATCAAGTTGTGTAAAGGGACTGAAACCTATGGGCAGGGGGTATATCCACTTGACTAACACAGACAGTCCCCAAACTCGTAATAGAACTAAAATCGGAATGAAATTATGGCCTAACCCTGGTACACACACTTCGGGAGTTCAGATTTACTATCTTATCAACTTTACTCTCCCCAGAATAAGATTCTCAATATTTATTAAATTATCCAATTCGAAGCAACGAAAAGTCATTGTATTCGGCTTTTCTCAAGTATTGGGTAGAAGCCCTTTAACCCCAGGACAAAACTCATATCATATGACCACCTCTCTATATTCTCCTCCATATAGCCTATATTCTGCAACTTCATTATCAACCGTGAATGGTAAGACAAATGAACAACTGCACATGGTTTTCTTAAGACTCTGGAATGTCTCATTGGGGTTCCGCTGCCCCAAAAGGGGTTGAAAACCACTGGTATTGAAGTAAATATAAAAAAAACTATTCCACCTTTCTATTGTCTCCTTCATACACAGCACATCTTTCCACAACTTTATTATCGACCAGATTTTTCCTGAGAGCTTGTATTGCGTCTGCATTCCATTCACATGCATGTACATATCTTGCTTTCCCATGGACTAACAAAGGGAGTGTGAAGTAACCGATACCTGGAAATGAAAATCAAAACCTTTGTTATCTGCTCACCTTAAATTTGTTAAAAGCAAGGCTCACTTAGAAATAAGAGACTCACTCCTGAGAAAAGGTGAACACTGAAATACCAGTGTTTCTGGAATGATATAAAACTATGACAATGAGAATGATACTGTAGTACAGGGCTTCCCAACTATTTTTACCGAAGATCCGCATACTAAATTATTTTGGGTCCGGTCTTTCCAGAAATTATATTTCGGCATCCTCAAAGGCGCACTTCCTCAGCCGGTTAATGATTATTGGCTAATCAAGATTGTTTATTGTGGCGTTATAGTTCTTTTCATATATATTCAAAACTGTAAAAGTCATTTTATAAAAGGAGACTTAAAAAGTGGGGCTAATGATTCAAAATAAAGAATTAGGTGCGGTCCGAATCCAATACTCAAAAGGTCCGAATGCAGACCGCGGTCCGCCAGTTGAGTAGCCCTGCTGTAGTACATCATGTGCAGACATCACTAAGATAACTGTAATAATTGCCACATCACAATTTTTCTGATTTGCTTATATATAAAGTGGTGACCGTACATTTGAACCCACGTACATTTGAACCCATGTGTATATCCGTGGGTTCAATCTATATGCGGGTGCTAAAACCCATGGGTTAGGGTTAGTATGGGTTTAACTATCTGTGAAACAAAAAAAATTCCATAGGTGCAATAGCATACAGGTGCAATTGTCATGGGTTCAAATGTACGTGGGTTCAAATGTAATGGAACCATATAAAGAACACATTGACAATCACATAATTGAGTTTTATTTAAAAGCAGCATTTATTTTCCTTGTAAGTGCGGCATAAGTTTTTTTTCCATGATAATTTGGCGCCGCACGGACAAAAAGTCCGAGAACCGCTGGGCTAGGATAAGGTAGAAGCCCTGACCTTATATATATTATCAAACTAATCTAATGATAAACATCAAATGAAAATTAGAAATTTAGTGGTAGGGAAGAATAGCACCCAAAATTTACACCAACTCACCAGCAAACATATCAACTATCGTCTCATCCTTGCAGTCTAGCTTTGCCATTCTCATTTTTTCTGTGATGTTTCCAATTGAAAACATACATTTCGTCACATCATATGAATATCTAGAGAAAAAGCACAAAGCAGTTAAGAACATGCTCGTCACCGAGCTTCTGAAAACCTGGTGCAGTATCAAATCATGCAGGGATAATTATATGAAAGAGGATTACTGGACTACTTGCCTTCATAGGGTTTTCTAGGTATCTGCTGGCTAGCTAGGACTTTCTTCCCCATTTAGTCCCCGCATTTGACAGAAAAACCTATTTCCATACGGCCATACCCTACATGGACTGGCAACCAAATGACAAGCCATTGTTTCGTAAAGTGATAAAAACGGTCTTATTTAAATTCTAATTCTCTGCTAAGATAGTGCTTCAACATACAGCTAAATTGTGAAAATATAAATGAAATCGTAACATAATAACCTGATCTTATTATCAACATGGCAAACCCAGGGATCTTCTCCTTTCAATAAAGATACTTGAGGTGTTCTATGTCCATCACTGCAAATTCTATCTTTCTTGGCAATTCTTTGAACACCAAAGTATTTTGCAACAGCTTCCCAAAGTGCTTGTTTATCTGAAAAAAAAACATTATAAAAGCTTATTATAAACAGAAAACTGGTTTTAAAGTGGACATAGTATGAATGAAATTCAACCTTCCTGATAATATATTATTAGTATACTAAAGATACAGCAACTAAAAACTATAATATACGTTAAATGGGTCAAATTTCCATGTTCAATGGCCATCTTCCAAAGACTCGACAGTCATTACACTTTAATAAAAAAATCGGTACTACAGTAGTATGTGTACCAGGTTAGGGTTAGGCCATAATTTTATTCTGATTTTCCTCATTTTAGCTGTATTATGAGTTTGCGGACAATCTGTGTTAGTCAAGTGAATATACCCCTTGCCCATAGGTTTCAGTCCCTTTACACAACTTGATTTAACGTAGGTGGACAAAATTAGTTACCTCCATATTGGTACACATACTTTTGAAGCGTCAAAAACAAGAAATTGCAATCAAAGAATTAAATAAATGGCAGTCAATTTGCTTTAAATTGATAGTTATCACGAATGATACCCTTTGCTTAGCAATCCCCATATAACCACCTCATGGGCCTTGGGGGGGGCGAAAACTCAAAGCTATGTGCTACATCAATTGTATACTTTACCTAATATGGTATAAATGCACCAACTCACTTATTTCGTGCCACTCCGGATTTGTAAAGCAATTTTGAGGAAGCAAAATCAAATCTCCATGTTTTTCCCATTTCTTTGGTAAATCCTTTTCAAGTTCGCTCTGTCCTTGAAGATTTGTGAATTGAATTGTCAATGATTCCCAAAGCTGGAAAGATAAAATAAATAGAAGAAAACCAAAGCTGTGGATTTGGAATTTAGTTTCTATTGGCATTGAAGGCAGACTTGTATTTAGAACTCACTAGAATAATTTACAGTATTAATTTGGAATTTTTTAAGAGCTGAGGGTAGAAGCTTCATGAAAACAACAATGAAACCATAAAATATGCAATCATCTCAACTGACAATTAATAAGGTCCACATAAGCCAGATAATTAGCTTCTCAGAATTCCAAACTGGAATATAGAGTCAAAACTTCAGTTAACTGTAGACACAATTTTCTGAAATCCAGAACAGAAGTCATTTTTGAAATAGCTTCAAGTCAGGTGTATATTTTCCTGGCCTTCTTTGCGATAAAACATGGTATACTTGCTATGTGGATAATAAATGAAGCACAACCGGTGTTAGCAAAACGATGTGATTTGCGTTTTGATAATACCGGTTGTGCTTCATTTATTATCAACATGAGTTTACCTGGTGGCAATCATGCAGTATACTGGCTATGTTACTATGTTTTAATTTAATTTTAAGCCTTACCAAAGGTTTTGGCTTCTTTTGTCTTAATTTCTTATTTTTATCTGAAATCATTTCTACAAGTAAAACAAATTAAAGTATTATCATCTAAAATGTGATTTAGAAGAAAAGCTGGCATTAAATAAACGAGAATATCGGTTGGAAACCGAAGACTTATCGATCGATAGTTAGGGGATCCCCCAAAACAGAAACTGCAGTTTCGATTCATCCGCTCTTGTAACTTGCGCACTGCGCATCGCACACACACACTCGGCGGGTTTCAAAATTCTCTCGTTTTACAAAAATCTAGATCACTATATCAATAATTGATTGATAACTCGCTAATTATAAGACATAATTCGCCCAAAATCAATAGGCTTCTGGTCCGAGATAAGATGAATGCACATGCGAAATCTGGAGCAGATTCAATCTCGCTTTCGTGAGATATCGCGTGCATCTAACAGACACACACACAGACAGACAGACAGACATACATACAAATACCTATCAATATACTTACCGATCTTAAGATCGATAAGTAACTACACATATGTAAAAGAAAATATACATTTTTAAGACTACATACACAGTGGTTTAAGTTGAAGTAAATTTAGATAGAGGTAAAATAGTAACAGTCCAATCTAAAACAGTGGTACTAAAAGGTGTGGAGCGCCCCACAAGGGTGACGTAGATTTTTGAGGGGGTGTGAAGATGATTAAAAAAAAAAAACTTTTGCCTTACTAGCCCATCTGTTATTTGTAACTTATTGTTAGCTAGTTAATTATGAGTGGGGGCGCGAGTTTGACAAATTCTAAAAGGGGGGGTGCGGATTAAAAAGTTTGAGAGCCAATGACCTAAAAAAATCATCGTGGCCAGGCATCGGATTCACAATGGAGAGTGGCACATCTTTATACAGAATGCTTTGTTATGAGGTCAGTTCTCAATATCTCCCAACCAGGTTTATTCTAATAAGTGTTTAATCGAGTTTGTTGCCTCAATACGCCTTGTATCGATCATTAGTTGCATAAGCACAGCACAATTTTTTCCCTTAAAACTAAAATTTGCAACGCGCGACACGCTTTTATGCGAGAACAGCATCGCCCCAAGATGACGCTGCAAGGCAATAACACACCTTGTTATTTATAGAATTAGGGAATAACAAGGTGTGTTATTGCCTTGCAGCGTCATCTTGGGGTTGCTGTTATCGCATAAAAAGGTTTCGCGCTTTGCAAATTTTGTATTTAAGTTTTAAGCTATTTTAAGGTTGCCGCTGACAATTAGAACGAATGGTCATCTCGCGGTTATCCTGCCATCCGGTACAAATATTTTTGTGATCTTACTTGTTTTCAATTTTGTTATGCTTTGCCGAGATGGCTAATAATAAACGATTTGATTGATTGATTGACTTAATTGTAATGGATTTGTGAACACTCTGTATATTAGAGACTTGAAAAGAGCAATGGCAATCACATTCTGTAGACTTAGTATTAAAGTATGGTTTGAAACAACATGTGTAAGAATCTACAAACTTTTCAATTTTAAAATACCTCAAGGAAATAGAATAGGATACCATATTTATCCAATGAGAGAGAAAAACAGGCAGTTATTTCATACAGAAAAATATGTTTTTAACTCGAGCAGTCTAATGCTGGGTTGAGGAACACAAACAATAAGTCTTCAAGAGTAATCAGAGATTTTAGTCAGGTTGTCAGGGTCTTGAGTCTAGCCAATCAACATGAAGTTCTATTTATTGCTGTTTATTTCCAAAAAGTTTAAATCCTCCTATTTAGGATGAATCAGGTTTTGATGAACGATGAATTGAGTTGAGTCAAATTCTCAAACCTCCCCAATATTAACTATTTTGAGAAAACATTTCAATTCCAATATTTAAAATCTCCCAGGACATTCCATCAGGAACATGGACTGCTGTCACTCCAAGTTTCAAAAGATCTTCAATATTTCGTTCCTCATCATCAAAGAAGAGCATATGGTTGTAATCAATATCGAGAGATTCCTTAAATTCTAAAAAATGAGCAACTTTGCTCCCTGGGTATATTTCTTTCGCACTGAAATATTTATTAAGATCCATAATATCTAGAAGACTTTCAGCTACGTCAATAGCTGGTGTTCTAGAAGCAGCTGCCATCGTTATGCCTTTTTGTTGGAGCGTTTCCAAAATTTGGGGAACATCTTCGTAAAGATTAACCACAGTTTCATATTTGTCTACAATGTCTCCATTTTTTAGTTTTTTGAACGGCAGATCAACATGAGTATCAACCCATAGAGGCCAAAGAGTATAATCCAAATCAAATACAATGACTTTAGGCATTTGATGCTCAAACTTATGGTAATTTTTATTGAAATTTTCCATTATTTTTTGTGAAACTAAACCTGAAAATGCATATAATGAAGTAACAAATGTGATAAATATATTCCTGAAAAAAGGGACATTTTATATTTAATTCATGGAACTTTTGTCAACTGATCTGAGAATATAGATAAGGAAATGTGCAATGTATTTGGTAAGATATAATAACCACGACAAAAGTCAGATCTTTAACCAGATTAGAAAAATGGATAATCCAGAAGAAAAGTTTGTTTTTTCATCATACAAAAAATACACTTTATAAACAGAATCAATAAAGTAAATATGCCATTTCAAGAAGAAGATTGGCATGCAGAAAGCAAAACATAGCAGCGATAATTCTTGAGGTAAATAGGATTCAATAATACAGTTTTTTGTAGTTTGTGATAGGCACATTTCAAGAGACAGCGATAACTGAGCTGAAGAACTCTCAATAAAGGAGTGTGCTTATTTTGAAAGAAAAGCGTGCACTGACATGAATACAAAAAAAATGGCAGAATTAATAAATTGTGTATTGAAAGGCAAGTTGTGTAAAACACACTAAGTAAGCGTGAAAAAAAGGGAAGCGTTGGGAACATTTTTGGTCGACCTGTATGGGTTCGAATACCATGCGGGATAATCATGTGCGAGGTGATTGCTGGACTACTCCGCAAAGCATAGGAGTTCAGATACCAGTAACCGCTGGTCGCTTATATCATCAAGTTCTTGTATCTGAAATGAATAACTATTTAACTAAGACCATATCAGACATGGACACTACACAATTGTTTCATGTTTATTGAGGAAGAGGATTGGAATAAATTTCAAACCCTATTGCAAACATGTGCTTAGACAAAGCACAATATCAATCTGTGTTGTATTGAAATTGCCAAAGCATAAGCAAAGGAATCAATCAGTCAGAGTGATATCATTTCCTGCATGTTTACTTTGATAGTTGTGTGCAAGAGTCTCTACGTCACATGATACTGAAAATAAATCGATGCATTCCATAACAAAAGAGCAAATGTTGAAATTTTGAAAATTACTAAGAAATAAATACTTTTTGAATTAGTTTTCTAATCATAATTTCAAGTGATTTTCACCAAAAATTTCAATGATAAATTGCAGGAGACAGGAGTTATCAATCAAATATATTTGTTTTCCTCATTCTTCGAAACAGACTTTTTCAAGTTCTGAAAATGTGGGTTAAAAAATCCCTCCCAACCAGGGGCCCGTGGTTCCCCAAGAGCCCAATTTTGCAAAAATACATTTGAAATTGTGGCGAAAACAAAATAGATGTGATACTTCTTATATATTCAATTACGGTACCAGGGGCACTTTAAAAAATATGTTTTAACATTATTCATCATTATTCAACAACTTTGGTAATAAAAAAGCAAAATTTGATTATTTTAAATAACTTTTATGTTGAATAAACTTTGTGCACCACCCGGCTCATGGCTATTCCGAGGTTTCGTTCAGTCAATCCAAATTTAATTTTACTTATTAATTCTTCTTTCTCTTTTTCTGAAGGTAAATTACGATATTTTTCCACCAACTGATTCGGAGTTTCATATAGTGCTGTAATCGCTGATGCTTTATCGTATGACATACCGTGAATTTGCATCAACTGACGTATAAACATTTCTTTTATTGTTAATTTTTTACGCTTGGAACCCATTTCGTTGAATACATTAAAAGGGGTTAATTGTTTAGTTTCGGGTTGGGAAAAGTTACCTTGAGAATCAGAAATCTCTACTGCCTCAAGTGTAAAAGTCAAATATAAGCGTTGTAGACGTTTTGTCATTAAATCGAGATAACGTACAGTCGCTTTTGCATTTTTTGTAAATTTCACACATATGTTATCAACAATTTGGGTGTTATATATAGCTTGTCTTAATGTTTGCTCAGGTAAGCTTTGATTTTCTATATTTCCCATGTTTTCTATCAAATAGATGATATTCCCGATTCCGGATTGTTTCAAACGAATTTTCTGTTCTCGAAATCGACCATCTTTGATTGACATTGAAAGATCAGATAAAATTTTTCGTTCGATAATATAATCTAAAACAAGTTCTTTTGGTTTTCTACCGACACAAAGAGCCGGTTTTTCTTGCGCAATCCACAAAAAATCCCCGATATGAAGTGTACGTTGCTCGTAACACACATTTTGTTTATTCAACTCCACCCCCATTTCTTTTCGTCTTGATTCCCCCATCGTTTCCCTCGTATCAACACATAACACAATATCAAATTCTCCAGGTGAAAGTGTGAACACAGGAGAGGAAGTCATGATTTCCTGACTTTTATAAGGTGAGGTCGTGACCCCTATTTTTGGACCGCCTGGTTCATTATTATTGTTCAAGTTATTTATTTTACTAGATTCTTGGGAAACACCCAGCTCTTTTTCTTTTACCTGCACTCCGAACATCTCAGTTATTGTTTTGGTCTTTGGCTTCTTTTTTTCTTGAGTGCTCTCCTCTGCTTTTTTCCTTCTCTTAGCTGGTTTTTTTTTCGCAACTGGTGCTTCTTTATTAACCCTATCCCACCATGATGCTGGAACTTTTCTGGATTTTTCTAGAAATTCTACCGGCAGTAAACCGTCATTTTCTGCATCTTTTGCGAGCCGACCATCAAGCATTTTGCAAATTTTGTCGCCGAAATTTTCGAGAATTTTCGCTTCAGCACCGCATTGTAATGGAAGCGGGTATTTCTTTAGACTTTTATATGCTTTATTATAAGTAAAAGAACTTTTATCGCCTTTTTCTTTGGCTTCATCTCGCCACTCAGCTAAATACTTTAAAAATAGTCTGTTTGGCGCTTCATCTACTACCAGCTTTCGAGCCATACGCCTATCCATGGTTTTCTTATTCTAATTATCTTTAAACTCTATACGAAAAAAATTCCAAATACAGTATTAGTATAGCAATACAAAAAAGTTAAATTCAATTAAATTGGAACTTGACCATGGAACTGAACTTTTAGTTAGAAGAAATATGGTGCTATCTTGTTATTGAGATCTATTCAATTCCGTTCATCTTAGGCACGGTTAGGATGAGTTAGGTTAGTGCAGGGGTGGCCAATTACTTTTCTGAGTGGGCCTGGTACAGATAATAGAATTGGTTACTGGGCTCAAAACTCAATATGAAAAACTATGAATAAAAAACAATTTATTTACAAGAGCTAGGCTAATGTTTATATAATAATGAGAAACACAATGTAACAATTGAGGTCATTATAACTTCAATTTCAACTGGTAAAAACCACAGTGGTATTTTCAGCAGGCACAAGTTGGCCGAATCCGGCCCGCTGGCTGTAATTTGCCCCCCTGGGTTAGTGCCTTACGTTCTCTGTTCAACTCATTGAATAATACTCACTAGAATAAACAGAGAAAGGTGGAGGTCAAACCTCATTTTGATGGGGAGGAGGGGGGGGGGGGGCAATAACTTATTACTTTGTAAACTGGGTGTCCCTATGCTTTCAGTCTAGAGTAGTATTGAAGTTTTAGCAAAAACAACAAAATGTTACAGCTGTTGAGTCTGGTATGTTATTGAAAAGGGTTTTGGCAAAAATAACAAAAAGTGCCTCAGTTCTGTTGCGTCTATCAATAAAAGGGCATACCCCCCTCCCCCTTCGAACGCAATAAAAATAATCTCCGAACAAGCTGATAAAACTGAAATCATGATCAAAAAACATTGTGTAAAAAAGCATCAATAAATAATATGAAAGAACTTATTGTCTAATAGTACAAAATAGATAATTACTTAAAGATGACCGTGCAAAATTTCATGAAATATCTTGGAGCAGTGCTTCTCAAACTTTTTATGCCGTGCCCCCTTTTTAGTGTGCGCTCACATCAAAAATAAAAAACTAACAATAATCCACAAATAATAGATAGTAAGGCGAAAGTATGTTTTATTCAAAAAACATGTTTAAATGTGTGGATGAAATCGCAATTGTTGAACAATAAAGAAATGTAAATATCCAAAATGAGGCAGGCAAGACCAAATCTTACGAATGTATCAATTAGCTTCACCTCTCCTCAAAAAAAATTGTTTACGCCCCCTTGTGGGTTACGCCCCACTGTTTGAGAAACACTGATCTATAGTATGTTACAAAGTGTATTATCAAAGAGCGCACCGATGAAGAATTTAAATTTGTGTCGATTGTAGGCAATAGGAAATATGTCAATAGTGTAATTCATTTTTACAACTTTGAAACAAAGTTTATATATTTTGAGGGTCAAAAAAAAATAGTGTATTCAAAAGATTTTCAAAGTACGAATCTGGATATATATTCAGAAAAACAATTCCACTATAAAAGTTATAATTTGAGTATTTGAATTTTAAAAAATACAACTACGTCGTTTGGCCACTTTTAAATTATTTTGGAACAACATGGTGATTTCGAAGACGTAAACTGGTTTGAACATCGCACAAGAAAATCATTCCCTAAGCGTCAAAAACTTCACAATGTGAATGTATACGAATTAAGTATTCGGAAGTCAAAGAAATATTCACTAATTGATGGTGTTATGTTATAAATTGAGTGTACATTGATAAGGATAGGATTCACATATTTATCCCAGGGGATAGGAAAACCGATAAGACGGCTTAATCATATGGCGAACCTCGCCAGTTAGTTAGCCAGTTACTTGTTTTCGGATACATGGATTTGGTGATGGAAGTCGTAACCGACCAGCGGTAGGCAATGCTAAACTTGAAAGATTCCCGGAGCTTACAAACTATCGTAGCTCTTTACCTAGCATTGGCTACCTTTGCAGGGCCTAGTTCGGAGCCCAAAGCATATAAATATGGCCGTGCAAAGTGGATCGTGATGAAAAAAGTTTGAAGATATAAACTATCAGCATCAAGTGTTGGTTGCAAGCTGTACTCAATGTTGCATACAATCGCCATTCTACTATAATTTAAAAGCAATAATTTAATAAATAAATACGACAAAATAAAAAGGGCGAGGCTAGTTATTTATAGAGTTCCTCCTGGCTGTAGAGGCAAAGAAGCATGACTAGCATCATTGGCACAGGCTGGTTATGATAATAAGATTCTGGCTAGTCAAGGTTCATTAGCTTCTACAGTCAAGATGAAATTGCATTCTACATAAGAATTTAGACTGGTAAATGTGTGCAGAGTGTTATGTGTTTTCATAAGATTTTGGCAAAATTTAGTAACAATGAGACATGAGCATATCTGGCACCCAGTAGGGTAGTCGGGTAGTGTACCTATATATGCTCCAGGAAGAGAGAAAATTCATTATTTTTGTCAACCAAAATATAAATGATAAAAAATTGAATTAAACAGCACTTAATCCGATATAGACTGGGAGGTAGCGATACTACCAAAGATCATCGAAGTGTGATGGCCTAGCAGGGGCGTAGCCGAGGCCGGGCAATTGTTTGCAGCTTGATTAGCTATTCAGAGCCGCAAGACTCTTGGTGGGATTCAAATTTTTTTGTCAGCCGGTTCTATCACACAAATGTCATATTGTTCAGGCGGTTCTGTTACAAAAGGTCATTTAATGCTAATCGGTTCGGTGATCGGATAAAATTTTTTGAGATGGTTCTATAGAACCGGCTGAATCTCACTACTGGCTAGCGGTTATAGCATTGGAACAAACTATGTTGGCATATGAGGTGGATTCGATCCTACACCTATCGATTCACCAAGGGTGTAATAAATTGGGCCACAAAGATTCCATTCCTGCAATAATATCCGCTCTTTACATATCAGTGAGTCTTCCTAAAGTCTGTAAGAAATTGGGTTTGCAATGATGAATTACCAAGTTTCAGATCCACCATAAATAAGAGCTTAATTACGTATCAGTGACCAAATTTTGAAGCCACAAGAAAAAATTATACGCAAGTTACCATATCAGACTTTTAGTAAAAGATTGTTTAGAAATACATGAACTATAATGATCTGATTCTGCTCATTTAGGGTTCATTGATTATATTAAATATTATATAAGTATCAAGATAAAATCAAAATTCTTTTGTTTGTGTCAAGTGATGTTTGGATATTAAAGTCAAATAAAAAATATTCAGCACATCATGGGGGCTATTGTTAACCATGTGGGCATCACAGTTTACACATCTTGGTTTGAAAGCCAATCCTACCATCTTACTCAGGGTACAATAACTTGGATGGGTAATACTGACGGTACTTCAAATTTTTGTAGCCCCTTACATGCCAGTAGCTGCTTGTAGCGGGCCCTGTTTGGAGCCAAAGGCTTAAATAAGCGCTGTGCAAAAAATTATAAATTTAAGCTATTTCTTCAGTTACAAATAAAGGTGATTTCTCTGGTGATGAAGATTCTTGGGTTGCTTTCTCTTCCTCGTCACGATTAGTTTTCAGTTTAATCATTTCTTCTTCTTTTCCTTCAGGATTTTCAGTCTTACATTGCAGAATAGAATGAATTGGGTCGTTCCATGAATCCGGGAAAAGCATGATAGCAAATCCAGAGAATACTAACACTGCGGCAACAAGTCGTATAGCGCTGAATGTTCCATGTCGAAATATCACATCTACGCCAGCATTGAGCGGGATTCCAATCATCATCGCAATTGATATGAACAGTGGGTAAGTATACGCGATGCCAAAGTTCACCAAAAAGTTAAAAATAAGGCTGAGTAGAGCTGATAGGTTCACGGCTTGCCATGGAATATCAGTCCAACCGAATTTTTCAACTTCTGCAACATATAAGCATACACTTACAGTCCACATCAGAAGTGTATTACTCAGTCCCAGTAGTGTTAAAAATAGTGATACCTGTCCTAATGAAGCGTTCCCCACTACTTTTTTGAATACAACTTTATACACTGCGGCACCAAATGCGGATGCGATAATCATCAAAACTCCTTGAAGAAGATGTTCACTTCCTTGAAAACCTTTTGCGTAACCAAAAAGTACAACACCGCTGATGCATAGGAAAGATGCGATGATCCGTATCGCGTATAATTTTTCTTTAAGTAAGCATAGTGATAGCATGTACACGAACGCAACATTTGAAGCCATGATTGCTGATGCATCGGTTGCATAGATAAATTTGAGTCCGAAGACATAAAGTGAGTTCACGGCCAACCAGATTGCATTTAGGCTCCATATAATTTTGAAAAATTGTGCCATAGTAACGCTTTGTGGGCCAAATATATGAGTAGATTCCTTGAAAGCATGAAGGATCTTCGCTTTATCCCGTTCAGAAATGATAACGAAAATTGCATAACCAGGGAAGCAAAGCACCATCCAACAAGTTCCATACCATGTGGTAAAGTAAGGAGCTTCAAAATTGCCCCACTGAACAGCGGTTTGCGCTGTTTGCTGAGCTCCAACCCACGATACTGCCAAGAGCACCACAATTACAACACCAATAATAGTCTTTCGTACTGTTTCTGACATTCGTGTCTTTTTGTTTGACATTGAGCATTCCTCCTGCTTGTCTTCTAACGATTTATCATCTTCACTACCTTCACATAAATCTATTATTTTGGAATTCGCGCTTTCGTCGCCCATGGTCACAAATCACGTGGAAACAAAACGCGTGTGAATAGGAAAACGAGGTTTAGCTTAAAAGCAGGAGACCCTTCACGTACAAAACCTAAAGACAGAATGGCAAAATATTTTTCGTGTGGTGGATTTTGACCTTCGCGAAATTTGTTAACGCCTCCCGTATGCGTTAAAATCGCCCGACATTTCCATGGCGCAACCGTCCAAAGGTCGATGACTGGAAATAATACCCTTGTTGAGAAAATGCCGGCGAAGGCAGCCGACAATCAAAAGTCACGGTAGAGTAATTTTATTTCGCAATAGTCTGCACACATGCGTCTCCTCGCGGAGAATTATTTTTTAAATTTCTTCGTCTGTTCGTCAGCTTTGTTTACGTGTACGACTTGTGTTGTTTTGCGCTGTGGACATATCGCTGTTGTCCGCTCGCTATGGACTGTGCAACCCACGAAGGTACAAAGAGCAAGGGTGCAAAAAGAAAGGAACAGCGCAAGGCAGCAAAGCGTCGTCAAAATGGGGAAAACGCACTTAAAGAAGTCGACCAGAATCGCACTGGAAACATCGCAAACACAGCTTTGGAGGTACTGCAAAAGTTGAAGGCCGAATTTGAGGAAGCGAAAGCAAGTGGAGATGTTGCAAAAACTCGTTTACTTCGTCAACAAATTTGGATTTCTCAAGACGCTGCGGCCGGTGTTAAATCAGCTGTATCTAAAGAAGAACTCGATCATATCTTGTCTCCTACTACTAAAAAGTTTCCAGTAATTGACAGCAAAGAAGAGGATACTTCAGAGGAGCATGACAAAATGGTGAAAGCCAACCAAGAACGCGCAAACGCGGCTTCACTTTCGGTGAAAATTGAATATCTTTCGAAGCAACTCAAAAAACTACAAAAGAAACAAACTCAAATTGCAAAGCTGAAGGAGAGACTGAAAAACGGGGAAAAGCTAGAAAATACTCAGATCGAAAAGATTAACGGGGAGAAAGCTCTTGAAGACCAAATTGACGATGTGGAAGAGGAATTATATAAACTGAAAAGAATGTAGTAAATAAATGATGTTCTCTTAAATAATTTATTTTGAACTGCGTCGTGGTATGGCATGTTATGTTCGTACTGCAGAACCAATTACCACAATCAGTCTCCACATTTGTTTACATGTTGTCATTTTACTTATGTCGTCAGTCGATTTGTATTGTGCACTCGCAAATTGTTGTATAGGTTGATTTTTCATCATGACTGATTATTACGTTTATAGAATTAGAATGAGTTGGTAGTTACGATTCAACAAGAATTTAAAATTGAATCCCGGCGCTCGCTGGACGAGTCCGGTTTCTATAACTGCTTTGTGAAGTGTGGGTGGCTGTGCGATCGCTGTCCACAGTAGCAGCCTACAGTAATAATTTCCGATCAGTCCATGCACAGCGATTAACTAACACTAACTGGTCAAATATTCTTGAAATTGACAGGTGAATGGGTAATCGTCAGCTAGCATTCACGGCATTTGTCAAAATACCACATTTTTATAAGAAAATGTGCTCAAAGCAAGGTCAAACTCACATGGAAATATAGTAGATTGATATCTGAATGAAGTTACCTGCCGTCTGTAAAGTACCGAGAGTTAAGGGAGAATAAATATTTATGGTACGGAATTCCACAACAGTAGTTCTGAAAAATACGATTGGGCTTAAAATCGTCCGGGTAACCGACAGTGGACGGGCGAGAGCTCGCAGCCAACCGAGTTTGGGTACTGAGAACTTTTTTGGAGGATCTGGTTTATAAGAAAACTGTCCATTATAATAACTACAAAATGTTACCATAGTTACATTAGGAATCCTCAGTGTCAACATTAGCCTGATTATATGAGGACAGCAGACACACGAGAACGTCGGTATTTGACACTTTAGCCTCATGTTCATATAAAAAAAAAAAAGCTGAATGTCTCCTACACGTTTTAAATTATCGATTTATATACCGTATTTGAAAATCTCGTAATTTTCTACTTTGTAATGAAAATAAAAGACATCCCCTCAAAATAAGCCCCGGACCCTGTTATATTTTCGTGGAAACACGGTAATATATGATTGAACATTTTACTTAGTGTGTTTAATATAAATGTAATATATATATATTTTTTTTCATTGTAAATGCTATGTATAGGAATCAATAAATTCATTTTACGTTTCTATGTCGTTTACTGTCATTACGTTCTGTCTGCCTCGTTTGTTACGTAACACTACTTGTTGCAATTTCGCAAGCTGCAATCTATTTATCTTCTAAACATATCGCCTCCGTTGTAATATACTTATGTCGCATGGTGCCACTATTGAGCTTCTTATTGCCTGTTCCGGGCGTCGGTCGACTATGTTGTAATCATAGCATATACGAACATTGCCAATAGTTGCGCAAATACAAACAAACCAGTCCGCGAATTGTACCACCGTGGGGGCAGATACGGAACGCGCAAAACAAATCTGAATTGATAAGAGTTCGGTACTCGCTCACAGTGATTTTCCTGGCGGTGTCCATATGAGCAGTCGCCCCGGGCAGCACGTTATAGGGGTGAGTTTGATAATTTAAATAATAAAAATACAAACGTTTCAAACTTACTTGACCTTCAAATTATTTATTTATTATCATGCATAACAACATCTATAATTTGTTACTACTCCCGTAGTATGTGTACCAGGTTAGGGTTAGGCCATGATTTTATTCCGATTTTCCTTATTTCAGTTCTCGTACGAGCTCGGGGACTGTCAGTGTTAGCCAACCCCCCCTGTCCATAGGTTTCAGTCCCTTTACACAACTTGATGTAAAGTAGGAGAACAAGATTAGTTACCTCCATATTGGTACACATACTTCTGAAGCGCCAATTTGTTTACTCACCGAAATATTTTTGAAGTTATATATAAGGGGCATCATTATTACGAACGTGGGGTAACAGAAAGGTTTGACACGCCCCTAATTGTTGGGCCTATCGCCATCGTGAGTTGTTGAATGTATGTATGCTCATTCGTCTCGTAATGGTGAAAATATAGGCAAGCTGACAATAATGTTGAAGACGAATGCATGTGTAGCGAATCTGCGTATGGATTTTAATGGTATTTAACCCATTTGTATTAATAGCATTTTGGATTCTATGAAAATAGGTGATTTTCTTAACTTTTCAATATAAGAACAGTTGACATTGCGATCTATCGTGTGCTTATCAAACTCAGATCAGATTGGGGTGTACAGTGTACTCCGCTACCGTATGTAAGATGATAATCCCCCCCCCCCCCCCCCATACATGCACAAGAATCAAGAACAATACTGACTTAAATCACAAATGTGCGATCGTACCCGTAGCAGCAGGTCAGTTATGACTTCTTCTATAGTGGAATTTCTGACTCCCGCGATGAATATGAAAAAATCCTGTGCTAATCGCAAGTAGAACGGCAAATATTTATATTACACCTATCATTCATAAAAAACGAGAATCATTATTTGTATTCAGATTTTGCGTCACGCTGACAGAAGTTCACAATCATTGATTCATTGACAGTCTAATGAATATTTTACATGGCGTACGCGTGTGTATTATCAAAACGACGTGTAAAACCAACCTTGAGTTTTCACTACATAACGAATGAATATATTTCTGCGCATACACACTGTGATTTAAATATGGCTATAAATGTCAAGCTAACCTAATAAATCATTGGCCTTCTATCGGCAAAGTGCGTAGCAAAATTGAAACCCAGGTTTATTACGGAATATTTACATCTCAAATCAATTGATTTAACTGATTTATGCCACATTAGGCTTTTGTGGCTCTTCAGACGCGTCGAGGGTCGGAAAGTGTAATTTACTAATTTAATTTTCTCATTCAAGCATCCTAAATGGCGGCGTGTGCCTATTTACCCTCCAAAGCCTCTGGACAAATAAAAGTCGAGCGTACCTTTCCCTGCTGAACAGATAATTTACTTCGATTGAGTGTTTTATTATGGCGATTATACGTCTATTATGTCATAAATAATCTAATTTACGCGTCATAAAGTGCTATAATACACCTTCACTATGATTCATCAATTTTCGATTCAGACACCCAAAACGTGATCAAGTTTGAGGAAATAAAGTGTTTCATACGTCATAAAAAGTGTTTCTATGAATTAAAATGAAACAGCAAAAGTTGGGTGGAGGATCGGGCCTGAATGAAATTTGAAAAAAGTAAATGTAATAGACTCTTATTTAACCATTGACTTGATGGTGTGGGTGATTGTGCCGAGCTTCAGGAATACGTTCGCCACCGCACCTATGAGTACCCTTCTTGGGTTCGCAGGTTCGAATCCCGTGGTTGATAATTATTTGCAAAAGGATTTCCGAACTTTTCGCCTTCCGTAGGGTGGTTCACGTAACTGCTGGTTGGTTGCGGCTTTCTACACCATCGCGTCCATGCATCTGAAACAATAACTGGCTAATCCCATACCCGACATAAACTGGTAACCGGACGAGAGACTGTGGTTCGTCATGTGATTAAGCCGTATCATAGGCTTTCCTATCCCCCGGGATAAATTTGTAAAATCCTATCCATATTTGAGAACCGAAATCTCGAGTGGATTAGGTCGATAGTTGTGAAGATGAGCGATTTTTATTTGGCAAAACGATCAATAGGTCTTCTTCACGTCGACTAAATAAGCCTTATAATGATGCAACCATTTACTGCAAGGTTCGCGATTTGGATCTTTTGTGCAAAGTCCCGCCACTAATGCAAAATTGTGAGAATTGAAAAAACAACCCCGCCAACTTTTGAAATAACAAATTAGTATTTATCTAGTTAGGGTTGGGGCAAAGAATGATTTGAAAATTTGAATTTTCAGCGCAATCTACATTCCCAGCCATTGCCCTAACCCTAACTGGATTATTTTTATTTTTTGGCGAGGGCAAAAAATATCCTAAATACAAAATATCCTAAATAAGCATTATCATGATCCAACGACCTACTGCGATTGTTCGGGCTGCTTTAGGCCTCGCGTGATTTAATAAATTTATCGGCACTCGATGTATATTGAAACAACAATTGAACAATACTCGATCTTTATAACGAAGAACATGTATAACTTGTCAACATTTGTTTGCGAACAATGAAAAACATTGTTACGTTTAGCATCGCTTGGCTATCTACTGTGGTTCTATTGACCAGCGCACGTGGTTACGGTAAACGTGAAAAGAGGGCAAACAAAAACCCTGTTATCATGGGATGCGAAGTTGTATAAGAATTGCGGCCTATTTATCTACCGTGTTTCAATTTTCTTTCGAAAAATAACACTAGGGCTTATTTCGGGGGCATGTTTTTTATTTTCATTTATCAAAAACAAAATTACAAAGTTGATTGGGGGGGGGTCCGTCCCCCAAAACCACCCCCTGGTTCAGGGTGTAAAATGGGCGTTGGACGCATCAATAGTGGGGTTAAAACTCACAAAATGACTCGGTAGGGCATCAATGCTTTGTATTTTGCAATTGAGATATAATATTGAAATCTATTTGACGAACGGAGGGTTGAGAACCACTGATTCAAAAAACGAGTCACAACACAATGCAAAGTACAATCCCACGCGGGTGCCATAAAAATTAAACCCACTGTTTATGTGGCAGTTATTTATATGGCAGACTAATGCCGTCTTAAGAGAAAACCATTTAAGCGGCGGGACCATATACCCATCTATTGTATACTATACACAGTATGCAAGTATACACAGCGCGGGCTTTAAACAAATGCAATAAATCGATAAAGCACGTCCGATTTTCGCTCAGTGAATTTGTCATACTCTGGGGAAACCTTTCAGTGTTGTGCAATCATTGTCTACTTCTGAATACCTTCTGTGCGTGAAGACAGAAATTTGACGCATAACCGCAGTGTCGCATTTACGTAAAATTGCGCCCATGGCAAACAACAAGCCACGGCTGCCATACCCAGACACCACTGCGTAACACGCATGTGGGATCTCAAAAGTTTTGTTAATTAATTTAACACAGCTGTGAGGGCGGGTCAACAAACTATACATGGTATCTAAAATTTCCTTTGGCAATTAAATTTTTTATGACTTTAGGAACAACATGTATATCACACCTCCGGTTTAAACTTAATTAATAATTAATATAATACGTCTTAACTGACTAGATTATTATAACGGTCTTGTTGGCTTATAGTGCAAAGAAGAAATGTTTGTTCAGCTGCGGAAGCTAAGTACACTGTATAAAACTCGACTGGAAACCTTATATCACAAGTAGGGCTGGCATTTCGAATCGAATAGTAAAATATTCGAATCGGGTCATTCGGGAATTTCGAAAAATATATTCGATTCTGAAATCATCAGTGCCTAGCCTCAAATAATATAGGCGTTATCACACTGTCACTCCAACCAAAGCTCTTTACAAGCAAGCACCCGCTGTGACCAGTGAATGCCGAATTTTTCTGCTGTCCAGGGCGAGTTTCTGATAATTATGCGCCTTAGACCTAACTTCAAAAAAAAATCGGGGGATAAATAAAATATAGATGTTGTTATACATGATAATAAATGAATTGAAGGTCAGGTAAGAGTGAAATGTTCGTATCAATATTTTTTAAAATCATCAAACAGAGCAACATGTAGTGTGTAAGATCAAACTCAGATATCTGCAACGTGCACCGGGCGGCAGCTCCTATGATCCATCCCTGACTGCGACGTAAAGAGCTATCATATGAACCTGGGTGGTGGTGAGCATATAACCCGCTATGTCATCATTGCTAAGTTTAAATCTTTAACCTCTAGTACACCACACTTGTGCGTCACGAGTAAAGCGACTATTCAGTTAAAAATTTGAATGTTTGAAAAAATTATTTAGCTTTCCAAACTGGGGGTCTCGACTCACAGTGGGCGGACAACGATTTTTAGGGTCGCACAAATAGTGCACCAATTTCACACAAAGTACTATATCTATTGTACTTTTGATTCGAAACACAATTATTATATTAAACATCATATTATTATTATATTAAACAAAAGAAACTTATTTTATCAACAAATTCAAAACATTGGAACCTCTAGGAATGAATTTGAGAGATGGTTAAACTTTGGATTTATGCTAATTTAAACATTACGTCCCATTGTGCGCTTATATTTGATTTTTATTCATCTTTTAAGTCATTATCTGACATTGTAGCTTTGACACTTACATGAACTTAACCAACGCCGCAGACGGAGTTACGGGATAACAGCATGAAATTGTTTGATTTACTTTTTAATTACCACTCACTACACTGTGGGATACTTATTGATTATAATCCAAATCTAGCTTCCCTATTGTTCTGGCTCTCTCCCAATCTTAGTTATTTTTCTCTATCGGAAACAGACCAAACATTTGATACCATTATTTATGTGCATGCAATTGCGATTCTTGTCATATATATTTGTAAAATGCTTGTCTTACGAAATCTGACCTCGGTCAGACGAAACGTTACAGAAATATATTTGTGTAAGTGTGCAGCAGGATTCTTGAATTGAATAGAACTATTATTAAAACTAGTGTAAAACATTAATCTCATATAGTAAGGGGTCGCGAGCTTAAAAAGTTTGGGAAGGTTTTTAGATTATTAAAAACGACAGAGAATAAATCAAACACTATGAAGACATTTATTAGCGTGTGGTATTGTCGGTGATGCCATAGTCGCACACTAGATTTTGTTATGCTCTGACATAAAAATCTGTTGAAGTCGAAGTAATATAGCGAAACATCAGACATCCTTGTCTCGTTCCAATTCCCCAACGAGGCGACAAGCTGTCGATTGATCCTTAAAAAAGTCGGAATTGCCACCACATGCTCTATTATTCATCAACCTTACAACCTCACAGACGTCTACAATAAAAACGGGATGAGCATCGCTTCTAGATTTGTTTCGATGACTCGTTATATTTAGGGTGTCCATAAAGTCCTAAATTATTTTTTAAATTGCAAAGGGAATTTATCGATGCCATATATTGTTTTGGCCATCAACATGTATTGAATGAAGTAAAAATACTTAAACAATTACTGATTGAATGAAGAACAATAAACCTGGTTAGAATATATTGAGAACTGACATAACAAAATTAAAAAGGGACTTTATGGACACCCTGTATGATGTATGTGAATGATAGGGAAATACAGTTCATTTCATTCACAAGACGGCGGATATTTTTCTTTTCCAAGCGGGGGTAATCGATCGATCAACGCCCTTTTATCATAATCTACGATTTAACTTTCCGAAACCTTTTAGATCTGCGGTCTACATATGCAACGAAAACAGTGAAAAATAACCAAATAATCCAGTCACTCTGGATGACGTGTCGGTCGGGATTTGAAACCTAGCCAGAATCACAAGAAATTTGGGCCCTCCAGAAGTGTGTGTACCCATATATGTAGTAACTACTTTTGTTCGCCAACTTTACATCAAGTTGTGTAAAGGGACTGAAACCTATGGGCAGGGGATATATTCACTTGGCTAACACATACAGTCCCCGAGCTCGTAATAGAACTAAAATAAGGAAAATCGGAATGAAACTATAGCCCGACCCTAACCTAGGACACACACTACGGGAGTACCAAAGAATGCATCAGTCACCCAAGTCTTTACAACAGGTATCAGCTGACAATTTGTACTTCAAATCCATGCACAATTCTTAGTGTGTCAGTGGGACTTACAAATACTATTAGAACGCTGTTAGCAATTAGGCGACGGCTCGGAAACTTTCTCTGCACAAAATCGCTTTATGTTGTCCAACAACGTGAACCTTCTCCTGTGACCAAAACTCTTAGAAATCACTAAGTATCATCTCAGCTACATTGATGCCTTTCGTTGACAAAAATCGCTCAAATTCAGCTAAATTATTTTATTAGTGAGTTTGAAAAGTGAATTCTAAATAGTGTTCAAAATCAGCCTAAAACGAAACGTAAAATCAACAAAAGAAATTTATGTACATTTAGTTCTTTAGTTGGAATAAACAGGGCTATGGTAAAACATTAAAAGCTTTTTTAAAAACAAAAATATAATCAAAACATAACATCCTATGACTGGACCCCATTTTATTTTTCATCACATATAAATGCAAAATGTCCCTGTTTATAAATTCTCTCATCAGCACTCATTCAGTTGCAAATGAATTACTGTAAATAACATGAACAAAAGAGTAAACACATGGTACCTAAAGTCTAGCAAGGGTCCTTTCTAATATTACTACATAAGTTTCCTAAATACAGGAGAGTTGGCGCTTAGTAGCGGGAATACTCTCAACAAATCGAATTTTTGCAAATGAATTTATAAATCTCATAAGAGAACCTATTTACATAAATGTAAAATAATCAAAATACAGCCATAATACAGAATTTTTTTTTGCAGACATGACCAGCAAAATCAAGACTCAACAATCGGCTTTCAGCTGGCAGAAAGTTGGATATACAGTTATGTGAGCAGTTACTATTATTTCCAAGAGAAGAATGCTTTTAAATGAGACACATACCATATATACTGGTAAATGAAACCATTCTGGTACCTTTTACACACAGATATATCGTTACAAGCAAGCCAACGAAACCTTTCGCTTCCAAACTGGAATTTTAGTTAAAATAAATACTTCAAAAACATCTCTATATTTTCCTTAACATGGCTTTTTAAGATATATAAACAGCTCTGTTATTAGCTTTTGAAAAATTGATAAAAACTTGTATTAGTACACGAGCAAAATTGTTGAAGTTGACTGAGTTTTAAATTTTCTAATAAACTAAATGAGCTGTACAGTCTCAATTTAATGCAGCACGTGCGTACCAGTCTCAACGCCAAATATCTTACAAATAGACTATTCCCTAAGGGTTTTATAAAAAATATCAGATTTAGGTAAAACAGAGCACCCTGGAAAGGAGGTAGCAAGAATTAAATCGTATTGCTATTCTGGCATTACAACCTTTACAGAAGTCTTTTATAGTTTAAGAAATCCCTAAAAATTATATCTTCAAACTTTAAAAATCTGGAGGGGAATCGTTTCAAAATCAAGCTTTACATTTACACCAAGCAACTACGATAGCCATTCTAAAACAAGTCTTTTGTAACATTATATATAAATCGTAACATGTAAATTTGATATAAATTCCACACGTTTCAATTCTTTGTATTTCCTAAATTTGGAATGGTGCCATTCTTATTCAAAACAATTATTTATAAGCCATTCTTATACTGTCCAAGCTCAAAAAAATGTGATGAATTTTACCTAAAAATCAACCCGAATCCCAGAACTTAGCATATTGAATGCTGTTTTATATTCACATATACTTAGTTAGAACTGATTTCAAAAAAATGAAGAATCTTAGCTAAAAATCAACCGAAGAACAACAAAAAGTTACATGAAAATAGTATTTCGACACAGTGACAAAAATCTATTCCTTTTAAAAATAGGTTGATATCACAAAAATGAAAAAATAAAATTTAGGTGCAAAATCAGTCACCTTTTACAGATTGTTTTTTCAAAATACTTCCATAAAAACTGAAAAATTGGAATAAAAAAAACAGTGTTCTTCAGTATCACATTTTAGGCTCAATTATGAAAAACTCAGAATACAAATTTTAAAATCGAAAAGTTTAAATTCTGATATCGGGAAGAATTTAAGAGGTGCAAGGAGTCAAATTATTTTGACTACTAATAAAACCTGTCGGATAATCGGAATAATAGTTTGACTATTTTGTTACAAAAATTCCATTTTGAAACCTAAAATATGACACAGAATTACAAAAAAAAAATAAAACGAAAATCATGACAATTACGTTTTTACATTTGACAAATAAAATGGAATGACAAACCACAGAGACTCATGTAATATATAACACTGGTTGAAATTTAAACAAACAGTCGTTTTAATTTTTTTTTTTCAAATTAAAAATGCACCATCAGCTAAAAGCACCTTTTTTGAAGAAGCGAGAATTTTGTTCTTCTATATTTCAAAAAGTGAATTCTATGGTGAAAGAAATGTGTTCAGTTCATGCCTGCGAACTTTTTTTTTCGTACTCCCAATACTCTTCAGTAAATTGGGTTTCTCGCCTGGCGAGCAGCTCTTTGCTCTGGTGTTTCTGGGGCCTTTGCCTTGCGTTCCCAAACAGACATATTATCAGTGTGAAATGGGGCACCCCCTCTTGTATATTTTTCTTTTATTTTATTCCCTTCTTGACGAGCTGTTTGCTGAGTTGAGTCGTTCTCCTGTGCATCATGGACTTTCTTATCCGCAACCTGATTACTGGTCCTGTAAGAGATGTATCAGTTAGTTTGTGGTATTAGTCTGTAAATGATGCTGACATCTCTACAAATACTTTCACGACCAGTAAATTATATGAAGTAGTTGAATAAAATATGAGGCGTACATACTCGACGAGGCTTACATACTCGCAGATAGGTCACAATTTTCTCCGTACATTCAAAAAATAAAATATCTGCTCGACATAAGTGCAAATCATCACCAAGTCAGAACAATGATATACAGGTTTGTATCGAGTTGGTTATTCATGGAAATCATATGGTCTGCGCTTGCGTACATGCACTTATTATCACTCACAGGTGTCGATAAACATATTTCGATTATAATAAGCCCTACAAAAAAAACAAAATAAGAAGTTATCTCGGGGACTGTCTTGGCACGATGCGTCGACATGTTCAGATATTTTTTTTTGTCGCGCATGAAATTTATACCGACACAATTTAGCAAATATGGTAAAAACAGCCAAGTAAATATTCAGGTATCAGTATTGTTTCTCGATGTCTTTATATTTGAAATTTCTACCACAGAATGAATTTATGCCTATCGCTAAAAGATCGGCTTTTCCATTCACCAAATATAACAATCCGTTTCATAGAAACCGCCACGTCACAAAATAATAATCAAGTGAACCGATGTAGGGTAATAAGAGGTTTTAATAAAATGATTACCTTCTATTTCTGGCATCCTCTTCCTCATTATGAATATGGTCGAACCATTCACATTTTGAGTAAGGTTTTGCTGCTTCGGACTTTACAATATCTTGCGAAACTAACAAATCCTTTTCTCCCCCTTGCTTTGCTAGTCTCACGTAATCAGAGTCTGTAGGCTTGATGAAAAGTCTCGCTTTTTTGCCGGAATCTTCCATATTTTTCTTAGACAGATGAGTGTGATATTAAAACTTATAAACTAAAATGATAATGCACCAATATTAAGTTTTTGACCGAGTACTTATCAAGTTTTAGAATATTGTTAAACTAGATAATATTCGAAAACAGGTATATGATAATATCATATGATAATATGTATAAGTTTATTTCGACTCCATAACCAGCATAATACCCGATAAAGTAATTGATAAAAACTGATTATAGAACCAGACCAGATTATAGAGCAAACATAACCTCAAGTGAGGTTTGAAACATACAAATTTTAGATGGAAAGGTATTGATAAAAGAAGTAGTACATGTTCGCTGACCTAAAAATATTGAAACTAATTAGAGCACACAATCACTGAGATATGATAAAATCGGAAGAAAAAAAGACAGACAAAAAATCATGGGGGTATAAAAACAGTCTATGCAAGAATAATTCAATGGGGACGGATGCACAATGATGGTCAGATGGTGGTAAAATATTCTAAAACACTCACTAGGTCTGTGTACTGAAATACTAGACTGGTATACTATCTGCATATGAGTGTCATGTTTAATTGAATTAAGACGTTCTTAAATGTAAGCAAACCCATTAGCATGAGCACATGATTTAAAGTCTGATCATTTACGCTAATTTGAAAAAGTACTGTAACACAGTAATCTGGTAATGGGAGATTCAGAGATTACTTCAACCTTCAGACCTTAATCATCAATTACAGAAGAGTAGACTATTTTTCGTTCCATTCACACGATTACTGGAATGGCTTGGTCCGTCCGTAAAATGTTAAACGTAACCATTGGGCATTCCAAAAACTACAGAACCAAAAAGAGAAATTTAATAGATAGTCTAGCCTAGCTAATTTAATTCAAACTCCACCATTGTCGCATGGTACCGTACCACAGTAGAACTACCAAAAAATACAAGACACGACTGCCAGCACACAGGACTGAAATAAAAATTCAGTTTTGGTCTGCTTTTCTAAAGTAATATGCACGACATTGAATCCGAAGCTTATCGACTATACCTGCAACAATGCTTTGCGATCTAAACATACAAACGCCACTATGCTAAACTAATAAAGTAATTCGAATAATTACTGAATTTCGAAATACTAATCGTAGATAGCGCGAATTATTCCCGGTTCCTAATTTCGTAATCTGCTTACAGCCGATAATTTACAAAGCAACGAGAATTGGAATTTACAACTAAAATGTCATCTATGAATAAATCCCGCATTAGAGGGAACAATCAAAATTTAAACTCACCCACAATTCAAAATGGAACCGAAACAAAACGAACAAAAGCGAGGAAATCCGACGAAAGCGTGATTCCAAAACGAGGCTTGCTGTTGCGACCGTTTGTGACGTATGTTCAAATAGCAACCGCGGTTTTACTCATTGGCGACCTCATGTGTGCAAATCAGATATTATTTTTTTGCGCACAACACGTCGTACAATCGTAAATATTTCATAATAAAATTAGGCAAAATATTAAAGAGTCAGTTCCAAACCTCTTGAACAGGTTCATTGCTTTTTACAATAAAAAAGACGATCAATAGACTTTACACAGACTTCTAACCCCAGACAATCCTTACCCTATTTTTGATGCTACTTTTGCGAGTTGCGGTTACAAACTGCTATAGATGTTTCATAATCAGCATCTGAAATGTTCATCAGCTTGTCTTCAATTAATAATGCTAGAGCTTATTTTAAACTAATCTGGAATTTTTTCAGGAATTCATTTCGATTACTTGGACCAAATTAAACTCATTGTATTACGAAACAAAAGAGCTATGATCAAAGATATAGACACGTCACAAGGTGTCGCTATTTTTCATTCTGACGCATAAAAAACGAATCTTTTGAAGTCCACAGAAATTTTTTAAATAAGTAAAAGTAATAGCCTTCTGGCGAAAAAATCAATCTTCAACCACTGAAAATCACTTGGTTCCAGTATTCGAAGAGGAAAGGGATTTTATCATGACGAAGGAGAAAAAAACAACAACAACATTACATCGTTGTCCACTGACGTGTCCAATAACCAACAAATCATATAATTCATGTCTAAATTTCGGAAACAACTAAAACTTGGCCAAAGCAAGCAAAACCACCGACGCAATCATTTGATCAAAAACGTGCCGAATGATTTAATTGTCCTAGCTGCCAGGTTCCAATCGCCACGCCACCTTTGACATCCTGATTCCTGACATGTCACACATCCGGTTTCGATTTCTAAAAACTTTCCGTATCACACATAGCAACTTTTAGAACATCAGTTCCCTTAGAAACCCGTGTTTTGCGGCCTTCGGGCAGACCACCTGTTACAGTCAAACTTGGTAATTACAAATTTCGGCGCTTCGGAAGTATGTGTACCAAGATGACGCACAACCTGAACCCTAACCCGGCACACACATACTATGTTCGGGTTGTGCGTCATTTAGTACACATACTTCGAGAGCACCAGAAGAATTATATTTTGGAATTTGCATATAATATAATAATACTGGAATATATTTGGCGGGCCGGCTGCAAGGTTGCTGCGGACCGGCGGTTGAGAATAGATTATACTTATAGACTGTCAATGTTAAACGCGCCCAGTACCCATTACCCAAGACTACATTAGCGCCGCAGTTGGCGCGCATAATTCATAAACTACAACCGTTTTCGCAGACTGTCATGGTCCAGGAGGAGAGACGTCAGCGGAAACACCACGCCCATTAAAATTTTTATGTACGATTATAAAAAATCTTGACCATGTCTATTGTCATAAAAATATCGAAAAACATCTAAAAATTACTCTATATTCAAAACGGTCCACGTTTACAACGAAAGTAGAAATCACAAAAAATGCAAATTCCCGCCATGGTGATCACATTCCCCATAATGGCTAATGTTACAATTGTTTGGTTTACCCCTTTTTATTTTTGCGCGTAGGATGGGTTTTGAATGACCAAGGTCCATTACGAAATACTCGTGCTATTTTTGGCACCTGTGATTTGTGACATACAACGACAAGATGGAGTGTGACGTCATAATTCAATGATGCCACGTCATTCAATTGACGAGAAAATGCTAATACGCGCTGGCGATCAAACTCTCTGTCTAATACGGAATATTATGGAAGTATTCTTCACACTGAAAGATAATTTCGAAGATAAGTGAACTTGTATGATTCAGGTATTATTTTTCAAATATCTTGTCTTGAGGCAATAGCAATAGCCTATTCTAGCAAATAATCTAATCTAAGGTCTGAAGATTGTAGTCTAGTCTAGACTAGACTCTAGACCTGACATGAACAAACTACGACCCGCGGGCCAAATCCGGCCCGTTGGGTAATTCAATCTGGTCCGCCTGATGCTACCACCCCCAAACTGAAACCAAATTTTGATGTTTTAGCTGAAAAATAGCTCAAAGAATTTGTTGAGACTGTGATTAAATTAAGTTTTGGCACTGGGCTTATTGTTTTCCACTTTTCTTTTTTAATACTGCAAATATTAACTCCTTACGTTACACTGACATGGCCCGCCAATCTAGATGAGCAAAATTTTTGGCCTCTGGTCCAAAAGCCTTGCCCAGCGCTGCTCTTTAAACTAGAAACTCGAAGGTAGTACTCGGAATATGAATTCGCGTTTCGCCTAACATACAAATTTCGGTGTTCTGGTATCTTTCGTAATTTATGTCCTCCCAACCTGACGGTGGTGAGGTCTCTAGATCTAGGAAGTGACTTTCAAGAGATGATAGTATTGTTGTAACTGACTTTTGCGGAGAAATTGATCTCTGAGCGAAGTTACGGCATACCAGCTACGTATGAGGTACTAAATTTTGCTGACTGGAGGTCTCGGAGAAGGTTTTATTTGTCTTCTGGTACACGTATAGGCAAATGGGTTAGTATTTAAAGTTTTCATTTTTTATATAAATGTAATTCTACCTGGAGATCTTATGTTCGATCCATCCAAAAAAATAGAGATCCAAGTTACCACTTATATACGAAATAAAGCTAGTGCATGCAGTTTAGCATAGATTATTGCGTGGTTTTAACATATATACGCTGTTTGATTCTGTTCGGGATAGAATTAGCTTATGGCGTAACAAAATATAACTATAACAGTTGATCAGTCGTACAAATGGCGTACTGTACGGTCAAGAGTCATTATTTTTACTTAATAAAGGTTGAAACACCATGAGGGTTGCCATCTCTTCCTGGTTGACAGCAAATCCCGGACATCTTTTCGTTTTTGAAGTATTTATCCCGGCCGTTATATTTAATACAAATACTCCTGAAATGTTCGGGGAAAACTGGACGGATGGCAACCCTAATTGGACTAAGATAAATCACGCACCAACGAACCAAAGATCATTCATAACAATGTAAAAACACAAATTTCCTTTTTGTGAATCAATATTATATATCACAGGAAATCTACATATTTGATGTGCTATTTATTGCTCAGAATAATATAAGAATGCGCGGTGATGTGGCTGATCGTGCTACGCGTTAGGAATACGCTCGCCGCACCTCTGATTACCCTGCGTGGGTTCGCGGGTTCGAATCCCATGCGGGGATGGTTATGTGCGAGAGGATTGCTTGACTCCTCGCCGCCGTAGGGTGGTTCACGTAACCGCTGGTCGGTTACGGCTTCTTTTACCGTCAAATTCATGCAAATCACCAACTAATCCCATACCCAACATGGAATGGTAATCGGACGAGAAGCCGTGGTTCGTCATATGGTTAAGCCGTCTTATCGGTTTCTCTCCCCCGGGGTAAATATGTAAATACCATACTATCCTACTATAACAATACGAATTGGGTGGCTCTTAAAGTATTTTATAACCTAAAACCAAACAGACAGTGCAATTTATTACTATAAGAGTATAAGTGATTTGAAGAATACAGAAATTCGTGATAAAAATATTATTAATAAAGAACAAGAGAGTGATACTCAAATATATGGACACGGAGTGCAAAACAAAATATAATATCATCAATTTCCAGATCTCATAGGATTCATAGAAAATTTAGGAATAAATAAAAGGAATAGCCTTCTAGAAAAAAATTCCATCTTTAACTACTGAAAATTTCAAAGCAATTGGTCCAGTAATCAAAGAGAAAAGCGACTTTTTAAAAACGTGTCGAAGAACAAGAACAACAACAATGCAAATGCCCAGCGGCATTGCGATTGTACAAAACGTTGCTTGATTGCTCGAAGATAACGAATCGCCGGCGTTACCGCTGTAACCTTGAACTGAGATGACAATATATCGCCAACCGAAAATAATCTGTAAAATAAGAAAACATGTGCAATTTGCGTCACCAAATGAGGGTTTCTAGATTTTAAATACCACCCTACAACTAATAAAAATAGAAACCTCGACGATGTATGAGAGTATAAGTCAGGGTGGCCCAAACCCAGGCCCGCGAGCCATATGTGGCCCGCAGCTTCATTATCGGTGACCCGCGTCGCATTCGAAAAGTAATCAAAAAGTCGCATTTGCTGTTGTTTTGTCATGAAATAAACCAGCAAAATCTTTTGACATATTATTACATCACTAATGTCACTGATTTGACTAGTGTAATGACTAGGTGGGGCAACTAGCGAAGTTCAATGATGTGCTTGCCAGTCTAAATTGTTAACTGGCTTATATTAAAATCCAGGATAGTTCTTATTTTCGGGATAGGTCTTAGGATGAATACAGTTTGCCGCTACTTTAGCTCGAGGTCTACCGCCATACCAAGTATTCCTCACGCTGAAGTAGCAGCAGTAGTTTGAATTATAAGGATTTAAGAATGAGGAGCTAACATGATCGTAGCTAAGCTAAAACTTACTCTTTGAGTAATCAAAGTTATATTGTGTGTTCATATTATGGAAAACATAGTATCACTATTTGCCATGGTTATCCAGTCGAGTCGTTTATTTCCATTGTTATGAATGAGAGTCGGATACCGGGTCGCCTAAATGCATTTTATTTCCGGCTGTTCTTGGTATTTAATGTTCGACTTTTTTCTTACCTATAATTTAATGTTTGACTTCTTCGCAGGTGTCGCTGCTCGATAACCATTACTAGTTCATCGCGTCTCCCTTTACACTAAAACGCATATTTATTTTTTATCCAAATACGAAACTAAGGCTCACACGTGAATCACGAATAACGTTTTTTTTACACATGCTATCCACCCGTATTCCACGAAACGTAAAACCCGTAGTTCAATTCTAAGTTGGCATTCGTTGTCTTCCTCGTATCTATTAAGGTATTCGAGTCCTGTAGCAATATAAATAATTGGGTATGATATAGTTGTACGTTTATATTTCTAAGTGATTATCAGTATCCAGTGGCGTCTGTAGGAAATGGCAGACATTGCTCGTGTCATGGGCGCTGCATGGATAGGGGCGCAAAAAATGGCGAAAAGTTTCAATCGTGAAATGTTTCAATAAAATAATTTCAAATTAGAACTAATTGAAACTCGTATTTTTACTCGAATAATAACTTAGAATCATCTCAATTCAAAAATATCACGGTCCATATCACATAACGCAGGGCTCGGCAACCTTTTGTCGCTCGCGGGCCAAAATTAAGGGTTGCAAGGCTTGGCGGGCAGCATATATTTTTAGAAAGGTAAAAACCAAACAGATGAGCGATAAATCACAATTTTTTTCGTATAGATCAGAAGTTTAAATTAAGAAGACTTGCGACAACTCGAGAACTAACTTGGTCAACCACTTGATATTATTTTTTCGGATGGAAATTTATTGGTGACACTTTGATATGCGATCTTACTTGCTTAACGTGATCTCAAGCGCATGGCACCAATTGTGGTGGACAATCAAATATAAGAACAATAAAGGGTCATTGGAACTAAATAAATCTATTTGATTAAAATGTACTAATTGGCAGACAAGCCCTTTTGCGGAGGGCTAACTATTAATTCAGATATAACGATTAGACAGATAAATGGAGTTGTTTGTTGCAAGTAACGTAGGGAGATTTGAAGGGGTAATAATCGAATTAGGTCTGGGAGGGGAAAGGGGCATGTCAAAAATAAGTTTGAAAGACTCAGGGGCTATTTATTACAACGGATATCTTTGGGCGTGGTAAAACGTCTTTTTTTTTATGTCTCAAGACAAAAGAATCATGTAAGCTGTAGAGCAGGGATGGCGAACCTTTTTCAATGAATGGGTCAAAAATTATATTTTTATCGCGGAACAGAAGAGAGTGGGTCACATATATTTAATCAATGTTTGTATCTATAAAAACTTCTGAAACAAATCATGATACAGCGGTTGTTAATGTTGGTGTAGTTTAACTGTTTAGGGCTTTACTTATACAGCACTTGTATCATGGACTTTTTATGGCACTCGAATTTATGAAATTAGAGTACGAAAACACGCATATGAATTACGTTTAGGATGATGCGGCAAATATTTCAAGGTTCCAAAGAGTTTGGAGGGAATTCCACTCTGATAGTGTTATATTTTTCTATCAGCTTTAACCCTATTAAAAGCAATTTTACACTGCCCCATTGTTAGTCTAGATTTTTATTTCAAGTCTGAAAGATTTTGTATTCTCAACTGCATTGTAGGCGAGAAACTAATAAAATGCAAAGTAGCATCTAGTTCTCGTATATCCCCTAAAACTGTCGGCAGATGCACTTCTGAAAGAGACAAGACGTTGCGAGATATGAACATCAATTGCATTGTTATGTCATAAACGATGTCAGAGCCAATAGCTGAATAACGGCACGCAACGGTGCAGACATGCGTCCAAGATTATGGGTTTTGAGAATTAACATACCGAAAAATTAACAATTTGAATATAAGCGATCGCAGTCCTGACTGCCCAACTGACGGTACATTATAATAGTTCAGTTATTGTTAGATTAATTTGAGGCCGGTTTTATCACTGATATGTTAGCATTTTATTCGTGTCTTAGCGGGTCACGAATAAAACACGGTGGGTCACATTGTGACCCGCGGGTCAGTGGTTCGCCACCCCTGCTGTAGAGCCTACATCCCAGTTTTTACGGTTCTGCTTATTGTTGAGCATTTTGCGATTGGTCACCTTCTATTCATGAAAAAAACCACCACAATCAAATATTCAATAGATCGTTTATTTGAATGTTCTATATTCAAAACTTTATTTTATGAAACTTTTAAGAAACAATTATTACAAAAACACGGAACTTAAAATCATAAACATAAGTATTCTTAGTATTTTTCGATTGCTTCGCGTTTGAGAACGTCTAGTTTGTTGGTTTTGTCCACTGGCTCACGCTTCTTGTCATTCCTGTACTTAATTCTTCTATTTTGAAACCAAACTTTAACTTGAGCATCTGTGAGTCTGAGCTTTTTAGAAAGTGCTCGCCTTTCATTTCCAACCATGTATTGCTGATTGTTGAATTCAGCTTCTAAACGTTCTAGTTGCTTTTGAGTAAATACGGTTCTTGCTCGTTTAGTCTTTTGTGTTTTTTGAGGTCTAAGATTCGGTGAATAAGATATATTTGATTGAATATTATTACATTGCCCAACGAAAGCCATTGTCTCAATCGGTGCATACGGTATCGCATATTGGTGGTGATGCATCCAATTTTGCTGCACAACTTTGTTTAATCCGGGATATAAATGATATGCATCGTTGATAGGCATATATAAACGATTGTATCTTTCCGAAGGCGGTAATTGCTGATTACTTCTTACTTTGGGTTGAGGTAAGCCTGGTGTCACAAACTTAATTTGATCTGGTTCTTGCCGTGAATCATTGTTACAAATTCCACTGTCATTTGCATCCACACTAGCAATAATCGACTCGTCGTTTTCTTCAGAGGATGAAAAACCCGAATCAATTGAATCATCCTTCCTTTTTGTTGTCTGTGTAAATTGAACTTTTCTTTTTTTGCTTGGACTTTCGGTCAAATGTCCCAATAATGCATCTATAGTAAAAATAGTAGTTTTTGTCTTCCTTCGTCGCATATTAATTTTTGCCATTTGTTCGGGATTCTTGACAGAGTCGAGAATTTCGGCACTTTGTCTCTCTTTATTTACAACTGCAGCTTGCATGAAATCCGAACCTTCATCTGATGAAAATTTTCTCTTCTTTATTATAACTTCTTCTAAATCTGAACCGCCTGTGTAATTGAAACGAATAAACGGCGTCCATTGAGCATTTGACAGCGCTTGGTAAGGATGGCGGTAGGAAATCATCTTATAAAGCTTGATATTGTATTTGCAAATTGTAATGAAATGTAGCAGAATACCTGGTGTATTTATATGGGTATGTTTACTTATCAATGCCATTCAGTCGATAAAGCTAACGGAACGTCATTATTATTAATAGATAAAAATAGAGTTAGAGTTACGACTCTAGATTTTAGATAAACGACTGTATTCTTATCAGATAAGATTAATCTGCGATAACAATAGGACAACATAACGCATAATTGCGTTTGATTAGTTACCAAATAAATGTATATCTAATGTAAATCACAAATGTTTTAGCCTTGTCCGATATAGCATGTCATCTTAGCATAAAAACCTGATTACAAGTTTTTGACAAAGATAAACTTCTGATATCTGGCACACGCCTTAAATTTAGGCTCATTAAATCGGCATATATTTGTAATCATGCGCCATGTAATTATCGCCCCTCATCCTAATCCCGAATCTATCTTTTTTTAGATCAAGACGACAAGTCTGGGATCCAGCCAATGCCTTCACACCTAGACTATGTCGAGTCATCGACGGAAGTTTTTATGGATCATTCTCTTTTTTTATAGAGATCTCCATTTTCTATACCAGGGCTACTCAACTGGCGGACCGCGGCCCGGCTCCGGACTTTCGGGTATTCGATTCGGACCGCGTATAACTCTTTATTTTGGATCATTAGCCCCATTATTGAAGTTTTCTTTTATAAAATCACTTTATATAGATTTGAAAAATATATATGAAAAGAACTATAACGCTACAACAAACTATCTTGACAATCTTATCCTTAGTCGGCCGAGGAATTGCGTGTTTAAGGATGCCGAAATATAATTTTTGGAAAGTCCGGACGTAAACTTGTTTGAAGTTTTGTATGCGGCCGTTCGGTAAAAATAGTTGAGTTTTATACCACATAGTGAGGTAGACTTTGTTTCATCACATCCACTATATGTATGATGGTATTAAAATAGAGTTTTTGAGTTTCATGCCGTCAACTGGGCGTCTGGTACAAGTGATTTTTAGGGACAAAATTTGATATTAAATGTCCAAGTCAATCATTGAGGTTAGAGAAATTAGGTTAAAAGTTGTTCAAAAAAGTAAACAAAATCCTTCAATCTACTTAATGACATACAGTATATTTAATGACACTTTACAACAATATTTGCACATGGAACATTCACAGTGAATTTACTTTTCGTATAATAATGCGGGATTTCCCGGTGCTACGAGTCTTGTTCATTCTTGGGTCGTGATCGTTTGTGTCGTTCAACTCACTCACTAAAACCCCAAAACTGCTCAACACAATGTTGTTATAAGCAAACGCAAACATATCAACTTGATGTGTAATTTACTGTAAAAATGTGCTCGAATGACAGAATAAAATCAGAAGAATCATAGTGAAGTGTCTAAACTGCAATGTAAAATATAGCATGTCTTAATTTAACTTCCCAGTCTGTGGAAATTTATACAATCACAGTTAAACAATCAGTCATAGACAATAGTAATAACGTAATAAATCCTAAATATTAACAGGATACAGTCAGTATTGCGGTACTTGATTACATTTTAGAGGAGGATGACTCCTAAATTGCAGATTAACTTACGACTACGGAGCACGGAATAACTTGCCCCAGACAGGGCGTGGTAAAACGTCTTTTTTTTATGTCTCAAGACAAAAGAATCATGTAGAGCAGGGTGGTCCAAGGTTGTCGTCTTCGCGGGCCGCAAAATTATTTTTGCATTGTTCGCGGGCCACTATAGCGTCAGAAATATGTAAACAACAAACACTTTTATTGTGCAAACAATTGATCATTGTTTGTCATTTATCAAGCTGACTCATACAAAATACTCCAGAAAAACCACTGAAACATGCGAAAGTTTTTCTATATCTACATTTAATGTAAGATTTCAAACTCTTCATAACGGAGAAAGTGCTCCCGCAAATGTAAGTGCTCTCAAACATTGATGGGGTTCTCAAAGCAGACTCCCTCAAAATTTGGAAATGCATTTTTTGTAGTACTGTTTAGGCTGGCTGCAAAACATCACCGGAACGAATTAAATCTCAGGCCATAACATCAATAATTAGTTATCATATTTAGTTATTATAACTGTTGGGCTATATTCGCAACCAAATAGATAGAAAGCCAGTGAACAACTTGGACTACGCAATCACACGCAATTCAACTTCGCTAGTTGAGTCAAATCAGTGACATTAGTGATGTAACAAGATGTCGAAAAGATTTTCTGTTATTTTCATGACGAAACAACACCAAGTGCAATATTTTGATTACCTTTCAGCAAAGGCGGGCCACAAACAATTACGCTGCGGACCACATGTGGCCCGCGGGTCTGGGTTTGGACCACCCCGATGCAGAGCCTACATCCCAGTTTCACTGTTCTGCTTATTGTTGAGCATTTTGCAATTGGTCACTTTCTATTCATGAAAAAAACCACCACAATCAAATATTCAATAGATCGTTTATTTGAATGTTCTATATTCAAAACTTTATTTTATGAAACTTTTAAGAAATAATTATTACAAAAACACGGAACTTAAAATTATAAACATAAGTATTCTTAGTATTTTCCGATTGCTTCGCGTTTGAGAACGTCTAGTTTGTTGGTTTCGTCCACTGGTTCACGCTTCTTGTCATTCCTGTACTTAATTCTTCTATTTTGAAACCAAACTTTAACTTGAGCATCTGTGAGTCTGAGCTTTTTAGAAAGTGCTCGCCTTTCATTTCCAACCATGTATTGCTGATTGTTGAATTCAGCTTCTAAACGTCCTAGTTGCTTTTGAGTAAATACGGTTCTTGCTCGTTTAGTCTTTTGTGTTTTTTGAGGTCTAAGATTCGGTGAATAAGATACATTTGATTGAATATTATTACATTGCCCAACGAAAGCCATTGTCTCGATCGGTGCATACGGTATCGCATATTGGTGGTGATGCATCCAATTTTGCTGCACAACTTTGTTTAATCCGGGATATAAATGATATGCATCGTTGATAGGCATATATAAACGATTGTATCTTTCCGAAGGCGGTAATTGCCGATTACTTCTTACTTTGGGTTGAGGTAAGCCTGATGTCACAAACTTAATTTGATCCGGTTCTTGCCGTGAATCATTGTCACAAATTCCACTGTCATTTGCATCCGCACTAGCAATAATCGATTCGTCGTTTTCTCCAGAGGATGAGACACCCGAATCAATTGAATCATCCTTGCTTTTTGTTGTCTGTGTAAGTTGAACTTTTCTTTTTTTGCTTGGACTTTCGGTCGAATGTCCCAGTAATGCATCTATAGTAAAAACAGTAGTTTTCGTTTTCCTTCCTCGGTTGTTAAATTTTGCCATTTGTTCGGGATTCTTGGCAGAGTCGAGAATTTTTGCACTTTGTGTCTCTTTGTTTACAACTGTAGCTTGCATAAAATCCGAACCATCTGATGAAAGTTTTCTCTTCTTTATTGTAACTTTTTCTAAATCAGAACCGCCTGTGTAATTGAAACGAATAAACGGCGTCCATTGAGCATTTGACAGCGCTTGGTAAGGATGGCGGTAGGAAATCATCTTGTAAAGCTTGATATTGTATTTGCAAATTGTAATGAAATGTAGCAGAATAACTGGTGTATTTATATGGGTATGTTTACTTATCAATGCCATTTAGTCGATAAAGCTAATGGGACGTCAGTATTATTAATAGATAAAAATAGAGTTAGAGTTACGACTCTAGATTTTAGATAAACGACTGTATTCTTATCTGATAAGATTAATCTGCGATAACAATAAGACAACATAACGCATAATTGCGTTTGATTAGTTACCAAATAAATATATATCTAATGTAAATCACAAATGTTTTAGCCTTGTCCGATATAGCATGTCATCTTAGCATAAAAACCTCTGATTACAAGTTTTTGACAAAGATAAACTTCTGATATCTGGCACACGCCTTAAATTTAGGTTCATTAAATCGGCATATATTTGTAATCATGCGCCATGGAATTATCGCCCCTCATCCTAATCTTGAATCTACCTTTTTTTTAGATCAAGACGACAAGTCTGGGATCCAGCCTAATGCCTCCACACCTAGACTATGTCGAGTCGTCGACGGAAGTTTTTATGGACCATTCTCTTTTTTATAGAGATCTCCATTTTCTTTACCAGGACTACTCGACTGGCGGACCGCGGTCCGACTCCGGACCTTTCGGGTATTCGATTCGGACCGCGTCTAATTCTTTATTTTGGATCATTAGCCCCATTTTTGAAGTTTTCTTTTATAAAATCACTTTTACAGACTTAAAAATATATATGAAAAGAACTATAACGCTACAACTAACAATCTTGACAAGCTTATCATTAGTCGGTCGAGGAATTGCGTGTTTAAAGATGCCTAAATATAATTTCTAGAAAGTCCGGACGTAAATATGTTTGACGTTTTGTGTGGCGGGACTGGATTGTCCTATTTTTCATTGTTTTATATTTTATATATATTTCTTATCTAGTATTGCATATGCAATGGTGTGTGGAGTCCTATCCATAATTCGGCCTATAGTTAGATTAGATTCTGTTACTCGACTCCAACCACCACTGCATATGCGAACTGGCTGCAGTCGCAGCGTTCGCTCTCTTTGCTTTTGCTGTCGCTGAGTAAGGACCGTACTTTGTCGCTCTTCTATTCTATCTGCTTTAATCGTGGATTTTACACTATTTTAATAAAGTCTTTTGTTTGCATCGTGAACTTCGAACCTATTTGTGTGTCTTTGCAGCACACTGGATCTTCTGAACTATTTATTACAGTATTATCAGACTGTATTAGTGGCGAGCACCTACCGGTATTCCGGTTAAGTCGTACTGTTGCATTTGTATGCGGACCTTCGGTAAAAATAGTCGAGTTCTATACCACATAGTGAGGTAGACTTTTTTTCATCACATCCACTATATGTAGGATGGTATTATAAAGAGATATTTTTGGTTTCATGCCATCAACTGGGCGTCTGGTACAAGTGATTTTTAGGGACAAAATTTGATATTAAATGTCCAAGTCAATCATTGAGGTTAGAGAAATTAGGATGAAAGTTGTTCAAAAAAGTAAACAAAATTCCTCAATCTACCCAATGACATACAGTATATTTAATAACACTTTACAACAATATTTGCACATGGAACATTCACAGTGAATTTACTTTTCGTATAATAATGCAGGATTTCCCGGTGCTACGAGTCTTGTTCATTATTGGGTCGTGATCGTTTGTGTCGTTCAACTCACTCACTAAAACCCCAAAACTGCTCAACACAATGTTGTTATAAGCAAACGCAAACATATCAACTTGATGTGTAATTTACTGTAAAACTGTTCTCGAATGACAGAATAAAATCAGAAGAATCATAGTGAAGTGTCTAAACTGCAATGTAAAATATAGCATGTCTTAATTTAACTTCCCAGTCTGTGGAAATTTATACAATCACAGTTAAACAATCAGTCATAGACACTAGTAATAACGTAACAAATCCTAAATATTGGATACAGTCAGTATAGCGGTACTTGATTACACTTTAAAAGAGGATGACTCTAAATTGCAGATTAACTTACGAATACGGAGCACGGAATAACTTGCCCCAGACAGTGTTCACTCATTACCAACTCAAATACCAACATACATTTACAGTGAAAATTGAATAATAAGCAAATGGCAACACTGGGCAAGATGTGCAGCGTGAAATCTAAAATATTTTTCACACAAAATAAGACCCAACTAATCGATTTATTCGACCAATAATACTAAAAACAGGTTAGTGGATGGTTAATATTTAAAATAAAATATGAACCACACGGGAAAAGAATAGCAGGATAAGGATAATATTAGATCCTGTCACTCAACTGAATAAAAACCTAAAATGGCTCAACCACGAGATAAACTTGCGCAATAACAAATCACCACAATGAGGCGACAAAGAGCAATAAATAAAATGAAGGCACGTCCATCACCTATATTTTAAAACGAAGTTGAGCAAGCGCATTTTATGGTACTACTGTTAATTTAAAGAACATATTTATTTTCGTATTTTATTTTCTCTAGATAATATTGTAAGTAACGTAATGAAAGAAATTTGAATTTAAAATAACGAAAACCATTTTTGTTTGGTTCAAAGGCAAGTTTCAGTTGTATCGCCTATCTTTCTAAGTCAATGGTTCTCAAACTTTTAAGCCGCGCCTTCAACAATAAGTTACAAATAACAGATTGTAAGGCAAAAGTATGTTTTATTAAAAAAATACGTGAACGAAACGTAAATATCCAAAATAAGAGGCCAACATCAAATTTAACAAATATTTTTAATTAGCTTTACGCCCTCTAAAAATTTTCCACTCCCATAGAGTGTGCGCGCCCCCACGTTTGAGAACTATTGTTCTAAGTATTACACAACCGTCTGTCCATAAATGATATTGTCAACCAGCATTGCTGCAGGTTCATTATCATTTGTGTGTGGAAACGAACTCTCGTAGATTACATTTTCGGTCATGGTGTTTTCACCATCTGTTCTCTCTGGGCTTGGTGTACTTTTGGCTGACAAATTTTGTATTTTCTTCCTAAAAATAAAGTATTTAATTACGTTGGAATTGTAGGAGTATGGGTGCTCCAGAAGTCTGTTTATCAATATGACGGGAACTGATTTTGCGACCCTGATCTTGGGGATATATCTCTCGAGCTGCGCAGTGTTGAGATTTGAACTTGAGGCACTTTCATTGAAGATATTTCACCCAACATAATTACATGGGAGCCTGTGATCAAGTTAATCTAAATAATTTTTCTACTTGCCTGAAGCGGCACCAAACGAACAAAAGTCCTCCCAGCAATACGGCTACGACCACGGCAATTACAATTGGGAGTATTGTGCCCAGCGAAGCATTTTTGCCCTGAGAAGTGTGGGTGTGAGTCGTCATGTTATAAGCGTTTGTAGCTGTATCGGTCCAGTGTGTTTTCGGCGAAGTTGGCCCTGGAACGTATATATTTGTGCTCGGTTTACTTCTTGTTGAACCATGTGCATTTTGAATATAATCCGTTGCTTCGTATTAGGGCGCGCTCGTTGTCTCATAGGTTAATTGCACTTGAGTAGTTTGTGGTTCTGGCCCAGTTAATTATGTAAATAGTTAAAACAACCGTTGAGAAGCTGCGAGTCATGCCAAGTTTTTTCCATGCAGTAAAAAGTCAATCAAATACAAATTTTGGAATAGAGAGAATAGTACACCGTTATACTGCGCAAGCGAAGCCGCGGGGATAGGGACCATTCCATGTCGGATATGGTATTAGTTAGTTATTTGTTTTTCGAAGCGTGGACCTGATGGTGGACGAAGCCGTCCCCGACCAGCGCTTACGTGAACCACCCTACGGCGACGTGGAGTCCAGCAATCCTCTCACACATAACTACGGTATCACCGCATGGGAATCGAACCTGCAAACCCATGCAGAGTAAACAGAAGTGCGGTGTCAAGCGTACCCCTAACGCTTTGCACGATAAGCCACACCGCCGCGCCGGAATCAAATCTGGGTGTCCAGCTGTAACACTCAAGGCTCTTATATGTATTGGAAATATCAGGAATTTTAGTTACACAACTACTGTTATTGTAGGCGAGTATGGTGTGCTTTTGCCGACTTATGAAACATTGCTTACTAGCTATAAATATTTATTACAGAGCATCAGATCACGAGATAGACGAGGCGAGAAAGTTTTAGATTATTGAAATCCAAAAATAAATTCTTTAATCTTAGTGCTATGAGAAATAAATTTAATTTTTACCTTCAGTGTCGCATTTTGAATAACTGTAATTTATTGCCTCAATATCGATATATTCATACATAGTTAAACTTATATTCTTCGGCAAAGACGAAACTTTTATCCGGTCAACCACGCCCACATGACTGCTGGAGAAACATCCAGTCGTGAAAACAAAGCAAAAGGAATCATCATCGCAACCTGAAACAAGATCGCAATTCTCAAATAATTAGAGTCTAATGCAGTGCTTCTCAAACTTTTCAAGCCGCGCCCCATTTTTAGAAATTGTCAAGTCTCGCGTCCCACCTCAAAAATAACTAGCTGGCAATAAGCTATAAATAACAGATAGTAAGGCAAAAGTATGTTTTATATAAGAAAACACGTTGAAAATACGTGAATAGAATGGCAATCAAAACTTGGAGCAAAATATCGGGTCTCCGAAAATTAAAAAAAGCTCTTTAGTGACTCCATTCATCTTCAAGAACTGTATATTTGAAATGCAGGAAAAAGAAACAGCAATCACACCAACGACATTAAGCAAGCGATCCATGTTTACAAATGATGAAAACAAGATTTTTGTTACTCCCGTAGTATGTGGACCGAGTTAAGATTAGGCCATAATTTTATTTCGATTTTCTATATTTTAGTTCTATTACGAGTTCGGAGACTGTCTGTGTTAGCTAATTGAATATATCCCCCGTCCAAAGGCTTCCGTCCCTTTAAACAACTTGATGTAAAGTAGGCGAACAAAATTAGTTACCCCCATCCTGGTACACATACTTCTGGAACACCGTTTTTTTCATACGCTTGCCTCAAGCAATGTTACAAACCCTAACTTGATCAAATCAATTTCCGGTGGAGAAGACCTAAGCGATCACCGAATAGAAGAGACGGGATTAAAAATTTGAAGAACAGGTTAAGAACATAAATCTAGTACATTACTTTCGAAACGCCAAATATATCGCTAGTTGTCAGCTGTGGTACCCATTTGTTACAGTCGTCTAGAGTTTAAGGCGAACAAAAATCAACTTGTAATTCAAACAGTTAATTAGGCATTAAACAGCGGGTCCGGAATCTCAATTACAAAGTCTGAAGTTGACTTTGAATTTATTTTCAAAAGTTCACATAAACCTTGGATGGTTTGATAAATGTCTTGGAGTCGATGTAGTTGAAACCTCAATAAACAGGCAAAAACGAATTTAATTTTATCTACATTGGGTACTTAAGTTTTCTTACCTGGATCTGCTTTTGGTGTTAAATGACAATCAGTTACGTTGTATTTCACGTTCACACACAAACCACAAATACGCAAGGAATATCCGGACGAGGCGTTGAATTGTGTTTCCCAAGTGCACGTCTTTGGAAATTCTTTAAGCGTGTTTATCCGAAACATGCCACTTTTGCCCTTTGGTTTTCTTTCATTTTCAGAAAGATGACACTTACTTCTTACGTTTCCAGAAATTCCTGCAAACAAACATTTCCTCTTTGAAATATTTCCAGTATTACACGTTCAACACTACTTCCACAATTGGAATCAGATATTATGGGCCTCTCGTCAGAATTGACTTTTAAAAATATGGCTTCAATATAAAAGTTGAGGGTTTCAAATCGGCCTTTGGCGGACAAAAAAAAACTAGCGGGCGATAATTCCAAATTTCGTCCAAATTAATTTGAAATAATTTGATATTCGATGTTGCCCAGCCTCACTTCCGCTTTGATTTCATTATCGAAATAGAGAGAAATGCTCGTTTATATAGACACGAAAATCGCGCATAGGTACCCGTGCGATAAGGTCCTAGCTGAGACCCCAGCTCACAGAAAATATCGTCGGAAGAGCGTGATGAAAAAAGTGTCCTTTTTTGATTAAAATTAAACGATTTTTTTGTGAATAACGAGTAGCAAATATCTAATAAGTTTATGAAGGTTTTCGAATCTCTCCGTACGTAGTAAAATTCGCTTCTCCAACATCGCGTTACATTAATTCACAAACTTTGTAAAAAAAGTTGTTTTGGAACAGTGTAACGAACTTTAACTTAAATCTTAGCAAAATTCAGGAATAACATTAGTGAAGCATAATCATCCCCCTTTCATAAGAACAAAATCACTGGTTGAACGCCTGGGTGTTACTATTAAAAATATGTGTACGTTTTCATGTATTCACGCGGAATTTAGTTGCGGGCAACAACGCACGGTTTCTCCGCAGTGAATTCAAAAGTTACCGAACGAAATTGTGTCCTATAATTTATGCGAGTGCATGAAACTTTATATAGTAATTAAATTAATTAACTTTAAAACGAAGAAATAGACTGGTTTACCTTGTTTAAGACTGTAGATCACAAGTATCAAGAATATGAACATAATTTTCACTTTAGTAGCCATCACAGTGATGCGTTCATAATTTTTCAACTAGATTTTATATATAAGGTAGAACTACCTATATAAGTACACACTGCGATTTTACAGGGTGGACCAGAAGTAGTTCTATTTATATATAAAATCTAATCAATAAATTGCTTCCTATGGTAACATTTATTCCGTATTGTAACATACCAGGGTGGGTTAAGAAGTAGATTAACATTACTGTTAAATTAATTTATTATTTAATAGTTACATAACTGTTACTCCTGGCCCACCCTGCATGAGATTTCGCTCTTCAAACTCATAAAATTAGGAATCTATAAATAATTTTTGATTCGGGTTCACTTTGAATGCTGCCTCTTTGAAAGCTGCCATCCTTTCATAACGTACTGGACAACAGCACTCACTGCAGTTCAAATATTTCTATCTTTGAATTCTGACACATGACACGATTTTGAGTTGTTAAATATTTGGACTCCAAATTCAGTTCCCGTCTCTTAGAAGGCAAAATCACGTTTGAAACAATCTATAACATGCCTGGATCAAATTTCTGTTAAGTAGAACCCGACTACAGTGTTGTTCGAGGAGTGTGAAGTTCCAACAAAACGAATCTGTTATGCTTAAAAATTTAAATCCAAGAAAATATTAAACAGTGGTTCATTCCGTAGTTAGGCATTCAATCCTTACACACCCATTGTATATTTAAAGCAATCACCCTGGCGCGTGACATGACACTCATAGGCTGAAATAAATTGGGTGCGGGGGGCAACGCCGAATCGGTAAAATTCCGGTCCTTCCGAATATTGGTATCTTTTTACATATTGTTTAAGATCAATGGCCTCTTATATCTAGGCTTAACATATGCCCGGTTTTAGGCGGGACTGTCCCACTTTTCAACGTCTTCTCCCGGCGACCCGACCGGTCACCCAAATTCCCCACTTCGGCGTTCAGCCAGCCAGCATATTACACGAACATTATTAATTAGTATATTATCGTAGCGTACCGGTAGCTTACTTACTGAAGGTGGATGTGTGGTTTAGTTTGTTTCGTTGTTTTATAGCGGATAATTGCTACAATTTGCTACGTGTAAGGCCCTTACGCCAAGGGGGTGCTTAATGTTAACGTGGATTCCTTTTTATTTTTGAAACTGAAACCAATATTGAGCTTGGGCCCAAATTATACAATAAAACGCATACCAGTGTTTCATAAAAGCATAGTGTGATATTGCAATGAAAAGATGATTAAACAATCACACGGGCAGTGGCGTATCTACGTAAAATTGCGCGCCCTTGATCATCGAGCATCAATTTTAGATACTTGTGTGGCATTGTTTAACTAAAAATACGAATTTTAAATTATTTACAATTTGAATTTATTTCATCAAAACATTCTACAATTGAAACTTTTATCTGTTTTTGCGCCCCCGTCCAAACGGCGCCCATGGCCATGCCTGCCACACCCTACATACGCCTCTGCACACGGAAAATTGAAAATCACGAATTTTATCAGGCATGCATCATCTATCACTGATAGGCTAACAATCACACATGGTTAGACGGATGTTCTTACAAATTACGGTTCGTAATTTAAATCAATAATTGAATAAAAAATCAAGTATTTTTATTCAAAATTAATTCCCTGGGGGGTTTGTGCACTCCAGCTACAGAATTCCTGCTTCAAACCCTATTTGACGTTTTGTTACTCTTCCTGAACTATCTGCGCTTACAAATCTTTCATAAGCGGATATAACGCACACAGGCTAACATATTAACGATATCTAACCGCTCGCGTTAATGGATGACTCTAAATAAGCTATGTCTACAGTTACACATTGCCAAATGTTTTGCTAACCAGTGCACCCAATCAAATTTCGATCTGCTCTTTCAAACAATTCTTTCAAAATGGTAGTGTGTAAAATGGTATTATAAAAAGCGAGTGTTATAATATTGATACACTGTATTCTATCAATTCCTATGATTTCTGGCAAGTGCATATATATCGTATTATAGAGAGCATAATGATACTAAACCAGTGCGCCTGACCAAATTCACATCTATTCGTCCAATTTACCAATACAAACAAAAAGAAAATAACGTTTTAATGAGAGTGTCCAACTACAAACATGGGCAAAGTACGCCCGCGGGCCAAATCCGACCCGTTGGGTAATTCAATCTAGCCCGCCTGATGCTGCCGCAACCAAACTGAAACTAAATTTCAATGTTTCAGCTAAAAATAACCCATGAAATCTGTTGAAATTGCGGTTAAATTCAGTTTTTGCACGAGGCATATTGTTTTCAATCTTTACTCTGTAACACTGTAAATATTGCTCATAAAATGTAACTGTTTACGTCACCCTTACATAGCCAGACAGACTAGGTGGGCAAAATATTTGGCCCCTGGTTCAAAAACTATCCATGAGATGCTATAGTTGTAAAGCGAGTCTTCCTATAATTTCTGGCAGGTGCATGGAAATCGTGTAATAGCAGCGGATACTGAACTAATACATCTGACCAATTTTTCAAGTACTCGTTTAATCATCAAGTCAAAAATATTACCGCGAAAATTAATATAGGAGCAAGTATCCGTTTATTAGACGCAAACTACAGTACGTAATAAGAGCACCGATTTCTAGTATTCGAAACAATGTGACATCACACAAGAATTAATTTATTGGTGCTACTTTGGTATTCGATCTCAGCGTTTGTGTAATATCGCATATCAAAGTGGCACCAATTCATGCTTTCCTCGATAAACCAGTACACATGATCAAATCTCCATCTATCGATGCGAAACAAAAATTATGGCGTCCATCTATCTATGAGGTTCTGTCGCTGTACAGCCCGATTTAATCTTTTTTATTCCAAACAATGCGACACTGTGGTAAAAGACGGATTCCTGCTTTCGCTCGGGACACAGAAGGGATATGATGCGTTATGAATCAATATGGTAGTTTTTGACATTACGCTAATGTATTTCTTATTCAATAGCTTGGAGTTATATAGCAAAGTCGTGTTGTGAATATTGCAAAGAGTTCCTAGGAATAGGTAATTAAACTGGTAAAAATTCCCATGATTGGTATCTATATTGTTATAGTTACCCGTCGGGAAATTGTAGCGGAAACTTGGTCAAGACAATTCATGTCTGGTACGATGATAAAACAGAAATATTGGCATGCGTCAAATGCAGCATTTTTAGTTAATTCAACGAACAACAACTACTAAATTTCGACCCCTAGTCGTGTTGTTGTCCACGGCTCAGGTAAAACAATTTGGGGTACTCCTGGTCCTGAAGTATGCGTACCAAGATGGCGGACAACGGAACGTAGTATGTGTTTTTCCAATTTTAGTTCTATTACGAGTTCGGAGACTAGCGAAGTGACTCCCGTAGTATTTGTACCTAAAATTATGGCCTAACCCTAACCTGGTACACATACTACGTTCCGGTGTCCGCCATCTTGGTTAACGGAGGGAGCGCTTTTTCGAGGATTTATGCTGTTTTAAATGAGTTAAAACAAAAGCTGGGGCACCTAACTTGTTAAAATCGGCAAAAGCTCTTTCGCACTTTTTTTGGACTGCGAAGCACTTTTGCACTCATAATTTGCTTAGAGTTAAGACTGGTTCACATACTTCGGGAGTACCCAAAAACCGGGTCATTTGGAACAAACTGTAGAGAGAACATAAATTTTATGTGAAGCGTCTTAAGATTCCTGAAACTTTGGTACTTTGGTACAAATCACAATCATTTGTATCACAAATACGGATTAATTATTTAAGCTTAATTTCTAAAATTAAATATCTAATAATGCAACGATATTATTTAAAGATATTGATATGTATTTAAACCACTGCATCATTTGCCAAATACATCGACCCGTAGAACTAGCATACGGTTCAAAAAAAGTGCATAGAACGCTATAATTGCTTTCTCAGTATGATTTGTTAGAATCACTCCCTCACGGGTGACGCTGCTGTGTACTTTCGATTTTTGATAAAATAAACTACTTACTGACTTATTGCCTTTCATCTAATGCAAAATTACGGCGACGAGTTCTCACTACTATGTCATCAACGGGACATACTAGTTTCGTAATAGGCAGAGTCGACTTTCAAATAGGTCTCGCAAAGGAAGTTCACTTTATGCAAGCGGTGAACGCCAAAAATCCTAAACAATTATATGGAATCAAATTTGCCACAAAATTGTTTGCGTGATTAAAATACAATATCAACTGCACGGGAAATCAATAATATAACAGGATAATAATAGACCTCGTCACTTAACTCGAAAAAATTCGAAAGGGCGCATACAAGAGATAAACTTGCACAATTATAATGCACCACAATGAGGCGACAAAGAGCGATAACTAAAATTAAGGCACAGCCATTATTCACATTTCCCAGGAAAGCGAAATCAGTGAAACTTTTGGTAATTCATATATACTTCCTGTTAATAGATAAATAGAGATTAATTTGTTACAGAGTTTCATAAGAAATTACGAATAAAAAAAACAAGTTGATGGAACTTAAATATACTAAACTTAGGGTATATGCTATACTTAAAGTATGTTTTATTTGAAAAACACGTTGAAAATGAAACGTAAAAATTCAAAATAAAAAAAATGGAAATATCCAAAACAAGGCGGGCAAGATCGAATCCAACAAAACTTTTATTTTTAATTAGCTTTACGTCCCCTAACCGTTTGAGAAACACTGTTCTAGGTAACTATGTTTGGCTCAACGGCAAGCTTTAGTTTTTATTGCCTGTCTTTCTAAGTATATAAGTTCTCACTACTATGTTGTCAACGGGACATACTAGTTTGCGTAAATAGGCGAGGTCGACTTTCAAATAAGTCTCGCAAAGGAAGTTCATTTTATGCAGGCGGTGAACAATCAAAATCCTAAAAATATATATGGAATCAAATTTGCCACAAAATTGTTTGCGTAATAAAAATACAATATCAACTGCGCGGGAAATCAATAATATAACAGGATAATAATAGACTTCGTCACTTAACTCGACAAAAACCCGAAAGGGCGCATACAAGAAATAAACTTGCACAATTATAATGCACCACAATGAGGCGACAAAGAGCGATATCTAAAATTAAGGCACAGCCATAATTCATATTTCCCAGGAAAGCGAAATCAGTGAAACTTTTGGTAATTCATATATACTTTCTGTTAATAGATAAATAGAGATTAATTTGTTACAGAGTTTCATAAGAAATTACGAATAAGAAAAACAAGTTGAAAATACGTGGATGGAACTTAAATATACTAAACGTAAATATCCAAAATAAAGAAATGTGAATATCCAAAACAAGGCGGGCAAGATCGAATCTAACAAGTTTTATTTTTAACTAGCTTTACGTCCCCTAACCGTTTGATAACCACTGTTCTAAATAACTGTGTTTGGCTCAAAGGCAAGTTTCAGTTTTTATTGCCTGTCTTTCTAAGTATTACACGATCGTCTGCCCATAAATGATATTATCAACCATCATTGCTGCAGGTTGATTATCATTTGTGTGTGGAGAAGAACTCTCGTAAATCACATTTTCAGTTATGTGTCTTTCATCGCCTGTTCTATGAGTAGCTTGTTCACTTCCAACTGACGATTTTTGTTTTTTCTTCCTAAAAATTAAGTATTCAATTACGTGTTGTTAATCGTGATTATTGTTGAAGAATTTAGAAATACATACATGTTGGTCCATTTGCGATTTATTATTTTTCATTAGTTTGATGAAATCAATTTCTGCTACAAATGCTCAACCATTCGCACCAGGTTCTAATCAATCTAATGTCTTATTAAAACGACTAATACCTTCAAATTATTTATTTATTTTATTGGATATGCCGCCGCGGGGAAATAAATATTTGTTTACAGTAACGTTAGTCGGCGTTTCGACGATCATTACACATTATTTGTAATGCCGAACTCCGCAGGCATAGCTATCCTGGAAGCTTTTAAATGCGACTCCGAACCCAACTGTAGAAAGCAATTTGCAAACCTGACTTCGGGAATGGTTTCCCTAGAGCAGGACGAAGAATAAACTTGGTTCTACGTGTCTAAGTTATTTCCCTCAACAAACTGCATAAGCACCTGTGATCAAGTTATTCAAAATAATGTGTTATCATGTACTTGCCTGTAGCGACACCAAATAAACAGAAGTCCTCCCAGCAATGCGGCCACGACTACGGCGATTACAATTGGAAGTATCGTGCTAATCAAAGTATTACTGCCTTGCTGAGAAGTGTGAGTCGTCACAGAAAGATTGTACGTAGTTGTATCGGACCAGTGTGTTTCCGGCGGAGTTGATGCTGAAATGGGGATGGGAGTGCTTGGTACACTTTTTGTTGAATCACGAGTATTTTGAATATAATTCGTCGGTTGAGGCATGCTCGTCGCCTCATAGGTTGACTGCACTTGGGTAGTTGGTGGTTCTGGCCCTGTTATATAAATCAGTGAGATGGCCGTTAAGTAGCTCCCAGCCAAGTTTATTTTTTTCCTATCAGTGAAAATCAATCATGTACAATATTCGAAACTAAAAGATAATTGTACAGTCTTTTGGAAATGGAAGCCGCGCGTAAACAGATCTGGTTAGAGCAGCGACATCCAGGGTTATACTATCTGATTGAAAGAAACGGTAATTATAGTTAAAGCACTGCTGCCGTTACCCACCGACTCATGAAAAACTTCATTAGATATAAATAATAATTACGAAGACTGAGATCACAAGATAGGCTTGGAAAAAGTTCTAGATTATCGAAACCTGAAAATAAATTTTTCAATCTTAGTGCTATGAAAAACAAGTTTAATTTTGTTTTACCTTCATTGTCGCATTTTGAATAACTGTACTTAAATGATTCAATGCCAAGATCTATTTTCATAGTTAATTTTATACTCGTAGGCAAAGAGGAAACCATTTTCCGGTTTCCGGAGCCCGGCACATAACAGTCGTCAGTTGTTAAAACAAAACAAGTTGGATCAACACTGGAACCTGCTGCGGAACCTGCAACAAGTGAGAAATTCTCAAACATATGGACACGAAAGTCGCGCATCGGTAGCGGTAAAGTCCAGGCTGCCAACTAAACACTAAGTTTGCTGAAAAGATCGGTCGACGAAAATTTCGAACTGCCGCCATCTTGTTTTTTTTTTCTGTTCGCCAAGGGTCGAGATGAAACCTATGATTTTGTGTATTGAAGTCATATATTTGCAATGCAATTTGTACGTATGAAAAGTTTTTCCTAGTTATCAATTGCTAAAACATGTTTTTGAATTTGTGTTTGGACGCTCAGCGTACTAACTGGGTGATGGATTCCATGTCTGGAGGAACCGATACAATAAAAAAAAAAATTCAATGCGTTTTTTTTCATCAATCCAATTTACCAAACGATCAATATGTACATGTTGTTTTCAAATAATAAAATGAAATTTTTTCATACGCCCTCACCCAAACTAATCGACTTGCGGAAGAGGAGAACCTGAACTACCAGCGAATAGGAGAAAGAGTTTCAATATTTGAAGACTCTTTTGAATCGAATTCACTAACGACAGGTTCAATATATTATATTGATTATATCTGAGAAAATAAGAACAATAACGTAGCCCAGAGTTGTGCAACCTTTATTACAGTAGGGCCAGAAACAAATAACTGGGTGAAATCGCGGGCGGCACCTGTATTTAAGATAGGCCTTCCTAGTAGTTATAGACACAAAAGTTTCGATTATTGATTTTATGACATGTGTTGTTCGCTTCGCACAAGTTAGCTGTTGAGACATTGTAACGTCATAGGCATAGATAATAAATTGGACTCAGGGTACAGGCTTTTCGACGCAGAGGGATTAGAATTACTCGCACGTACTAGATTAAACTGAATTGAAAAATCATTTCGCAGGCCATTTAAAATTGGCACTTCTTCACGGGCCGCACAATTTTCTCTGTGTGCCGCAGGTTGCACACACCTGACGTAGACTCTTCAATTTAAATGTGAACCTGCGAAACCCTGGTCTGTACTAGCGAAACCCGTGTGACGAGTCGAGTCGCATCGACGTTAATTTTCAAAAATTTCTTTCTTGGGTCATTTACTGTAGGGCTCGCAGGTAGAGCTGTTAGAACTTTTGGAACCCTATAAATTCAAAACGACGCAATTTTATCAAGATTAGGCGTTTACATTTACTTACCGTCATGTATTGATTCTACTGGCGTTATTGTACAGTTAGTCGTAGGGCATTGCACGTCTCGCAATTGCCGCCCACATATACGCAAAAAGTAGCTTGACGAGGCATTGAACTGTGGTTCCCAGATGCACGTCTTTGGGAATTCTTCGGGAAAAGCGGTTATCCGAAATTTGCCACTTTGGCCCTCTGGTCTTCTCTCTTCCTCAGAAAGATAACACTTGCTTTCCACGGTTCCAGACATTCCTGCAACCAAGTATCTTTTGAAATAGTCACTATGAACACACACGTTCGAGCGACATTCGCAATTTAAATCAAAATAGCAACAAAAGAGCATGATCGAACTATACATAAATGTTATGGATTATATGACTTTATATATATGTGAAATAATATCCTGATTTTTGTTGCTATAAATTCTTGGCTTTATCATATGTATGACACGGGTCACGTATTTAACAGCTTAAAAAACACAGAATAGTTTATCAAACGACTCAATGCCTTTATTTGATCAATATTGTCATACAAAACGCCACTTTTTTTTATATTTGACTGCGGTGTAATATTTGATCTTGAGGAAAGAAGTTATATATTGGTATCTGAGGGCGTAATACTTTCCGGTTCGGATTTAATTATCGAAATAGAGAGCAATGCTCAAATATATGGACCGGTGCGGGAAGACCTTAACTGATAGGAGGGTGACAAAAAAAGTGTTTATATTTAATGTAAATAAAACGGAAATTGTGAATAACGAATAGCATAGGATTCAGAGAACATTTGAATAAAAAAATTAAGATGGCTTTTTAGTGGCTTATTTTGATTTGGAAGAGTTCAACGAAAATGCCCATGGACCTTTCGCCGGCACATAATTGTGATTTCGACTTAAAATCTTAGCAAAATTCAGGAATAACGTTAGGACAGCAGTTATTCATTTTTGGAGGACAAAATCGCCGCTTAAACTATTAGAAATTATGTAAATATATATGTATTCTACCTGTAGATAATTGCGGTGAACAAATCATGGTTTTCCACCAGTTAATTCTAAAGTTAACGAACGAAATTGAGTTTTATAATTAATGCCAGTACATGTGAATTAAATAACTTCAATACTCAGTATATGGTGAAAAAATAAACTTCTCATTACCTTGTTTAAGACAGAAAACCACAAGTATTAATACAATCAAGATAGTTTCCACTTTCGCCGTCATTGTCATGTGTTCTCTTTTTTTCCACTAGGAATTATACACTGTTACTATAATTTCCCACTGATGTAATATGAACAGTCAATATCGAACGACGGCACGAAAAATATTAAGATATGGCATGAAATCTGAAATTTAAAAAATGCATTTTCTGAAAAATGCTTGTCTGAAGAAGTCTGATCCCGTTCAGACGAAACGTTACATAAATACATTTGAGTTAGTGTGCAGCAAGACTTATGGATGAGATGAAAAATATTAGCTAGTAAATAATTTTCAATTTGCATCCGTTTTGAACAGGCCTCCATGAAATCAACTATTAATTACTTTCGAGTCGTAACATAAGCTCTCGTCGTTTATCCAAAGTTTATATTGGTACGAAGGAGCGAAAAATGTTGAGACATGGCTCAAAATCTGAGTTGAGAGACATTAGCTAGTACTGGTTGGTCCAAAGCCAGGCCCGTGGGCCACATGTGGCCCGCCGCTTCATTATCTGTGGTGTTGTTTCGCCATAAAAAATAACCAGATAAATCTTTTGACATATTGTTACATCACTAATGTCACTGAAATTACTAGTAATATTGCTAGCTGAGGCAACTAGCAAAGTTGAATAATATACTGGGCTAGTCTAAATTGTTAACTGCTGGCTTTCTTTTTTTTAGTCGGGAATATATTTGATAACAAAATATAGGCTTCATAGAAAACTAAAAATCGAATGAGGAATTTATTATCCTAGGTTGGTTTATGCCTGATAACTGAAAATTAATGTTATGTCTGAACAATATAATTCCTGCCATGTGTTTTTTGCTACCATCTTAAACAGTATTACAAAAAAGCTGCCTATTTGTCAGAAAATTTAGTAATTACCCTGCTATATCCCAAATTTGGTAAATCCGGTAATCAATCAATCTGCAGTTATTATTTTGTAAACCTGAGTTTGAAAAGAAAGCTTACCAATTCAAATAGATTTTTGACTGAATATGGGAGTGAAAATACCACAATGCTTGCTTGATATACCACCCTGAGCTGGTAAATAATTTTTTATTGACGTTCGTTTTTAATAGGGATCCCCAAAAACAGCCGATTTGTTCATAATATTGAATACAACAGTTTGAAATTTTTTATCTTTGAAGTCCGACACATGCCTGTTTATTACTGAAACGTTTTTGTAGCCACTGATATTGTCTAACAATATCTTAAAGAACCGTTCTACAGACTTACTTTGCTGTCGAAGTTAACTCAGGCATATATCTATCTCGTTTGGTTCATTTGAGAGGATTATTAATATTAAGCAAGGAAACGTTCGATTTACAGTAAATTCCACAACAATAGAGCAAAAACGCGGTTGGAAAAAGCGTATAAATTTATGTCTTATTGCAATTGCCGCAAAAAAAAATTCCGGGCATGACCTCTCCCTCGCTACGCCTATACAACCTTGTTTGCAGCAGACGGTTTGAATAAGCGTCGTATAGGAATATCTGAAACTATTAGTCATGTTTTAAACCTTATTTGACCCCCTAGTCTTCTTGTGCTTGCAAAGCTTTTTAACGGTAACATAGTAACAATGTCTAACCACTTGTTTCAACTGATGACTCAGAATAAGTCATTTTCAAACGAATGTCTCGCTATTTGGGCTGGGAAATTCAGGAAAAACACTTTAACCCGTTAACCGGGTAAAATTAACTGGTTAACCGCATCGTGACGTTTGACGTAATAATGTATAATTTTAGCTTGTTACGCCATAATGGTTACAAAGCAATGTCGGGTGTTCTTATCCCGGTATCGCTCAAAATTATTCACAACGGAGATAGTTTCTCGATCGCTCTGCCGCAAAAAATATTCAGCGTGGGTAGGACATATTGAAGTATTTCAGTAAAATCCGAACCCGTTATTAAATGCAATTTATGTGAAAAATTTTCAGTGTTCGACGTGCAAATTCTACTCTGAGATATCAAAAAGAATAACAGCATCAACCGCGCACTTGTTGGATGACGCCGAAAACTAATTCTGAATTTATCATTGTCACATTTCAATAATCAGCAATCTTGGTACTTATTATTTTTCACATTTATTGGGTCCTTACCAAGACAGTTAGTGAGATATTCTTTTGAATTAAACGCCACAGGAGATAAATTTGCGATGACGTAATCATTTTTGAAGAAATTGTACATTATAAAGATGATTTTTACCTGAGATATCAGTTAACGGTCTCCCCCTTTTTAGAATTTGTCATGTCTCGCACTACACTTTAAAAATACCTAGCTGACAATAAGATACAAATGACAGATAGTAAGGCAAAAGTAATATAACAGATAATAAAAACAAGCAAAACAGCTCCCTACAATCTCTAAACAATAAATATACCGTATATAAATATCCAAAAAGGGCAAGCAAATCTAACTAATATTTCTATTTTTAATTAGCTTCACGCCCCCTCAAATAATTGTATACGTGCGGTGCGCCCCACCGTTGCGAGTGAGATCAGGTAACAGCATAGTTTTACGACACTGAGATCGCATACCGAAGCAAATTTATGCATTTCTCGCTAAACTGACGCATCTAATTAAATCTCCATCAAGCCGTATTATAAAGAGCGAGTGTCCAACCACCTATAAGATTCTATCGACGTATAGGGCGTTTTCATTTCATTCGAAGCATTGTGACAATATCGCAAGACATGAATGTCTGCTTTCGCACAGAACAAAGAAAGGATATGATGCGTTATGAATCATTATGGGAGTTTTTGACATCGGGTTAAATGTATTTCTAATTCAATACCTTAGCTCAGGACTTTATAGTCGTGTCTTGAATACAGTACATTTTTATTAAAATCGAAATAAAAATTTTCTGGTAATATTTTCACAGATAAAAATTTCCGTGACTGATCGTGGAATAATACACAATATTATTGAGTATATTCGGTCAAGACAATTCTTGTCTGCTACGATGATAAAACAAACACCCTGGCCCATGTCAGACCAGCGACATGCCAAGAATTTCTGCTGCCAGGGGCTAGTTGGACACGTAGTGGACATAGCGATCGTTTTGTTGTTCTTAGGCTTGTTGTTCTTTGACACGTTTTGAAGAAATCGCTTTTCTTTTTGATTACTGGACAAATTGTTTTGAAATTTTTAGTGGTTAAAGATAAAATTTTTCTCCAGAAAACTATTACTTTTTTTTCGCTATGACGTCATCAAAATTATGTGGCTCTACGTAAGTTTCGTACCACAATAGCTTCTAGTGAGCGTGGCGTAACAATTTTTGCATATGTCATTCCTCACCCCACCTGACTATGTCATCAAAAAATCACGTTACAATGGCGTAATGAGGCCCGCCAAAATATACGGATGATCGTCCTAAACGCGCAGACGACTACCCGGAGTCGAACAAGCTATTTCTCTCGATTTCTCTTCATAGCGATCCCAAAACGAGAGAGATCGCTGGCGTTAGTGAGTCGACGTTTGTCGGCTTATATGACATTTCGGGCAATCGTAGTTATACTTCGGCAAGCTATATGACATGAATGTGACGTCGCAGTGACGTAAATTATTGATGACGTAGTTAGGTGGGGGTTCGAAATAACATGCAAAAATGGTTATGACAAGCATATTAGAAGTACTCGTGTTACTAAACTACACTAGCCCCCAATTTTGGATACTCGCTAATGCTTCAATATGAATTGAATGATTTGTCGATATTTTACAAGGCATTCCATCCATAGCGTTAAATGAGTTATTGTACAGGATGATCCCCCAGGTCATTTGTAGCATATTTCAAAATATATAACGTTTGCGCAGAGCGCAAACAGATTACTGAAACTTTTGAGTACAACCATACCAGAACAAAAGTTGATACATTTTCCTTATTTACGTCGATGTAATCGAGAGATTCATGTATTTTAGTTAAAACATTCTCATGTATGACCAGTTAAATAGGTACGTAGCTAAACCAGTTATATGCATATATAGATTTTGTCCTAAAACCTCGATCTAAGCATATTGGATTTCAATTAATTAACGCCATTAGTAACAAAATGCTCGCACAAGTTTGAAGTAAAATCCATACCACATGATGTCCTTGATTTACAAAAGACCGTTGAAGTGTTATTATTTTAAATCTTTGTTGAAATGAAATTTAGGTCTCAGATTTAGAAAAAATGCTCAGTTGTGTATAGGGTTATTATGGGTAAAACTAGTAGCAATTGGAGATGTATCTGTATCGGCAATATCCACCATTTTGTCGATATCGATAAATGTATGAGTCTGGATCAGTGTTTACGATATATTCAACTCTTTGATTTCTTCTAGAATATAATGAAGTATAACTTGGTATATCTTTGCATAACCAACGTTAAATGCAATTAATTCAAGCGTTTAAATAAGCCATAGTGAGTTCAGTTATTATGCATTTGAATCACGTATTTAAAGTTGTGTGTTTTTGTGTTCTGTGATGACTCTGTTCTTCTAGATGAAATAATGTTTACTGTAAATAATATTCAGCACGTCCGGTACTCTCAAAAACAATGCTAAATGCATAATATTGGTTTGTCGGAAATTCGAAATATCGGTATCGTCACCTTTTTGTAGGTATCGGACCGTAAAAAATTTGTGTCGGTACAAATCCCAATCACCAGCGCGGCACGAAGACATGAATATTTAATCACAAACTTTGTTTGTTATGCGATAAATATCTACGTTGAAATAGATAAGAACCAACTGAACATTCCACTGACTCAAACATATTTAATGATTACTCATCGATTAGGAATGCTATCAAAACATGCATACTTGATAAATTCTATGTTACCTCTATTTAATTGACCAAACAGTGAGTAATTCCAAAAAACAACTAAAACATTGTTGATACAACCTTTGATACCCATACAGTCATATATTTTGACTACAATCTTGTGCTTGTTCGTTAGTATTTGAGATGCAGGAATACATTTTTGTTCCGAACTGACGAGTAACATATACCACTCACAACATCCTAACTTATTTGTTTATTAAATGCTTTAAGACATGTTATGTTTGATGAGTTGATTATTCTGCTTAAATGCATTTACTCATCACATGACTATGGAATATTACACCACAGTTATACCTGTATAAAATTAGATATCAAACATCTGGAAGAACCGTTTGCGAGAATCGAGCGACCAGTCAAGATGTCTACGGCTGAGACAGAATTTTACTGTGACATTCCAGATAATCCAAATCCAGAAAGAAACAACACTTTACCAACGTATGACAACGTTTATGAAATGACGTGTGTTCAAGTTCAACCAAAGAAGCGCAAAGGTATTTCAGGAATTATTTATAAGATGTCATACGTTCACTCTATGAAGGCGGTGTTCAATTTTTAAAACTTCCATTATGACTTCTTGCTCGTTTATTAGCTATGTCATTTATATTCATTTTATGGAAGCAGAGGCGCCATAGAGCAAGGGTATTTTGACTTTTATTTTAGGTTTCGGTTATGTAGTCTCGTTTCCGGCATATTTCAATGTTTTGATAAATGCATACTGTTGCCTTGCATCATATTTTTACAAAATTCTAAAAGAGATAAACATTGCGTACCGTTTATTTTTCATGTTTTACTTTGTAAGAAATGAAAAACTAAGTAAAATTTGTCGGAAAATTTGACATTATTCTTACAATATCCTATGCATTTCAAATCTTTTCAGAGAGCAGAAACACAAAGATCAGAAATGAAGTGGTGACTTTGGTAATACTTTTGGCAATGATTGCTGCACTCGCCACTTTCAATATTGTTATGATCAGACAGGTAAGTGAAATATAACTAATATTTAATGAAACAAACAAAATTTGGTCTTTCAGTATCAGTGGGTTGCATATTACGATTGAAAGGGAAAAGAACTCAATAACGTGATATTTCTTATCGGTGCCGTATTGTGATCAAAAAGTCTACAAGTAAAACATCGAAATGTCTATTAGTAGAAATTAAGGTTGATTGTAAATGACGTAAGTCCGGCGCTCAACTTCATCATAAATTTACTTTTAGGCCCATCGCAGTAATCAGTAGTTTATTTTTTCACCATGTTGAAAATACACGTTGTACATACAAATGGAGGTAAAAAATTGCATTTCAGAGTGAAAAAGCAGAACAGGTTATCGAGCAGCGACACTAGAAAAGTCGAGCATTAGGTCATTCAAAAGTAAGGAATCGAGATAAAATGTTATATTTAATACTGAAGTAAAGATTCGCACGCCAAATACTAACATCGCCTGCGGCATATGGATATGCGATAAACAATTGCACGCTCCTGATCTATTCTATAAGATCCCGCTTCAGAGCACCAGCCTGATAACTTCAATGCGGTCCTATGAACTGAACACTGGTCAGGCTGATCCAAATATATCGGACTCGATCCTCCTGCAGTATGCGGTCTTAAATTTCCAACATAGGGTAATTCGCTTGTTAAAAACGGGACAACACAATCCAGTAAACTACAACAGAAAGAAAATTTTCACAAAAGCGCCCACCCATTTACGCCTACTGGTAGGTATATCTCCCTAGGTACCTACGATTGACAGTAAGAATCGTAGGTATATGAAAATGCGTTTCAAGGATTGCTAGATTATTGTTACAAGACCTAAATAAAAAATACAGACTACAAGAAGTTGGGCAGAGCAGGCCGACCGATCTTTGCCAAACCTGCTCGCCAGCTCCAGGCGACAACTTGTGCGGCTGAGTAACCAAATGATTGGTTTTGTTCAAAGGCGAACGTGCGTAACATTTCGAGAGAATGTACGTGAATGTGCGTATGATTTCGAGAGAATGTATGTGACCGTGCGTAAGATTTCGAGAGAATGTATGTGACCGTGCGTAAGATTTCGAGAGAATGTATGTGACCGTGCGTAAGATTTCGAGAGAATGTATGTGACCGTGTGTCAAGTGTTTACGAAATATTTTATGAATCGCACGTACAATAGATCGATTTTGCCTTTTTACAGACACGTGTTCGTAAACCTTACTTTTTACGAAGTTTAGCGAATGCCCCCAGGCCCACTTAACCGAATAAATCGTGCTAGACTCCAGTGTAGTATGGGGCTGTTACCTCGCGCCATAAAATGAATTGATTTTCAAAAAGTGAAAAACTTATTGAACTTATAAATATTGCCCCATATTGAACAGATGCAGAATGAAATAAAGCTATTGGAAATGAAGCAGATCACACAAGTCAATTCTTCCGATGAGCTTTTTTCTGACCATAAAACAATAGGTAAATCAAATTTTTCCAATGGTCCATAAATCTCGGAGAAACATTAGTTCAAATACCAAAAAAGTTTGTCTTGGCGTAGATAGGATAGAATTTGCGTATTCATCCCGGAAATTCGATAAGACGACTCAATAATATAGCGAACCACGGCCCGTCGTCCGGTTACCGTATTAGTCCATGTCGGGTATGGGATTAATTAGTCAATTACCTGAACCGTACTGTAGTAAGATATAATATACAATATAATTAACTAAATTAGGATGATCATACAGGCATCCTAGAGATATTCGCAACATAATGTTGCCTTACAATACATCTTCGAAATTTTATGTAAACTTGTTTTTATATACCGACTGTTTAGTTAAAATTTGGATTGGATGAATGAAGTCATATACAACTATGCACCACCATTTGCATGTTTCTGACGCCATTTTCTTTCCTAACTTTCAAATAATATAGCAGATTTCGATTACTTGTACACACAACTGACTGACCAGCAATCTCAACTTAACAACACCATCGAAACCATCTTGTATCTGAATCGTTCACAAAAGCAAGGTAACAGAAGATATTATATTTTTGTATTTAAGAAACAACCCACTGTATTTCAGTATTCAAACAACAAAAACTTGGATAATTCGATATCGATATAATGAGTACATCTGATATTTTATTGTTGTGTCAACTCGCGAGGGAATCCTAACATATTTGTCTGTTGCATATCTTAGTTCTTTACGAATAAAAGCAATCTCGTCAACTGTAGTTGAATTTTATCGGCCTTTTTTCAATCCAAATAGTAGTGAAATGAAGAATGTTATTTCATTCTATTTTTTTATATAGATGTATCAGTAATGGTTTTCAGGCCCCAAAATTCTTTATCGATATTTCATAAATATGGTATTGTTGGAACTCCGAATCCTGGGTTGAAACTTGCTAGCATACGTCAAAACGGATATGTTTATCGACAGTATGCACACCAACACCAACTATATTTGCGTTTGTCACAGGCTCTGAAGATTTTTCGAAACTGACTGGTCAATTCAATTCGTCTCTTGAAGATGTGTTACGTCTCCACCAATTTCAGGAAACACTGGAAAAATCACTGAATATTTCTATTCAGCAGCTTTTGTCCGTAAAACGTGGTAATTTCCATACTTGAAATCAGCAGTGCTACTGTACTTGCAAGATTGTATTAAAATTGATTCAAATTGTCTATATTCACGTAAATCCGAACATTTTCTGATGAAATCACCCGTTTGTCACAAATATAATTCGATAATATATAGCAGGGTGGTCTAAGGTTGAAGAGCCGCATAAACTTTTGAGAAGGTCTCGCGGGCCACGGTCAAAATCGCGATTTTACTGTAAATATAAAGAATAAGACTTTACCGTTTAATAGGCCTATTGATGATGAATTGTTATATTTAACTATAACTCGCAGCGTGAGCAGGCGTAGTGAGATCGGCAAAGAACAACCGAGAAGTTTGTTTGAGTTGGGATTTTGGGACCTAGCTTCAAAAAATAAAATGGATTGCGCGGCGCTAAGTCAGCTCAGCGTTACGTCACTGCTATCACATGGCCCACGCTTGAAAATAGAAGAGTGTTTTACTAAAATAAACATCTTTCCATAAGGAGTTAATTGATGCGAGCTTGAGGTGCGAAGTTTAAATGAAAAGCGCGACTCATTTCATCGGCTGAGTGCTGTCTTCACAATCCATTCACCGATCACAGGACTTCATTCCCATATCACCGTCTCGACGTTTATAGATACAACATTGAAATTTCGTGATTTCAACAAACATTCCCGCGATCGGAATTAGGGAAAGGGTTCAAATCTCGACATACAAACGTAAGTTGGAACAGTTCAAAAAAACAAATAAATACGAATTTATGAAAATGGTTTAGTTACCGCTAAAATTAAAATTGTTCTGCCGCACAGAATGTGTCTACGGACCGCGTGCCAGGGTTTGGACCACCATGGTGTATAGCATTCTGGTTGTTCGTTTATCAAATTCATTTTGGAAGTATGAGGAATATTAGTGTGTGGTTTAAATTGGTATTTACCAATTGCTATCTCAGTACATGTCCTAGCAATTGCTTTTATTCTACATGTGAAGATAATTTCATCATCGTTGTGCAGTAAACATTTTTTTGCTGATATGGCAGTGATATTTCTTGCTCATCTGGTCTGTCAACGTCTTAGTCTGCATGACGATTAAATAATCATAACCTGTATTTTTGCAGACTCAGAAGAGCTCAGTCTCAAACTTAATGAAACACAGATTCAAATTAATCAATCAGTTGCAAGCATGAATCGTTCACAACATCAATTAGCGATATCAATGATACAAGGTGTGGCTGAATAACGAATCGGAAACGTTTTCACAATGCTAACCATAGGCCTATGTTGTAGAAATATGATCAAATTTTAATTTTTTTTTTTCAGCCATGACTCATTCAATCGTACTTGCTGTGTGGTCTTGTAGATTCCATATCTCCGAGCCTTGGCTTGTTCGCTGTTTATATTTATTATGCAACGAATAGAAATCACTGCTGCAATGTGATGAAATGTAATGCATCCTTTTACAGACTCAGAGGCATTTCACTACAAACTTAATGAACAACAGATTCAATTAAATCAAACCATTGAAGATGTTTCAAGTCTGAATCGTTCACACCAACAATTGAATATATTGGCGATACAAAAACGTAGGTCAAGTATTGAAGAATGGTTTTCAAACATCAATCATAAGTGACCTACATAAATTGTAGATATAAGGTCACAGCTTTGCTGAGAATTGCCTCAATATATTTGCTTAATGCACAGCCTTTATGTAAATTTAAAAAATCTTTCGATCTGAAATCAACCAAATTTAGCACGGTTTTTACGTAACATTCGGCACCTTCTCTTCATTGGAGGACGGTCCCTTCGACAGACGAAGTGGTTTATGTACTTCGGGAGTTTTTACCAGTATTGTATACAATTGTTAACAGTTTTCCCGAAGGATTTGCAAAATGCAAAACGTAGCTATGCAAAAAGTCAAAACACCACCGGTGGAGTCTTTAAAATATATCCGGAATCAGGAGTCAAACCTGTTCGAAGTTTACTGCGATCTCGAGACCGATGGAGGCGGGTGGATCGTATGTTATATTTATTCTACTACTTTTTCAGTATAATTTTTTGTATTAGCAATTACTAACAGTACTGAATCGATCGAGGTATCTGTAACGTTGTTGCTTATGTCACAAAATACTTAACCTATTGTATGTAGATGAAATCATTTCTTGATCGAATCAACTCAAAGTTGCGTAACAGCATTTCTTATTTTGTGATCGATTTATCCCAACATTGTAACTGCATTTGTAATATTCCCAAGGTCTTTCAAAGGCGAATGGATGGAACAGAAGATTTTTACAGAGGGTGGGACGACTATGTCAAAGGATTCGGAGAAAAAGATAAAGAAATGTGGTTAGGTCGGTGAAGTGCTTGTCTGCATAAAAAATATCAAATGTCAAAATTTGATGTAATGTGTACAACGTCTAACATTTTTTTAGCGAGAACACTTACATCGTCAAGAAGCCAATTGTATTATAGCATAAATGTAGTATTTCAATGAAAGCACAAAACATGTTGAAATTTTGTCCATCTTCGTGTCATAGAATTCATCCTCTCGATGCCAGCTATGTTTTATGCATCATATAAGTGCCCGTTATTAAGCCTTCAATTGTTTTGATTCAGTCTAGAATTTAGATAGCCGGGTGTTCTGTATGTAAATTTCGGTGTACTGAATTCAATATCATAACTTAACACATTAAATTCAGTGTAAACTATTTCATGATTCATTTTGATTAGTGTAGTTTGCAATAATTTGAGGCACTTTTGAATATTACATCCTTCTTTACTTTGTGTACGCAACAAAACCAGCAATTCACATGTTTACATTCTCCACATTCAGGCTTGGAAACAATCCATCAGCTGACTAAAAACGGAAGTTACGAACTAAGAGTCGATTTGGAAGATTTTGATGGAAACACTTCTTATGCTAAATTTGGGTAGGTAGTAAAATATAATGAACCTTAGTGAATTTGGTACTAAGCGATAAATGCTTGGACAATGATTATATAAGATCACCCCCGTCAATGATATTCATTATTCTATCGAGGTAGCACTTGTAGTTTCATTACACTGCAATATTATTTCCTGACCGGGATTTGGCGTTTCTTATGTCTTCATTAAATTTTAGTCATATGTCATCAAACTGTAGCAACTAAATGTGTTGAACTGGGTAAAACCGGTATCTACTTTTAAGGATATTCTATGTGATGTTCCTACCCATGAAAATACAGTTGCTCAAATTTATATCCTATTCATAAATGTGAAAAGTTGAATATCGATCAGACATTCAGATCTCATTATTATAATATATGGTTGCCGAAAGTCAGTCCCATTCGATCATCTATTTTAAGAGTTTCAGGATTAACAACCACTGGATTGAAAAATGGTCAAATTGTTTTTGCAGCACGTTTTCTATCGCATCTGCAAGCGATAACTATCGGTTGATAGTTGGAGAGTATAATGGAACAGCTGGAGATTCATTGACGCCTCATACCAATATGCAGTTTTCCACAAAAGATTCTGATAATGATAGATGGTGCTGTTCCGGAAGCTGCGCACAGATGTACAAAGGAGCCTGGTGGTACAGAACTTGCTATTACTCAAATCTGAACGGCATCTATTACCAGAATGGGGACAGATCGGTTACTTGGAATAGCTTCAAGAATGGTAAATCCCTGAAGTTCACGGAGATGAAGTTCAGGGAGAAAACGTAATTCAGCCAATAATTATTGCCGCATAGGAATATTTCAATGTTTCTTGTCATTACAATATTTTAAACATCAAATGGCATTTGGACTGCAATGGTATCTCGCATAAAAACGACATTCTTCGGAAAATTCGACTTTTTTGTTTCCCATGTAAATTAATTTCTTCATTTACATAATGATCGCATCCATTTATACCTAACTTTCACTGTTGAAACGATAAGAACTACACCCATTGAATATGCAAAAATGAAGCTTTGTTGAAACTTTATAGAAAGCACTGTCTGAGATATTAGGTAACATAACTTCGCTCGAACCTGTGCTAGAGAAAATTTCCTTATTTAGCGCAATCTACCTTTGTTCTGTATTTCATATTTGTATCTACTGCTATATTTAAAACTCCACATGCTAATGTGAGTCATTGTTGCATTGGATCAAACTTTCTATTATATTTTCTGCTACCCTTTTTTATTATGAAATTCCCCATTGAGACAAACAGCTATGAATAATATACTCTAAATATTGCATTGAATATCGTTGTTTTCTTTGTATTAAGTTTTATTCATTGACCAACGAAACTTAACAATATGATATAACAATATGATATTATTGCCGTCACATAGTTTGGATAAACAATATTCAAATATTATACCATCTGATTAATTTAAATACTCGCTATCGAGTCTGTATTATCATGTCCATCATTTTGTATAAACCTTCGCTGTTATAATCACACATTTATATTACTTCCAGATCGGAAGTTGTTGACTGAGTTATGAGTTCAATGTATAATATTACTATTTACTTGATATAGCATATTTTTTCTTATTTATTGGACACGAAATGAACCTTCGGATCGCCCTTCTAATGCTGCTTACTTGCTATATGTTTTTGTGTTGGTATTTTTTTTATTACCGTTGTAAAAATAACATTTCTCGTTACCTGCTGGACCAGTTGCTTTTAAATTTTCAGTGGTTAAAGATTGTATTTTTTGATAGAAATCTATTACTGTCCGTGCCCATATATTGGAGCATATCTCTCATGTTCTTATAATGCAATGTTTTTATGAAAGACAGGCAGCGATATGAAGATTTCTCTAATTATTACCAATTTCCATTTAGTTAAATTTATTATTTTTTTTCTTTCCACCAAAATCCACATCACATAATTCATGTCAATCTAAATAAAATTGATCGTGAGTTTTATCGTTTGAAATCAATTGTAAATGTGGTGAACTTATGTCACAGGTCATATTGCAGTAAGTGTATACTGCGTTTCAGGGTATTGATATACTCTGTTGAATTCGAAGCATCTTATAAGGCTATGGCAGCAAGCAGATCCACTGAAAAGATGTTTTATATACCACTACCTTTTCCTTTACCCGTCAGTTTTCTAGTATCGAATTTTGTAATAACAATATGGAGGATCGATTGTACAATCAGACAACAGTACAGCAACAATGTTTATTGCCCAGGCAGGTTTATTGCCCGTATGTTGGATGGCCTCCCGATAGAGAGCTGCTCTGCTGAGCTCGTAACTTGTTAAAAAATTAAGCCAAATATTTTAGAGTACACTAATTCCATATGCAGAATTAGTGAAAATTCAACATTCACAATAATCCCGCGACCGCTCACTTTGATAGGATTTTTGTCGGCCTCAAATATTTTACGCATAAAATACGCAAAGATTGTTGAGTCAATGTTAGAATAGCTGGAGGTAGATGACGAGTCAACGTTTGAATTGCCTCCTGATAAAGAGATACTGGGCTGCGCCACAATAAGCGTATAGGAACAGGTGTGGTTACTAAGCCGAAATCTTTATTTGAAAAACTCATTGCACAGCTGATTTTTTTGCTTAAGAATGATTAGAATATTAAACCTTCCTAATACAAGTAACATTTAAATGGCTCTCCACGAAGAAAAGCATTAAAATCCTAGACAGTTCCTGAAAGAAAAACTTAAATAAATTGATATATCTATTTTTTTTGTATTGAATGTGGTTGATCTATTATGTGAATGACTGTGACAAAAAATTTAGGTTTGACTTGAGCTTTTACAATAATGGTTCGGCAAAGGTCATGAACCACTGGTTAGCAGTGAATTAACGTCATATTCGAAATTCCTAGCGCAATACGTTGATGAATCAATAATCATTCGCTTAGTCAGGGTTGATTCCAGAAATAATAATATTGATGTACGCAATCACCCGGTTTGATCTAATGAAATACTATAAAACAATCTGAATGATGGAGACCAATTATTCTTTCGATGACGTAGCACCCACCACCAAAACACACAGTGTGCTAAATATGTCTTCAGATAATGTTATCATGACCCAAGAAAATAATATCCAGCATGTTTTGATATTAGTCACATGCCTTCTACGCATTTCTATAAATTATGCCATATATTGACATTCCGTAATCAGATAGTTATCAAGATGTCAGCTGCAGAGACAGAATTTTGTGAAAATTTTTCGCAAATGGGGACGACACCAAATACAATCGAAAACTTCTACGAAGACGTAGAGCCGCAGCCAATAAAGAGCAAAGGTATTTTATTACCAAACATATATTTTAACCGAGGGTACAAAGTTGGAACAGGAGTCCAACGTTCCGAAGCTTATCTCAGCTATTTGTACTGAGGTTACGCCAGTACAGTTCTGTGATCAAATTTGAGAGTATATCTCTTTATATGTATATTGTTTGGATATAATCAAATATTTCAAATGATGCTTTTTTATTTGCTTGATACTATCAACTATTGAACAGGGGTTTTTCTAGTCTCTGATATGTTTCATTGGGATTTCTCCACCTAAAAGGTTGAAAAGTACTGCCCTCCGAAGCGTCTTTAAATATCCTAAACAAAATATAAATTCCAATTTTTCTACAAGCACAATTCTTTACTTTGGATGTTGATGTATGAGGTCTTCATGTTCCCATTTACAATGATCATGGAGCAAGTATTTTAAGATTTTTGAACTCAAGGCATGACGGAAACGGAGTCAATTTCTAAAACCCAAAGGGTCGACATTTCTAACTTGAAAAGTAAAACGTCCTGACTCGATGTATCCTGATAAATACGTTGAAATATTAACTTTAATAGAAAAGTTTGGAATTGGCTGGATTCATGACAAGACGTGTTTAATTAAATCCGAGTAATCGATACCATAGTAAAATGCTTTACTGATTTGAACTCAATGCAATATTGTACAGCAAAAAATATACGGGGCTCCCGAAGTATGCGAACCAAGATGGCGGACATCGGAATGTAATATGTGTACTAGGTTAGGGTTAGGCCATAATTTTAGGTATAAATACTACGGGAGACTCTTGGATAGTCTTCGAACTGATAATAGGACTAAAATAAGGAAAATTGGAAAAAAATTATCGCCTAACCCTAACCTGTTACCCATGTTACGTTCCGATGTCCGCCATCTTGGTTTGCATACTTCGGGAGCACCAAATATACGGTTATTATGAAGCAATTTCCTAAAACACGAAGACTAAGATTGAGAGAAAAATTAAGATAGTGAACTAAAATCATGGTTTATTTGAATTATTTTTTTTATTTCGAAGGTTTGATCATTATTTCTGGTCTGGTACCAAACCCGTATTGAAGTCGGCATGGCGGATTTTATGATATTATTGATAAAGCAATTTGAAAAATAGCAATTTGTACTGAACTTACAAAAAATATCACTAAAAAAATAGACATTATTATAATTTACATAAGTTGAAACACTTGCACTAAACCACGGTAATTTAACAATTTGTCATGGCCAGCTAAACCAGAACATTTGGGTCGGTTTCTTTGTTGAGTACTAAATGAGTGGTTACCATAATTGGGAGTAGTTCAAAACATAGTCTTAAGCAAGGCGCTAAAATAAGTAGTAATACAAAAGTTAGAACAATAAGTAGTAAAACAAAATCGGTGTATTCGCCTTTGTTTCTTTAATTTATTCTGTTATCATTCCAGGTACTGAAGACACAAGATTAAGAAGAGGACTCATTGCTCAGGCAATATTTATATCAATAATTGTTGGGCTTGTTGTTTGTGGTCTTGTAATCATCACACAGGTTAGAAAAATACATTTGCGGTTATTCTATCATTAACCGGAAAAGTGTAAATGTATCTGCACAATAAACAGCCATTACAGTCTATTTTAGCAACAGTGTGACAAACGAATTTTGTCAAAATGTTACATGTTTACAATACAGAATAACTAGTTATTTAAAAATTAAAAATAAAAACTTGGAGCGAATTCAAAGATCTTCGCTGGCTCGCTTTCTCATTCAATATACTTGATAAGATACTCTGCATTTGCCCCAATATTCATATTAAATATTCGATTAATGGAAAAACTAAGGGACAACACTAAAAGGCTGAAGGAAGAAACGGATGAAGTGGAGGAAAAACGGAAGTTGAAGTGTTCCCAATGGTGAAAAATTGAAAACACTATAAGTCTGAACACTAAAAGGAAGAAGTGGATGAAATTTATTCCCACGAATAATGAGGTGGTTGAAGTCACTAAAAAGCTGAACACTAAAAGGAAGAAGTTGATGAAATTTCTTCCGACGGATAACGAGGTAGTTGAAGTCACTAAAAAGCTGAACACTAAAAGGAAGAAATGGTTGAAATTTCTTCCGACGAATAATGAGGTGGTTGAAGTCACTAAAAAGATGAACACTGAAAGGAAGAAATGGTTGAAATTTCTTCCGACGAATAATGAGGTGGTTGAAGTCACTAAAAAGATGAACACTGAAAGGAAGAAGTGGATGAAATTTCTTCCGACGAATAATGAGGTGGTTGAAGTCACTAAATAGATGAACACTAAAAGGAAGAAGTGGATGAATTCTTCCGACGAATAATGAGGTGGTTGACGTCACTAAAAGATGAACACAAAAGGAAGAAGTGGATGAATTTTCTTCCGACGAATAATGAGGTGTTGAAGTCACTAAAAAGCTGAACACTAAAGAGAAGTGGATTGAAATTTCTTCCGGCGAATAA